CAGGACGCACAAAATGGACATGTATTTCCCAACGTAACATGATGATATGCGGCAACTACCCCTTTTATCGCCCAAGGCGAGGGCAAGGGAAGAAGCTTCGGTGGCCGTCATCAGAAGCAAGGCACTTTGGATTCTCTTCAGCATTACTCCTCTGCGCAGCTACCGGCCAGATGACCGAGAGTCCAATTGGGCAAACTCATTCCCGGTCATTAATTATGGCTGCATCATTTCGTATCCATGGTGTGGTACCGAAAAAAAATTGGGCCAAACCGCAGGCGTTGATCGAAGCCACTGCATCAATTTCGGAGAGAAGCATTGCAATGGCCGAAATTGATGCAGTGGTTTTGATTAGCCCTTAAGGCCCGGCACAATCTTGTTTTGGCACCACATCATGGATACAAAATGGTGCAGCAGCCATAAGCGCTGCTTACTAGTTAATGCCTGGGAAGATACCAGCCTTGCACATTGCACTTGACCAACCTTATCGTAACTTTGGACGAGGGCAGAGCATGCAGACCGCCTTTTGTGGCCAATCCCACAACGGCGCTGGCCAACCGAGCAAAATATTGGACGAACCACTCTCAAAACTGTTGTGCGGCAGCCGGCCATGGATTGTATCGTCGCGCACTCCATTCGCAAAATTAGGGGGGTCCTTCCTTCCTTAGATGATACCGACACATTGCCCTGCCTAGTTGTCCCCGCATGGCCCCCCGTCCCCGTCCCTGCGCTACCCAACATATTATCGTTGCCTCCCTCATCGGCTTTTCTCTGGATGGCCAAGGTCTACTGGGATTTTACTCATTTGCAACCTCCAAGACGATCCGGAGGATATGTCACCCCTTGAGCGGGGGCTGCACATCTGCCAGATTTTAACGCAGCACAGGGCATGACCTCCATACGATGAAAAGACTAGCCAAGAGAGGAATTTGAACCAAACACACTTCCAAGACGACGTTTAAAAAAATGGTACGCGTGGCCCCCATCCGCTCTTTTCATATCCAGATGTTACTATTTGCTACAAGCAGTAAATCGACAGCGTAGCAAAGGGGTTCCAAGCCTGACAGAGCTCATCCGGCAATTATTAAGGAACTCTTTACAAACTGGTCGAGGTCCATTATACTCTCTCCAAGAACCCCTCATTGTCGGTTGCTCCAAAACTTGACACTGGCAGTGGTTGAAAAAACGGGTTGGATAACGACTCCATTTGCTGAGAGATGCAACATCCAAACAGCCTTCTCGGGAGGAGTTTGGCCTGTCCCCAACGTGAATCGCGGCCTCTGTGGCTAGAGTGAGTCGTACCGATGCCTGCCGATGTTTTCGCTCATCATATCCTCCGTTGCAACCGGTGCTTGTTGAGGTGCCGTGGTTATCCGTTCCTTGGGGCTCGATGCGCAACATTTCAATAACCCCAATGTGGGCTTTAGACGACATCAAAGCTAATCCATTTTGCGAGAGACTAGATGGATGGAGGCGGCATTTTGTTCGAGAAGAATCTGCGATTTGATCACAAGACGACGTTCACCCTTTTGCATTCTATGTCGTGAATGTCAATGTCGCTCTGGAAGATGAGTTGGGAAGCGCGGGGAGGAGGACGGCGGCGACGATGTTGGGGAACCTCTATGGACGGACTTTTTGACACATCTGTGGGAAAGGGACAAAGCAAGCTTATGGACTGGAGAATAACATGTACGATTCAAAGCAAAAACGGGGAAAGGTACGGTGATGTGGCCCTTTCTTCGTCCAGAATTCTCCGAGAAGCAATCTGTTGATGTCGGCAAAGGTGCAACCTGCAAAATACGCATACTAGAGCGCTATGGCCTGCGTCCTCCCAGCAATTCTCAGAGTGGTATATCCAACGCTTTGTGTTTCCGGCCAGCGCCAGAGTTGATGGCAAGATCGACCGCCCCGCCGACGTTTCAAAAGATGATATAATCCGTCGTTCGAGTGGATTTCGATTACATCGAATATCGGACTCTGTCGCGACTGGTTGATCGGCCAATAACGGGGAGAATGAGGGGCGTGCGCGTCGACGATGTGCCCACAACCTCCACCCACAATTCTTGTCCTTCTGTTCAAGGTCTGGCTCCCTTGGTGGCCATGCAGTACGTAAATGGCGACGGTTGGTTGGTTGGTCGCATTGATCAGGTGTGGACGATGCAGCTAGAGTTTTTGTGATGAATGTCATCTTCGAGGAAACTTTGCTGTGCTGCGGGCATCTACAAAGATCGCCCAAAGGTTGGCAAAGTCATCGGCTACTGCCAAGTACGCCAGGTCGCAAAAGTCGCTGGTCTCTGTTTACATGCCACCAAATCCTTATTCTGGGCCCAATCGCTATTTTCACCTATACCCAAAAATGAGAAACCGAGTGAACCGGATAAGGGTTTTTCATCTTTGGTGTGGGTTCAGACCTTCGGCTATGGCCTGAAATATTGGAGATGGTGGATGGACAACCACATGGTTCATAGCGGATGTCATACTTGCGTCGTATGAAGAACTTGTGTAGGCCGCGCCGGATCGGGTGCAAAAACAAAGCCCGCAACTACCCGCCGACTCTGCGCGTACAGTGTTGTTCTCCCCTCCGCATACTTGTTCTTCTCGCTCCGATAAGACATCCACAAAATCTGTCCCCCCAATGCTCGACGCCCAAGTTCCCCAGATATCGATGCATGAACAGCCCCCCCGAACAAATAGAGCTGAGAAGGCTTGTATAAACAAAAGTTGGCACCACCAACGCCGTATCCATGAAGGCAATGGGGAACGTAGCATCTCCTCAGTTTCCCCGGGCTGCTTTGGCCGCAAATGTTCTTCGCCAAGCTACAGGATTGATCGTCTCTCTCCCCCAAGTTATCAAAGATTCTGGATTGTGGGGACCGGACTGACGCACTTTGTGGAAAGACATGAACAAGCCTGTGGCGCGGAAAACAACATGCATGACCAAAGTAAGCGGGGAAGAGTGAGGGCGATGTGGGCATTGTTTCGTGCCCGACCGCGGGTAGAACAACCTTTAGGGAGTAGCAGCCCGCAAATTGTAACTGGAGTGTAATGGAGGGGGATGGTCTATTAACGTATCAGTTTATGAAACATGCGTCAAGCATGCATTGCCCTGGATCTATACCAGCAAATTCTTTAATCTGCGGGATGTTCTTTCGGGATTTTGGTTCCCTCGACGTCCCTGCATGATATGAACGGTGAACCGACCTTCAAAATCCGCATTTTCAAAGTACTCAAATATGCATCAAAGACAAGAGCGTATCGTTTCACACCTGCTCAATACGACCACCCAACCACACGTCTTAGCCATGCTTGGAGCATGCGTTATCTAGGAGAACCTTTGGGAAAACCCTAACCCCCAAAAATGTGCATCATTGATACACTCCCCTAGACGGAGATTCCCGGTTGCAACATCGTCGCGATTGTGAGGTTTACGTGGTGGACGTGCTCGGGTGCTCCCAATGTTTTCTCTCAACGGTTCTCCCAGATAATGGTGCATGCCCGAAAGCATGGACGGAAATGTCGGAACGTACGAAATCACTCCGAATACGGAATTTACTTTGGGAACCTTCAGTGGCGACATGGAGAACTTTTAGTGGCAGCGCGTGATGTTTGACTGATTGCTTCATTCGAGAGTCTTATTGCATTAACAACATTGAATATTTGTAGACTTGGACGATTCTCCCAGAAAATGGACATGATCGAAAACATGGACGGAAATGTCGGACAGCTACACGAAAGTACCTCTAATGGCAGTCCGGAATACTTGCTTCATTCAAAATGCCGCCTGTTTTTGCATCAAACGACATGGGAGATTTGTAGAATTGAACGGTTTCTCCCAAAACAGTAAACATGCTCAAAATGGACGCAAAAAAATTCGGAAACGTTCTTTTCTTAGATCCCGGTCCCGTATATTAGCAAAAAAAAGGTTGTAATGCAGCGTCAATCAGTGACGGGGACTTGACCTTAAGCCAAGCACAACTTTTGCCATCCAATAAATGCTATCAGCTTTGAAGATGCTGCTCGAGCTGGCCATTGGAGTGGCAACAGGATATATGAACGTGGTGGCCAACGGTCCCTGAAGCTATCTATCTCTGACATCTTCTGTGCGAAATCAAACTTGGGAATGCCCACAAATGACCATTCAAATCTTTACTGCGACAAACAAGGGAACCATCGCCCTCTCCGAAAATTAATCGGACCACATCCTGATGCGAAGCACATGGACGTACGGCATCATTACATCCGGGAGCTGGCATCCCGAGAAAGTTTTCCCTATTTCAGTGCATCCGTCAAAAATGGTTTGCCGATACCTCTTACACAAGTCGCTGCGAAAGCCCCCGCTTTTTTTGGTAGAATAAGAACCAATCAAGTACCAATTAAAAAACTAATAACCTTTGCTCCGCTTTTTTTCTTCTTGTAGAGTGTTTTTGGAAAATGTCAAAAGCACAATCTAAGCTTTTTAATTTGGATAGAATAAAATACCATTATCGTACGTTTGTTTTATAAAGAATGTGATGAACCAAATGCGTTATTGCTTCCTTTACACAAAGGCCACGACAAAAACGCAAGGTGTCTACCATCATTGGTACATACGCTAACATGGCATGTTAAATAAACCGATAATGTTAATGTATCTAAAGATGATTAGGTTTGTGTTTAACCTTCAGGAATCGCAAGCAGTGTGGTATTCTAAAATAAAGATGCGGCGAACATGGGCAGAACAGTATTACAAACAAATGATCAACCTATCATGTAAAACATTCCACTCCGCATGCAAAAAATCTGGGTAGATTGATCAGAGTTCCATTAATCTCTAAACAATACGGTAAACCATCTTTGGCTGTAAAAGAGCAACACAATAAAAGCACATATCGAATTTCAAATCTGCACGTTTTATTAAGTGCAACGATTAAGAGTCATCAATTCTATATGAGTTTATCTACTTATGAGATCTGTATTCTATATATTCTAATATAGCAACCACTCCCTAAATCGTAAAAGGTCATCTAAAAATGAGACTCTACAATATCATTCCCTGCCCTAATAGCAAACTCAACCGTCTCAAATCCATTCAACCCAGACGCATAAAACGTATTCAGCTTTCCTTGCAACGCATTGAATTTCTCATAATACCCTTCAGAAAGTTCCTTTGTATCATAATGCGGGAAATAATCCCATTCTTTAAAGGCTTTGATATCAGTGTCGGTGATTCCTTTAGGCGGAGTAGAAGTGTCACGAGGGTCTTTATTTATTTTCGAAATGGTTGATTTCAAGAGGGTGTAGCCTTCATTTAGGGTTTGGTTACTCTTATATTTTCCCCAAGACCAGGTAGTAGCGATTTGAGATGCATTATGAACGCGGATAAACGCCGTGGGTTGTCCATTCGCTTTCGGCATAAAGGGGATAAACGCACCCGGGAGGGACGGAAGAGGAACGGGGAGCTTATTAAGCCACTCATTAATGGTGTTGATAAATGTTGGACGGAGGAACCCGGCAAAGTTGTCTCCGTTGGGTGTATTGACGTTGACGGCTCCAGACCAGTACTTTGTGACGCCAACAGGTGAGAAGGCTTCTTGTTCTTCAGGGGAGATGGCGAGGTTGGCGGCTTGGAGGGCGTGCATGACGGGAGGGAAGGCTAGGACGAGTTTAGAGCAGGTTTGAGTGGTGGGTGTTGTTTGACCTGGTAAAGTGTAAGTAATGACTGGGGTGGGACCCGTACGATCAATCTTGTTGATGGTGGTGCATAGATGGAGGGGGCCCTTGACGTGCTGTTCGGCGTACTGCTGAAACACTTTTTGAAAGTCTAAGGAAAATAGAATTGATTAGCATGTGTGTATGGCACAAAAGTAAGATACACCACCATCTTTTCTGTATTTTCTGTAACGTACCAATGATATACCCCGTCTTTTTCCCCGCAAAAAACTCGACAATATCCGGCGTAAAATACTGCAACATGTACACCGCAGGCGTCTCCAAAATATCACCATACCCATAGGGCACCATCCCTTGAATAAACAACACTAGCATAAACGGAAGTTTATTTTTCAAGAGCCATTGAATGGTCGGGACCGTCATTTCTTTGGGGACCCCCTTTTTATATCCAAGCGACACGATCGGCTCAAACTGTTCATGCCAAATCTTGATATACCGATCAATGTTTTCTTTGAAAGGAGGTCGAGCGGCCGTAACGGACATGGGTTCCTTTTGCTGCTCGATATGCCCAGACTCGTAATCAAAGAGCCAGTTTTTGAATGTATAGTCGAATGGAGTGGCTTGGACTTGAGCTGTGTTGATGATTTTGACGGTTTCGGTGTAGGTTTCGTTTGAAAACAAGAGGGCACCGAGGGGGTGAAAGAGTCCCCTAACATGAACATATCAGATTATTGTCCTTTACCGTATATTTCGCATAGGAAAACTTACTGCTCATTGTAGTAACTCTGACATTTCCCACCAACAGCTTCATTCTTTTCAAACACGACAGTAGAGTATCCTTTAGCTTGCAACTTGTTTGCAGTCGTCAACCCCGCCGGTCCAGCTCCGACGATACAAACTGGGTCAGAGGGGATGCTAGCCCCAAAAGCGGCAGTAGCACTCGCGAGAAACAAGACGACGGATTTCATGGCTCACAAGACACTTGGTGTGTTTTGCAAGTGTTTGTGGGTGATAAGGTGGGAAGTGACAGCAGTTACCTCACGGTTTTTTATATTAAAAGCTATTTACCAATATTGCCTGCAGATCGGGTCCATCCGACTCGGTAAAAAAAAAGATAAACAAGGGAAATGTGAACTAGTTGAAAGTATGAGATCCCAAATTTTGACATTGCCTATCATTTTCATCTTCTTTTTGACTGAAAACCCGTTATGGGTTGAAAATCGTTAAAAGCAGTCATTCAGCCGAATTCCACATACTATTTACTCAAAAGAAAAATAGCCGCCGCCTTGAACAATAAAAAAAAAGCCATGTCCACATTTTAGTGAAATACTAGCTAACAATTGAGTGTTCTTTTTCTGGCTAGGCGCGGTTATCAAAGAAAATTAACTAGAAAAGTGAGAGTAAAAGAAGCCACGGTTCCCAGTACCTTTATCATCAAAACAGAACCGTTTGACACTTGTAGACGGTTCAACCGTCATGGCAAAAGCTGCAAGATAGTCGCTCGGCTAATTACAGGCGGTTTGACTTACGGGCGCAGCTTTGACAACCGCCCTTGAATGACTCGTGGCCATTTGTAGACAAGTTTGTACACGCTGACGATGCCAAAGCAGCAAGATACAACTACAAACCAACTTGCAAGTCGATCCTCCACGGGATCCGACTCCCAGGCGCAGCTGGAAAGGGCTACTTAAAATGACGACTGCATAGTAAAACCACCCGTTTGCAATTTGGAACATCAACCGTTAGCAAAAAGCCACAATGTAAATCTACCCTAACAAAACAAAAAAACCACATGGGTACCAATTGCAGGGCGCAGCTTTGTCAGAGCGTTCATCCAAAAAGTAAAACCGTTAAAGGACTGATGGTAGGAACGCACCGTCAGCAATGTATAGATACCTTGTACACAGACTGATTCATTACCCGTTTTAAACCGTCATAGCAGAGCTGCAAGATCTCGCAAATCTATCTACAAGCAAACTACCTCGTCCAAACTTGCGGGGCGCAAGCTTTATCAGTGCCACTGGAATGACCAACCATAAGCGATTTGTATAGACAAGGTTTGGGACCAGTAAACGGTTCATCTTAACCTCCAAATCACCAAAAAAAAAAAAAGAAAACCTACCCACCTCGATCGGAAATGCAAAAGATAGACTACCATAAGTATCTGTTTTCTGTTAAAAGACTCGTCAATGGCCAATAAAACTAGATGCGCAAGATAATCCACGATACGGAGGTGATCCTTCCGATGTGCTACGTGACTGTGCGCATTCAAAGCCACGCGCATGTGAGGTAGCGATATGGCAATGCATACAGTTGCATGATAAAGTTCAGACAAAATAGGACAATACACATACATGACGTGCAATAAGCGAATTCACAGACGAGTTTGGTTTGTTCAAAAGTGTACATGGCTGGATAGACCATGTTTTTCTTAGAGTGGGTACGAGATGGCCATCGTCTTCATCCATTCCTGAGGGACCCTCAAGCTCATGAAGCAGTAACAGTAATTCGTGATCAACACAAAAAAAGACAGCTCATGACATTTCAATACAAAAAAAAAAAAAAAAAGTTCGACACCGAATGTCCTGACCAACTTGTAGAGTACAAAACCCAAAACATTTCCCCATAGGTATATATAAAAAAAACTCTTACGCCCACCTCCCAATAACAGCCATCACAGCCGCCCCAACCCACAAACAAGCCACTTGAGCAAGTTGCTGTCCATTGGACGCATCCTTGTACCCATTCCCAGCAAAATGCGGTACAATCACGTTAACAAGTCCATCATACAATAAAATACCCGCCGCAAGCGCATCCAGGATGCCCATGCTAATCAAACTCGCTACAGCATTCTCATTGAAACTCGAGTGGATGGCGATACCGAGGGCAATGCCGATGGGTGTTGAGAGGGAGTAAAAGAGGACCATGAGGATGGAGGTGAGGCGTTTGTGAGGGGCGTCGAGGATGATGGTGGAGAGGGCGAGACCTTCAAAGAATTGGTGAAAGCAGAGGGCGACGAGGAGGGATTTGAATTCCTCTGTGGGGGGAGGCGAAATGAAAAAGAGTTAGCTCGGGGACATTGAAGAGTGTGCAAGCGAGAGGGAGATTGAATGCCGTGATAAAAGCAAATGTCAAGAGCGCCCGCGCCAGACCAGGTGGCGAAAAGCCCAAATGAAACCGTTTACGCGCGCAACGACAGTTGCCGTGATGGCGAGCGCTAGCGAGTCGTGTCCCTTTCCCACGAAGCCCAACCCTAACCCTAACCCTAACCCACCCAACACCAAACCCTATACCGAAAACTCACCTCTGGCAGCACCCAAGGTCAGCCCGATTATGATGGAATGGCTGGCAATACCAGCCTCCAAAATATACGTAGTAATCGTCTTTTCCTCTGCATCCAACAACAAGCTATGGACATGAGCGTCCTCTGCATGGGCATGCGAAAGGCGATGGACATCATGGGGATCCTGTTCTTCGATGACAACGGTACCATCTTCCAATGTCTTTGACGAAGCGTCCTTTTTGGGCGTGCTGTTGATGGCTTTGGATGCTTTTCGTTTCCGCAAGAGATTTGAAGCGGTGATTTGAATGAGATGGGTAAAGAGGATACCAAAGAGGGCCATAGCGGATCCCCACGCAGAGTAGTCTTGAAAGGCTTTGGGGAGACACGGATTGGCGAGACTTTTTTGAGCGGGGGTGAGCATGTGCACGAGAGCGGTGGCGAGGATGACACCCGCGCCAAACAACTTGAATGCTTGGAAAATGTTGCTTCCCGACTAGAGACAAGAGAGGAAGAGAGAGCGTGTGAGAGATTGTAATGACATGACGAAGCGGTAGCGGCGAGCGCCAGCGATCCTTGTCCCATGCCATTGCTCAATGATGAGCATAAGGCACGAGTATCAGCGGCGAGCGCCAGCGAACCTTGTTCCGCGCCATTGCTCAATGTCACGCTCTACTGAATCTCCATGATGAAGCGACAGCGAGTCATGTACCTAGCCCTAACCCGAACCCGAACCTGAACCCAACCCAACCCAACCCTAAACCTACTCCCAAAACCTAAACACCCACCTTGAAGCACTTGCCACTCACAATCGGGAGCATGGTCCCAATGAGAGACAAACCCATAATGATAAAGATGGAAGCGACATGAAGACCCATATCATAGTCACCCTCAAGGGCGAGAGCACATGGATCCCCTACAATGGGCTCTGAAGGAGCAGGAGTAGCAGCGTCAGCCATGTCTGAATGTGTGCGTATGTGCGTGCGTATGTGCGTGCGTATGTGTGTGTGTGCGTATGTGTGTGTGTGATGACTATTTATGCAAGAAGCGAGTACCTCATGGGTTGTCAAGACAAGAACCTCCCCAGTTGCAAATAAAAGATAAAAGAAAAAGGCGTAATCATAAACCAATAGAATACAAGTAAGATGTGGATATAAAATGATGGGAATATCACGTGATTATGTGTTTTTTCCCACGCATTTGTGAAATAGAAAGATTTTCCCACACACAAGAGAGAGAGAGAGAGAGAGAGAAATCTCTCTTCATTGTGCTTTTCACTCTTTCTTTTTCACACTTGCAAGAGTCCCTCATGGGTTATCACACTCTCTTCATGTTCGTACCTCATGGGTTATTCTCTTTTTATTTTAATCTTTTTGTCTTTATAGTACAAATGTCATTCAACTTGCTCATAAGGGGACTCTTTACTTATTACCATTACAATTGATGTGCATTCTCATCTTTCATAGTTGTATCAAATGATGTTCAATCCCTTGACATTCAGGAATTGGTTCTTGTCACATTAACCCCTCCCTTCTGAATGTACTGTGCCACAATCGCACGCGTACCTCACGGGTTATATATCACTTTGGTCTAGGACCTCATGGGTTATGAGGGGTTTTTTTATTTGGAAAAGGTTTTCTCTGCCAGTTCACAATTATGAGTGTTTTGGGTGTATTTCGACAAATGGATCACATTGTAATAATAGAGAACAATGGGAGAAAAATGTGTAAGTGGTCATCATGGCTGAGGGCGGGAGGCCGTTTTTTTTTCTCTTTTTCTCATCTGGCATTGGGATGGGGACGGGGGGTGATTGGGAGACGACGACGAGTCTCAAGGACAAGTGTTCAGGGGACGGATTCGTGTAGAGGTGGAGGTTGAGATTTGGGTTTAAGGCTTCGGGTTGAGGTTGGGGTTGGCGTTCCGGTTTTAGGGTTCAGGTAAGCGTTCGCTTTAGCGTTCGGGTTTTAGGGTTCAGGTTAGCGCTCGCGGTAGCGCTTGGGTTCAGGTTGGGGTTGGGATTGAGTTCGAGCTAGCGCTCTCGTCATGGAGCATAGTGGAGATTAAAATTGAGGTCTCGCGAGGGACATGGCTTGCGAACACTCACCATGGAGCTATAGTGGAGAGTGACCTTGAGCTATGGCTATGGCGAGGGACGAGACTCGCTGCCAACACTCACCATGGAGCTATAGTGGAGAGTGTGACACTGAGCTATGGCGAGGGACATGACTCGCTAGCGCTCGTCGCTAACACTCGTGGCTGACGCTCACCATGGAGCTCTAGTAGAGAGTCGTTGGATGGCTCTCGTCTTCATGTCAGTGTTTACGTACTAAACAAAACGCTATTGACTCTCACATCAAGTCAAGTTTCGGGCGTGCACATGGGGTTATCGCAACTTGCGATCTCATTTACATATCATACCAACAAGAACGACACTGTGCTCCGTGAATGGAGGGTGCCGGGCCATAAACAAATGACTAATATGAGTGATATACTCGGTGCATTGTTACCAAGATTTGTATCTCTGTATCAGCATCAACGTAGTAAACAAAACGCAATGTAACACTCACGTCGTGTCATGGACAAGTACTTGCCTCGCACATGCTCCTGATCACGTTGGGTGAACCTCACTCATACACTGCTTGAATTTGTTGTAGATTGCAGGATAAGTGAAAGCTTATTGGACCTCATCCATATGTATCAAAAATACCCTAGAAAATGCAAAATAAACGAGCAGGGGTGCTATGTATTGATTCTCATTCAGGAATGAATGGACTGAAGCGAAACAGGTATCACCTACGTGCCCTGTATACATTTCGCAGCTGCACCTTGTTTCCGTTTGCTTCCAAACAATGAACTCTTTTTACGCTCACCACACGATCACTCTAAAGAACAGCCTGCACCCAATCGTGTCTACCATATTTTAGAGTTCTAGCCCGGCCGCGCAGGATCTTAAAATTCTAGAAGATCCTTTGAAATATCAATTTGATCTGTGCTTGACCGTTTATTAGTTCGGTACGTAAGAATGTGCTCCCCGCGCCATAATGCATACTGGTAGCAAAAAGACTCTTCACTGGAACATTGAGTACGTAGCGATGACGTTGCACATATCCAGCACAACCTCATTGTGTGAACAATCTTTTGCATTGCACCTTGTACGTTCTACTCTGTACAAGAAGACAGTAGCTATTTACTTGACCTACTTGTATGGAATGATATACTTACGAGTTCACATCTCACACCGTGTCAATTGGTTACTAGCTCTACAGTCACAAACACAAATCACTCAATTTCGAACAAATGGAGAGTGAACATGGAGCTATCAGAGACGTATACGTGTCTTTGGAAAGTCTATCCGTATCAGTCATGAATTGGATCGACGTAATAGATTGCATGTTGCGTGCAGCTATAGTGGAGGATGCATTTGGATTGTATTTGCCCCACATGGACGGGGCGTCTGCACTCGCACGTTGGGTTAGGCTTACTAACAGCACAAAATAGTGATAGTGCGCAGGGTATTGCATTTGCTACCCACGGATTCAGCCCCCACGCTTAGGTTTCTCAACCTTCTCGCTAGTATGACGAGTAAATTCTGATCCATTATCCTAAAGAAAGGGTGAGTTCAATCGGTAAGCGGAGCGAGTATGCCCGTCTCTTTGTACCCCCTTGATAGCTTTGAATGGGCTCAACACAGCGCATTGTAAGATTCCGCTTTATATGGGGAAAGAATTGTGAGAATCAAGAGTGTAAGAAATCACCCCTCAAGACGGGCACACAACTCATTAGGGCTGATAATGCTACCTCCATTTGCTGGGTTGCAAAAGGGCGTTTTGAACACGATTTTTGAAAGTGCAGAGAGGGTGCAAGCATAGTCTGTATAAGAGGTTTTCAAATCTCATGCATTCCCTCACTGGTTTCATACATTTTCTGGTGTGGGAACACCAATTCAACATTCCAGCAGAACAATAAAAGGGCAACGCTGACAGCACCTGCTAATCTATGCCCAATAATGATGTGAGCGATACTCACAATATTCTACTTTGCAGCAAAGAAAATGAGTTGCTGTGCACGTTGCTTTGGAGGACGGATTGAACGAATGCCCAGATGGGTAGTCCCCCTGATCGGCCGATCAGACCTCCGGCTTACGCAATCAGGCTTAGTCCGATTTCAAAGCCTCAACATTTCTTTGCCCGAACACTCCCGCAACTCGTCTGGCCATTTCACACATTTCACATCCTACATTTCATTATACATTATGCTCCTCACACGTCGTATCGCAACCGCCGCTCCCTCCTTGACGAGGGCATACGCAACCTCCAATGCATTCAATGAGGTCGTGATCGTCTCTGCTGCACGTACACCCGTAGGATCTTTCCAAAAGTCCCTCGCAAAGCTCTCTGCTCCCCAATTGGGGGGTGTAGGTAACGTCTAATCGTTAATGTCACAAAATCCCAAGAGTGTAAACTCAACATTATACAAAACCAGCCATCAAGGGCGCCATTGAAAAAGCCGGTCTGAAACCATCTGATGTCCAAGAAGTTTACATGGGAAACGTCGTTTCCGCCAATGTAGGCCAATCCCCCGCTCGCCAAGCAGCCATCTTTGCTGGATGTCCTGAAACAACCGAAGCAACCACCATTAACAAGGTCTGCGCATCGGGCTTAAAGTCGGTGATCTTTGCATACCAGGCTTTGGCTTTGGGTGCTCGGGATGTGATGGTGGCTGGTGGAATGGAGAGCATGTCCAATGTCCCGTTTTATTTTCCGAGGGGAGCACAGTTTGGTCATCAGCAGGCTGTGGATGGGATCATTAAAGATGGACTTTGGGATGTTTATAGCCAGGTACGTCCTTTTTTTTTTTTCGCCCTTGTTTTGACAGTTTTGTGAACCGCTAGCGGGATTATAGGTCCACATGGGAAACTGTGCCGAGGAAACAGCGGTCGAATACGGCATCTCGCGAGAACAGCAAGATGAACACGCCATCACGTCGTATAAACGTGCAGCAGCCGCATGGGAAAAGGGGTTATTTAAAGAGGAAGTCGTTCCTGTGACGATCAAGGACCGTAAAGGTGATAAAATTATTGTGGAGGATGAAGAATACAAGAATATCAAATATGATAAAGTCCCGAGTTTGAAGAGTGCGTTCCTAAAAGGAGGTGAGTGTCCGCTAGTGGTCAGTCGACTGTTTCTTGTAGAAAATCTATTTCTACTCGAATACGGACGACAATTGTATCGTGTGATAGGTTCAGAGTATCCACCAACTCAGAAAAACTCACCATACTTAAAACCCCTAGGCTCCGTAACAGCCGCCAACTCCTCAACCCTCAACGACGGCGCCTCAGCCCTCCTCCTCACCACCGCCCAAAAAGCCGCATCACTGAACCTCAAACCCCTGGCCCGTATCCTCAGTTTCGGCGACGCAGCAACCCATCCCAAGAAATTCACCATTGCACCGTCCCTCGCTGTCCCTATCGCCCTCCAACGCGCCGGATTGAGCAAGGACGATGTGAGCTTGTTTGAATTGAATGAGGCGTTTAGTGTTGTTGCACTAGCCAACCAAAAAGTAGTAGTCTCCGTTTTTCGCATTTTGCTTTTCAACACCATCTCATTCCTTTATGTTTTTTAGATTCTCGATATCGACCCATCTAAACTCAATATCGCTGGTGGAGCCGTCGCACTCGGACACCCCATTGGATCCTCTGGATCTCGTATCCTTGTTTCTTTGGTTCATTTGCTTCAACAGGGGCAGATTGGTGTTGCGGGGATATGTAATGGTGGAGGGGCGGCTTCTGCTGTTGTTATTGAAAAGTTGTAAAGTACGATTTTAGATGGGTAGACGGGGGCAGTGGATGATTTTATCCCGAATCTTTACAGAACAAGTTATACATGGTGAGAGTTAACTTGAAGTACCACAGAATGCAATACGTGTTGACATATCATGGTATTATCACCACGAAACCCCCTGTAATGCCGCTCAATCAACTCTTCATGAGATAACCCAGACATTTGGATAACACCCCACCAAAAAAACATTATATATATTTTACTATTCCCAAATGGGTACATCATTATAATCAAAATCTGTATCCAAATCAGCCCAATTCGTTACTTTGGAGTGGTTTCGTGATGTTTGTTTTGGTTCCATACTGTCATTCTTTTGTAAACCAACAATGAGTTTCAATTGTCGGGAGTCATATTATAGGAATGTATCGTACCAGTACTTCTCCAGACTCATTTCCGTTCCCTTCATTCGACGGACGTTCGATATGATTCGCTCGGCCGATTGACTCTTGATCCACACAAAGTTTCCGTGGTGAACAAGACTTGTTCATCTCCATCCGCTCATTCTACAATTCACACCCAAAAGAGTCTAGTTGGTCCGTTTTTATAATATTATATAAAGTACGTAACCAATACCTCTCCAACCTCTTCAGATTCATTGCCATTCCCTTTATTCGATGGGCGTTCGATTTGATGGGTTGGTATATCTGGACTAGACGCCTCCTGATCTCGACACTTTTGTGATAAAGATACCGGCCTTGTAGGCCGTGATGCCGTTGGTTGGGGACCTGAGGGGATGTAAGGATTCAACTCCTCGTTTTGATGATTTAGTTGGTTATGTGCTTTTGGGCGGTCAACAACGGTATGAACGGATGCTTTGTATGCGTCCTGATGTTTTTGTTTCTCGGGACTGTCTTTTGATCGACCTCTGGCGTAGTCGGTTCCTTTATGGGGTTTAGGTGGTGAAGGGGAGGTTCGTCGGTGGGGATTTGAGGGGAGGTACGGATTTAGTTGCTCGTTTTGAGTACCTCGTGGTTGAGAATGTGGTTTTGACTGCGCGCGGTCAAAAAAGTTATGAACGGAAGCTTCGTACGCATCCTGTTCTCGCCTTTGTTTATCGTCTTTTGATCGACCTCTTTGGTGATCGTTTCCTATACGAGGTTTCCCTTGCGAACAAGGCGAACTCTGTCGTTGAGGTTTACGCGGAATAGGAAGATACGGATTCAATTCCTCTTCCTCCTCATTCGTATCCGATTCCTTGTTATTCTGCCTAAACACAGGAGATCCAGATACTTGACACGGCAGCTCAGATTGTTTTTTATTGGGTTTGGGTTTTCTGTGTCGGGTATTTCGGTCTGTTTTTGGTGCGGTTTCCCAGGCATGCACAATCGGTTGTGGTCTACCAACAAACTATTATTAGATACACTCTTAGTTTTGTTATGATGGAGTACGCTTACTCGGTTTCCCAGGCGTGGATCGGACGGTCTTTACGATGGGGAGGGGTGTAGCGGTTTATTTCGGGACGGTGTCGGTCCATAGTTTTTTAAAGGTGTGAATGGAAATCAGGTTAGGCTTTTCGATTTTTGTGTGTGTGATTTGTTTTGGAAACAGTGTTTTGTGGGGTCTCCCTTTTGTTGTTGGGGGTCTTTCTTCGTAGTTGGGGGTTAAGATGGTAGATTGAATTAGTGTGAAATGATAGAGTAGCGTAGGATAAGTTTGGAGCGAGTGCAACCGCTTTTTGACAAGAGTTGTGCAAACCCTTATGGGTGATGTCAATGATGAAACTTGCTAAAGTGTTCAATGATCTGCTGATGAATGGGTTTTGGGTATTGGTTTTGTTTTTACACTTTTTGTTCCATCATTTGATACGATATAACATCTTGCTTTCTTCTTTTTTCATGACGAATGCATTACATGACATTGCAAGAAAATTATAAAGGTGTTCAAATGCTATGCGATAAACATTAACAAACAGTTCGTATCAAGAGTTGAAAACTGCGCTGGGAGTGCGATGGACCCAAAAAACTACTGTGCGAATAGCGCGTCATTCACACCCTTTTTTTCTGGCACACCTCTGCAAGTTTCGTCATTGAACCATGCCCCCACGGCCACCCATCTCTCTTCCAACCATCCACCCACCAAAACTCTCTCCTCATCCCACGCTCTACTTTAATGCGTTACAACCCCTCCGACAATGCACATTAACAAACTATGCAAGCTTTGTAAGTGTCCTTGGACGGAAACTCTTGGGAGGGCAACGCAGATTCGTTTCGTCAACACATCGAGTGTGTACGCCAACGTCTTCAACGCCTCCCATACCCAAAACCTGTCCAGGCAAGTACATGCTCATTTCACTGAATTACCGGCAAACAGTAGGCACGGATGCTGATTCTCATTTTCCTATAGGATGCGGAGCCCCCTTCCAACACGTTGACCCAACCCACATTGGCTACCTCCCCCTCAAATCCAGCACACCACCTCCATCCATAAAATACCGTCCAACAGAAGAAACCGAAACCCTCACAACACTCAAACCCCAACTCCGTACTCCAAAACCCCGAATATGCCAACGCTGTCACAATCTTCGACATCACAATAAAGGACTGATACGATCTTACCCGGATGCCGAGAAACTTTTATCGGGTGTTAAAGTCGTGCAGAAGGGATACGTTCTCCTTGTTGTCGATGTCGTGGATTTTCCTGCGAGTTTGATAAAAGGTCTCGGAAATCTGGTTGGAAACGATAAACCCGTCATTCTCGTTGGCAATAAAGTGGATTTACTACCGGACGTCAATCGAGATAGTTTCAAGAGTGCGTTAAAAAGGGAAGCCAAAAAATCTCTAAACATCACCGACGTTCTTTTGACGAGTGCAAAAACCGGTGAAGGTCTCTTGGACCTTGTTGAACGCATTGCACCAGTTCAATCCGAAGGGACAGACCTATTTCTTATCGGTTGCACCAATGTTGGTAAATCCGCTCTTGTCAATGCACTTGCCAAAGTCACCGGAACCGATACACCTGGTCCAACAACGTCACATATGCCCGGCACGACCATTGGCATGGTTCAAATTCCTTTAAACCTCACCAACATGGCACTCTCATCAACACCCGGCCGCATCTTTGATACACCAGGCTTATATACCCCACACCAAATAACCCACCACCTCACAACCCAAGAACTCAAACTCGTCCTTCCAACCACCCGAATTACACCTCACCAAAAAAACCTGCGACCTGGTCAAACACTCTTTGTTGGCGGGTTATACCGCTTTGACGCAAGAGATTCACCTCTCTCCATTACATTCTACGGAAGCAAACTCTTACCCCTTCATCGCTGTCGAACCGTTAAAGCCGACATTTTGTACGCTAAACATTGTGGTGGTGAGCACATCATGTTCCCACCGCTTGGCCGTGCAAAAGAGTTTTTGCCGTTGAAATTGGCTACCAAAGTCAAACTGCGCGTTGGTGAGAAGGTGGAGTTGGGGTTGGGGGGTGTCGGGTGGGTGAGCTTTGAGGGACATGGTAGGGTGGATGTATTTTCTCCTGAAGGGGGGTATATTGTACCTAGAGACGTACTGTATAAATGAAAAAAAAAAACTACGTTTTGCATGTCCATGCGCTAAAGGTGTGTTTGTTTTGTGCATGTTTTTTGTATTTGCAGAGTATAAACCCGTTAACAACATGAATTATTGTTTTTATCCTTTTTAGCAATATTCTTTTGTCGTGTAAGTCCCAAAAACAAGGGAGGAACCACGCGACAAAGGTGTGCTGAACACGAAACACTTTTCGAGCACGATTTGCAAGGGATCCCCTTGCCGAAAGATCTAACAATCCCCAATATCATCTCACACATCTTCAATATCCATCCCCCATCATCCCCCATCAAACTAAACACATCCTTCAAAGCAAAAAAATATACACCCTTTCATCTACAAAAAAGTTTGACACATTCATTAGGCCTTCCACCTCACCTTAAATCCCTCCTCCACCAAATTAAACGCCGCCCAATCCCCAACATCCTTGACACGCATCGCAACCCCCTCAATCCTCACACCCAAAACCTTTAAAACCCCCCTAAACTCCTTCAATACACCCAACACCCCATCCGAAGTCAAGTTCGCAGGTTTAATCGTCACGAATTTGAGACGCGGGAACACAGAGAGGGATCCAAGAGTTTCCCGTAGGGTGTCCAATGTCGGGTCCGTGAGTACGATGGATAGGAGGGTGAGGGGGGGTGATGGGGGCACAGCGGTCCAAAAAGAGGGAGTGGGATCCGTTAGGCCATAGAGTGTGTCAAGAGTTTTGAGGAGGAGGACAAGGTCGGGTGTGCATGGGGTTTGAGGGGGGATAGAGAGAATACGGAGGGAGGTTAGGGGAAGGAGGATAGCAGGGTCTGGTAGTGCATAGTTGGGTCCGATATGGAGTTCACAGAGATGAGAGAGAAGAGAGAGAGCAGCGAGATTTATTTCCGACTTGGCCGTGTCCTTTGGTTCATTCGCCGCTCCATTGATTTCTAACCTCTTGAGCACTGTAAACTTTCCAATATTGTCCCACTCCACCGGGTCCTCCTTTCGTATATTCCCCAACCGTAACACCCACAAATCCTCTGCAACAGGCGTCAACCACTCCACGACATCCCGCGGCGGGAAATGCATTTCAACCACGCGCGGACACATATCCTTCAACAACGTCACAAACTGTTCCTTGAACCGCGGGGACAGGCCTTGGGGTAGGGTGATTTGCCACGGTACAATGGAAACATTTGGGACTCGTCTCGTATCATCCAATGGATGAGACCAATTCACTCGCATCAGTAGCATCCCCAAAATGGCATTCAAGTATTCTCCCAATTGAGTTCGGTCCACGGGGACATGCTCCACAGTCGTGCACACCGTGACACCCTCCCCCGCCATACACGATCCAGTCGTCTCCGCATAACTCTTTGGCAAAACAGTCCAATATTCCAACGGTAACGGCCTCGTAATAGTCGTCTTTGGCACCGATTGTACTTGTTTTTTGGCTTTACTGCATTGTTCTTTCCATTGTCCTGCAGATGCACCCTCCCCTGTCCAAAGCACCAAATTCATTAAAACAACACGAGGCCGCCATGTTCCATCCTTGTTCATCCTCACGCACCGCCACCATTGTTTGCAAACAAGCGGGGCAATAACGTGGTATTCGAGGGGATCTAGCCAGCGTAACAGGGCGTACAAGGCATCATCACTGAGGACAGTGCATTTTGCAGATGGGGAGGAAACATGGAGGTTTGTGAGGGATGTTGAGAGAGATTCTAGTGCGTGCACAACGTCTATGGCTGCGTTGCTCGTCATGCTGTCAACTTGTAACAAATTCAAATCTAAAATGTCCCCAACCTCCTACAATCCCGCAACTTGCTTCCCATCTCTTTGCCTCCGATCCGGATTCCATCCACCTGGTTCCATCCACTTTACATAATCATAACTCCGTTTCTCACCCTTTGAGGCTTTTTTGTTGCTGAGTAAGGCAGCTGCTTCTCAGCAGAAACAAGGAAGGTCATTCACATAGGGATCTTGTGTAGTTGTTTATGCTTTGTTTGGCTGACTGCTTTTTCAGGTGATGTGGGATGGACCCTCAACTCCGCAAGATATGTTGGTGTCGAAAATGTCAACTGAGAAGCCAACTAGATCGAGCGACAGGCCTCTTGCAGTGGTTCAAAGGTCTCTCGTTTGGGCTTTCTAACCCTCCAAAGTCATCATTAGGCGCTCTTCCTTGAGAAATGGGTTCTTGTGATACGCGGGGTCCAGTTCTCTGGAATTCGTAAACAGCAAACTATAAATGCGCTGCACAGCAATTTAGTCCGCCACCAGCGCGTAAAGTCCGCTACAAACAAAAAGTCAAGCATTTCTGTGGATAGAAACTTTGCAGCATATGACAATATATTCCATGATAGAACAAAATGCTTCATATCAGATTCATGATCGAGGAAACTGGTAAAGCTGTTGTCCAATAATTAGTAAATGAACCATGCTCCGAACTCGCGGTTTGAAGCAAACAGTAGAATTGAGATGCAGAGAAACTGTTGGGTACCTGACTCGTACAAACACCAGTGGGTGGAAACCTCTGTCTGGTCAAAACACTCACTGACCAGATTATCCAATTTCCCGCCGATATTCATGTTCATTAATGAACAGGGCTTTTTGTTTTTGTTTGGGTTTTTGTGGAATATGAAAAGCCACCATCACCCAGTTGTTTGGACTTTAATTTTTTTCATTTCTGCGATTTACTCTGCGATTATCTTTTTCTGATTCCATAATAGGTTGTGATTTACATGTTCAGATCATGAGTTGCGAACACAGATACTTTTAAGCGCTTGGATCTCCCAGCGAACAAAAGTATCAAAGTGAATAACTTACTCCAACGCATATGGTTTATCCAAGACACCAAGTCCGTGGCGTTTCCATGCATTTCATAACTGTCCCTTCACCTCGGGACGACTGTTTACATATACCCATTCTCTCCGCTCATGGACAACCCTCATATCTATCCGTGGCCAATGCCCTCGCCTGACGTCACAAAGGTACCTATTCCACATCCAAATTGCCAGTGAATACGCCGTGGGTATTCGGGTACTTTTTTTTTTGTGGGTGTGATCGACGTTTGAACATTCCCGCTCTGTCGCGTGGGGCCTCTTCTATCGGTCATTCAAACACCGAGTGGCTTCGCATCATGTTGAACCTTCTCTTTTGTTTATGTTTTTCTTTTTTTTGCTCCTTTTTGAACACATTTTTCTTTGTTCTGACTTTAGTGGATTGAGATTCATGAGATGGTTTTTGAGTTCCGAAAAGGTTTAAAAAGCCAGGTTTGCATCCAATAGTTCCCAATCCAATTGGATGAGTTCTTTTCTCAATCCAGAATTTCTTGGGACGTTAACCTGTCATGGCGGATACCATAGTCCAAGTTACGATGCCGGATGTTGCATCAGTAGGGGAAGGGAAGCCAAAGAGGACGCCGCTGGATTGGCGGAGGATGAGCGTTGTGTGCTTGGTTACTTTTGTTGGTACGGGGTTCCCTTTATTCTCGAGTTCCCTTTTGCATCTGACTGATGTTATTATTCTAATCTCCAAAATGCACACTTCACTAGACCCCCTCCAATTCGGTGTCCTCCTCCCCTTCATCTACTTTATGGTCCGAGACTTTTACCCAACATCCACCCACATTGGAACCTACGTCGGTCTCATCACCTCCTCCTTCTGCCTCGCCCAACTCGTGACGGCTTTACCTTGGGGATGGCTTTCGGACCGAGTAGGACGAAAGTGGGTCCTGGTGGCGGGGTTGCTGGGAAATGGTGTCTTTGTGGGTTTGTTTGGTGTCAGTAGGACGTTTTTGCAAGCGGTGAGTAATATGCCTGCCACCTTTTTTCAGATGATTATTGCCGTTGTTGATTTCTTGACGTTTTGTGTGCGATTTTGCATTTCAGGTGCTGTTTCGGATGGCTTGTGGGGCATTGAACGGTAGGTAAAACCTATTTCGAACGTAATTATCCATTTCATTCCAATTACATCAATTAAAGACAACCTTTGCATTCCCAAACAAAGGCAACGTTGGAGTCGCCAAATCCGTCATTGGTGAAATAACTGATGATAGCAACCGATCTCTCGCCTTCTCCGTCTGGGAGACTGCGTTCGGCCTCGGTGGAATCGGTATGCTTTGTCCTTTTTTACAACTGCCATTTCAAATTCAGTCACTCACGATTGCCTATAATTTCAACGCTTGCTCATAGTGGGACCCGCACTCGGTGGCCTGCTTTCTCATCCGGCTGACAAGATACCTGCCTTTAGAAATGTTGAATTCTTTCGCACCCACCCATATTTTCTTCCTTGCCTGGTGTGTGTCGGTTTGAGTGTGTTTGGGGCTGTTCTGGCCATTGTGGGCTTTGAGGAGACATTGGGGAGGGGTGGGCAAAAGGAGAAAGAGAAAGTGGAAGGTGAAGGGGAAGATGGAGCAGAGAAGGAAGGAGAGAAAGGGTTACAAGTCAGCGATGTGAGAGGAGAGATTTTGAAATCTGCGGAAACACTTTTGGAGGAAGGGTTTGGAGGTACGGAGACTACTTCCCGACGAGGATCATCACATTCGGTCCTCTCCATTCCGGCCCTACCCACCTCCCGACGTGGGTCGATGGGTTCGGTCCTACCAGTACCTCCTCATCTACCCACCTCCCGCCGAGGTTCCAAAACGTCTCTCTCGTTCCCAGTCCCATCCTTAGGCTCCTCCCACCGTTCCTCCCGTCGAGCTTCCATCACCTCCATTGCAGCCACCGCACCGGCTCCCATATCCCACAGAGGATCAATCGTCTCGGCGGATAACGTCAAACTCCCGAAACAATGGACCATCCGCTCCCTCCTAACAAAACGGATTCTCCTCCCTGTTCTAGCGTACGCACTGTGGGCCCTGATCCAAGTCCTATATGACGAGACACTATCCATCTTTGCAGTTGCACCCATTTCAGCACATGGACTAGGTCTTACGTCCCAGACCCTGGGACTTGCCCTCACCTCCGCGGGCGTGATCCAGGTCTTTGCTCAGGCCGTCGTATACCCTCCTTGTGAGCAAAGATGGGGATTAGGAGCCTGTTTGAAGGCAGCTGCGGTCGGGATGGCAGTGTTTGTGTTTGGTACCGGGTTTGTTGGGGACTTGACTCGCAAGGGGCGGATTGCCGTGGTGGTCGGGTTGGTCGGGTGTTTGGTTGGGAGGACAGTGGCAATTGTTTTTGGATATATTTCCATCATGATTATGGTGCGTTTTGACTTATGCATAATTTTGAAAAGTTTAAAAATGCTAACTGAGAATGCACAATTGCTATGGTACTAGATTAATAACTCTGCACCATCACCGTCTACCTTGGGGACCGTTCACGGCTTTGGCCAAGTTGCCTGTTCCGCGGCGAGGTAGGCTCCAATACACTCTCATCGTTGGATACTCGGGAAACCAACATCAACTTCTTTACTAGAACCATCGGACCAGCTTTTGCAGGCTTACTCTGGACCCGAGCGTCAACTAGCAATCTCCCCTTTCCCCTCGACTTTCACGTCCCTTTTATCCTTATGAGCGGTATCGCGCTTGGGTGCTGGGTGCTGGCAGTTGTAATAGAGCGGAGGGAACGGCGTGCGATGAGAGAAGCGACTTGCGTGGAGTTAGGGACGGCCTCTATGGCGTAATTGTGTTTATCTGTGTGTGTGTGTTTGTGTGTGTGTGTGTTTGTGTGTGTGTGTTTGTTGTTGCTTCGTAGGTGCAGAACCCCGTGCGAGTTACGGGTTTATACCCTTTTTTTTCATTGTTGCCCTTGGAGCTGTATGTCAATATGTCCAATGAATACATATCTGTTAAATTAGTGCTTCGTGCATGCGGTAAGGCGGCCATCGCATCGATTGTTCACATGCCATGAGCACTTTATGGAGCCTAAAGTATCTACTCTGATTTCGATCTCAGTTTTCTCTTAGGTTGTCCATACGTATCACGGCAATTAAGAAGCAATGGCAATTGCGTTTCGATCCTTCCTAGGAACCACACCTCTCAATCTCCCGTGTTGCGTAGAGAGTCGAGGACTGACATCAGTGAGGTAAGTAAGGGGAAGCCCCGTCACTCTACCCCAAGTCGTGTTGACAAACGCCGCTCCTATTCAACACTGTGCTAATAATCAAACCTATAACTCTGTTCAACGCAAAGTATCCGTGTAGCTCAATGCTGTACAGGATGCGATTCTTAATGCCAACCATAGTTCATTAATCACCGACCAGATTGGTAGGATGGCGGATCTGGCAGTAGTCTCATGATATATCGAGTGGTCCATCAAAGGATCTGTGTAAGGATAATATGGATATGCTTGGCCATCTACCATTGCAGTAATCGAGTGCACACTCAGATGACACACTAAGAGCCAGCCTGCTAGGCATTAACCTTTGTCAAACAGTGCTGCAGACAGAGAGGGCCATCGGGATATTGCTGTTTTATATAATCCCATACATCGTCACCCTGTTGTTGTCCATTCTCATTGCGCGACATTCCCGCTTCTTCCACTACCTGCAATGTAACTGGAATTGACGTTTCGTCCAATCTTCTTGCCCCAAGTGCTCTTATCACCCTGACCGCTTGCAGCCATCTTTGGTCCAAATGCATGGTGTGCTCTGCAACGCGCCGCAGCTTTCGGGTGTGTGCCCGAGTGCTGTCAGACAACCAACCAAGTTCCAAGTTGAACATTGTTACTTCCCTGTCCTGATGATCAGCCCAATCTTCCACAAACAAAAAGGTGGTAGAAATGGCAAAACGTCCAAATGCGCAGCAATGGCACAGCACATCACATGGTCTGATGACAAGTTCGAGAGAGGCCTTCCAAGTCTCACCTTTTGGTCATCGAAGAACCCCCAAAGACATTTGGTACATGTCTTCAAACCCAGCACTCTTACCACTACCACCATCTCCTTCACCACCTCTCTCTGTCGTCGCATCAACGCTCCAGGCTCACATGTCCTCTGTTCACACCATTCCACCAGCGACTCAAAACCAGAACGAACACCGGAATCTTGAAATATCTGTCGCGTGGGAGGATTCAACAGGCGACGAGAAGAGGTGTTGGATTTGTTTTGTGGAGGAAAGGGAGGAGGATGTGTCGAAAAAAGTCCGGTGGGTGAGGCCTTGCAAATGTAAAAATTCGTTAAAGGTTAGTCGTTTGGGGAGCCATGCACTTTTGTAACGTTCCAAAGGTTGAATGATTATCCTGTTTCATTGCAGTTTGCACATGAAGACTGTCTTTTGCGATGGATATCCGAAAAACAAGGACCAATAACAACGGACGTAAAGTGTCCTGCCTGTGGACATGTGTACGCCATTGAAGAGTAGGTATCCCTAACCGGCGCACGGTTCACGAGTTACACTACTAACGTGCTATGTGCAGATCTACCGACGTTGTTCTGGCAATTCTGACATTTGTAGACAAGTCCATTCAATCGGTGGTCCCGTATGTCACGTTGGCCGGAGTTTCAATGGCGTTTTACGTAGTGTCGACGACATTTGGAGCATATGCAGTGATGACCATGTGTGGACCCGACGAAGGGGAACGGATCTTGAGCGAAGCGAATTGGGGATGGAGAACATGGGTTCGTATATTTTCAACATTACCTTGTGCGCATAATAGAATGGAGACGTCTAATGACATTTTTCTCGGCTTTCCAGATTGGATTACCGTTGATACCGATTGGTTTAGTGTGCTCCCGACTTACGGCAGCCGACGCTGCGCTCCCACTCTTGCCCTTTCTGGTTCTAGGAAATGATCAAATCCGTCTCAGCTTGCCACCGTCCCCTGCACTGACGGTATGTTTGTTACCATGGGCGCGACTACTATATAATGGCGTCTGGGCGACAATTTGGCCCTGGATTGAACGAATTGGGAGACATACACCCGCACGGAATGGGGCGGTACGGAGTGGAGGAGCGGTGGGGCAGGCGGCAGTTGCGGGACAACAGGAAGACGAGGAAGATGTGCAAGAGTTTTCGATTGGGCGACGAGATGGACAGAGGCTTGTATTGGGAAGTTTGTTATTACCTGGTGAGTTATATGGTAACCAGGTACTAGATGCTGCGGTGATGCTGATGCATGTTCTCCTTCCTAGCTGTATCGTCTTTAATGGGGACTCTATTGGGTAGTATTCCGTGGGTCCGAAACAAGGTCCCCGATCCTTTTCACCGCAACATTCTCGGAGGGTGCCTATTTGTGGTATGTAAGGATGTTGCCAGTGCGGTGTACAGGGCACATAGGAAACGACAGCGACGGACGAGGCGCGTAAGAGAGTATCGCGGAGACTAAATCGAAGGGAGCTTTAATCGGCATGGGGAAGCATAGTACTAGCACCCGGATTTGCATGCTTGCGGCCAATATGTTGAACTTGCGTAAAATGTTTTGATGGGCCGTATATACGTTTTGGCATATCATGGAGGGGTGCGCCTTCAATATAATTTTTGAAATGCTCGCTTCTAGACTTTGTTATTGAAAATCCCCATCAGTTTGCATTCCATCAAAAACCGAGAGGAAATTCTCGAGGTTCCCAAATGGGCACGTGCCGATGGTGCTTATGAAATCAATATTTGCCCAAGGTCTTTCCCCCCCGATCTGATACCAAGTTGACGAAGCACTTGAGGCCAACGACCACCTATTGCATGCTTATTTTACTGTTCAGTTCTTGTTGCTACAATTATACAATTCCTTTTGTTCAGAAGTAGTTTACCTGTTTCTTCGTCATGTCGGACGGTAAGTGTTTTTGGGACGATTATTACAGTAACTATAGATATACTGATTTAACGGTGCGCTATCCTGCAGCATCAGATGCAAAAGCCGACATTCCCCATTACCGAACCGCCGACACAAACGCCCTTGAAGCCGCATACTCAATTGGGATTAAACTCGGACAGTACGTCAACGTCTTGTCTAGATTTCATCACTTTTTCGCATATCAAAACCATTCCAAATTACAGAGGTTCATTCGGGACCGTTCGCCTCGTCCAACACAAGGAGACAAACACAACATATGCATGTAAAATCCTGCGTAAGCGACGAGGAGCCCCCACAGCGTATGAACAAATCCAGCGAGAAGTGGCAATCATGAAACGAGTGCGGCATCCCCATATTATACAGTTGAAAGAAGTTTACGAAACACCGAAAAAGTTCTTTTTGATCATGGAGTAGTAAGTAAGATCGTAAACGAGGAACTACATTTCTGTTGGAGACAATGAGATTGACAATTGACTAATCGGCCTCAAAGTTGCAAAGGCGGCGAACTAGTCCAAAGAATCAAATCCCGACGGTCCTGTTCCGAGTCAGACGTTTGCACAATCATGTACCGTCTTGTCGACGCCATCGCTTACCTTCACGATCAAGGCATTGTGCACAGGGATATCAAACCTGAAAACATACTGGTCTCATCCGACACACCAATACCGCTACCAGGAGGTACCGGTCAATCCGATTTATATAATATAAAAGTGTCAGATTTTGGATTAGCGACTTCGGTGGATGCTTGTACAATGATGGAAAACATTGTTGGAACACCTCTATATATGGGTAAGTGCCGATTGAAGGGGATCCTTTTGTTAGCGTATAATCGATCGCAGGGGGGTTTTTTGACTCATATGTTGAGTTCAGCGCCAGAAATCGTGCAGAATCTTGGATACAGCGCACAATGTGATATCTGGAGTATCGGCGTGCTGATGTACCTCCTGTATGTTCTTTTCTTTTCAGTTTGTATTGTATTCAAATTCTGATGACTTCCTGACACTTGTGATGAACAGGCTGTGCGGGTACAGAACCGACGCAGAAAAGGCACTCCAGCAGATGATATCGGAAGGACGAATAGAGTTTCCGTCAATATTTTGGGCAGAGGTATCTCCTGGTGGTAAGTAGAGTTGGCAGAGTGAAGGGTACGCCGATGCTAAACTTTGATCATTAGCTCGCAACCTCTGCGAATCGACTTTAAGAATCGATCCCGCCAAACGAATAACGGCACGAGAAATGCTAATGCATCCATGGCTAAACGTAACCTTTATTTTCCTTCTGTTTCAATCATTGTATGTCATCCTAACACGGCGTCGTGCTCTCCACTGAAGGGCGAAGCAAGTGCAACGCCAATATCAGCTACAGTACTCGATCTAATGCGTTCCTACAATGCTGAGCGCAGGTTTCGCAAAATAGCAAACACGATTCTCGCGACCATCCGACTTCGGTCTTCCGACGGCACAATAAAATCCTTCCCTGCACCCTTTGAAAAGAACTCTCAACAGGGCTCTGAATCATCACTATCAGATCTAAGTCAATGCAGCAGCCATGAATCTATAGATTGTTTGACGGATGATGATCTACTAGGAATTAAACCCGCCTTGCAAGCTAAAAGCCTTGTGTACATTAAAACCACTGCAAAAAAGCCAAGCAGTACCGACCGGGATAGGGCCTGCCGAAGTGTCGCCAGTCTCACAGCAACGGAAACCGAACAATCTTCCATGAAACCCCCGAGATTAGCATCGACGGAGCGTTTGAGATCATTGCAGGATGCAACAACAAAACCAAGAAAACCATCCTCCCAAACTTCGCGCAGGACACCCACACCTGATTCAACCATGCCCTCCCTACTTCCCCCGGCTTCACCAAAATCCCAAACATACTTGAAAAAACGCGTACCTTTACCATCGACATCTCCAAAACGATATTCGCGGACCAACACGCCGGGTGGAACCCCACCGTCCACACTACCTCGTTCAATGGGAAGTGCGAGTGTCAGCCTCCTACCTATTGTTAAAGCCGCTCGGCAGCGGAGCAAAAAAGACGACGACGCGGAAGATCGTGTGCTACGAATTGGCGAGCTGAAAAGTTGATTCGAGAGAATTACATTGACTGAATCCTCCTGACTAAATTGTATATGTGATGATATATATGTGACTCGATACGATGTACTGTTGTTTTCTTTTTGATGAATTCCAAGTGCACTACCATACTGTGAATGTCTGCATCAGTCATTTCGCACCAGAATATTACAGAACCGAAATGTCGTTCTACATCATTCTCTATCTACACCTTTCCTTCCGTTTCCCAATCATAGACCCCTATTGAAATAGACTCGATCTAAGGGCAGTCCATCAGCACCTCTAATATACCGAAATTTCTCCTCAACCTTTTCAACTGGCATTGAGGCACGCTGGGGAAATAGTGCCACCGCTGATGGGAGCGCGACCAGGAGGGATGCCGCTATTATTCCTATGTTACAAAGACGGTGAGGACTTGGCAGTGAAAGTTGTGGTTACGGAGTTAGCAGGTACCTAGATTGACGGGAGCATGGAGTCGGGGATATCGTCCCCAGAAAGCGGTCCTCTCAAGACGGGTCATGATCAACCCTGGAATAAAAACCACGGGGAAGGCGGTTGCCACCCGTGATATTGCCACCTGCATACATGCACAAACGTTTTAGAAACTCGAAGGGTTAGGTTCAGAGAGTCCTATTACGTGAAAACGTACCTGACCCACAGCGTTAACACCAGCCTTGGTAGACTTTCCAAGGGTGGTTCCATCTTTATCCTGCACGTCAATCCCATCCCTTATAATCACAGAAGCGTAAGCGCCGAATCGGTACTTGTCAACAGCCCATCACCAACCTCAACTCTTTTGATCTCATCAAGATGACATTCAACGTTCCTGCCGCAGCAACAGCCCCAAAAGGTACTGCACGTCCCATGAGAGCCTGAGCTGAAGGTGACAAAGATTTCGCACGTTTGACCCATTCGTTGAGACCAACTGCTATGGTGCAGGATGATGCCACGGCGGTTATGTAGGCAGCTGCGGTACGTTGGAACCAAAGTGTCAAATACCGTGAATAAACAAATAAGAAGACCCGTCTTAGCGTACTAGCAGTTTCAGTCATGTTCATCTCAGTCGTCTTGTTCGCATTAAAGTAGTTGAATGCCACATTGACGCTCTGGTTTATCCACTGCCAGAACAGAATCCCTGCAATCTAGCGTGCCCACGTGTCAGGACCCACATTTCTGTACTCTGAACAATACAATCTCAGATACCGATGGATTTGGTCGCAACATTCCCGCTACGATCGCAACATTGGTCGGAACAAACGACGCCATCCGGAATGGCAAGAGAATCTTCTCGCCCGTGTCTGGATGGTAGGTGCTGTCTACCACTATATCCACCATCAGCAGCGAGTAGCTAGCGCGGTCATCAAGATTTGCCAACCAACGTACACCGCTTGGCTCTCCATACTTCCTCCGCTCCTGCATCAACGCGTCCAGCCCGGTACTCCTCGATAAGCTTCTTGGCAGCCTCCAATTGGGCATTCGTCGCGAGGAGATTGCTACACGATTACAATTTCACTAATAATTAGCATACATTTCGGTCCAACACATCACAAAGAAAGCATACCGAGGATCTGTTATCTCTGAGAAATGCTTCAATCGTCCCCAATATGTGGATTGGTCATGTCTTGGTTTGTCTGTTACATTTGGCGGATATCATAATTAACAAAAGAATAGATCACGAAGAGATTTTACATTCAAGCAAGTGCATTACCCAAATCTATCCGTTCAGGTGCCATGATGCCAATTGGGGAGATGGAAAAGGATCTGGATGCGTAGGAATGTAGCAAGAACAACCGCACACTGCCAAAGGGCGGTGATTAGGGCAGGTTGTACAAGCCGCGCTCACGTGTCTGCTTACGTGTACAGTACAGTACAAAGACGGATGTCGCCCAGCAAATAATATGCAAATAAACAATATTGGCAAGCACATGCGGTGGATATCCTGGGGTGCAATAAGGTAGTATGGAGTATTAAGCGGAACCTAGAATCAACGGCGGCGATGATGGTACTTTGGCTTGGTTTTCGCGGTCCACTTTTCATGTCTGAATTGAATTTAGATGCTAATCCATCTTTTCCTTGTTTGAAATGGTTGTTCTGTGTCAGTTATCTTTGTGATCCAAACGGGAAGTCGACATCGTGATCCAGAGCCTGCTTTCTTCTGACGCAGTTAGCCAGCGGCAGCTCTACGATCATCGCCTGGCGAGCTGTCGAGTTTTCTCGTCATGCAATCCTTGGAAATCGTTTCATACCGAGGCTGTTGTAACGTAAAACCAGATTATGAATATAGCGTCAGATGATCTTTATTGTACTGTATACGGGATCGGATAGTTTGATGCACCTTTTCCTCCGTCCTGAGGTGATGACAGTTCTCGGTTGCCGGTAGTCATCTCGTCTGTTGCATCGGTGCATCGGAAATCGCCAAGTCTAGGAGGAGCCTATTTCATGGAACGATTACTCCTTGATTGCTGGTATCTTGTGCTTTAGGACAGCAAAAGGATTATACTGTTTGATTGCATGACAATGGTGCAAGTAATCTTTAACCATCATACCCTAGGTCAGTCGAAAACAGCCCCTCCATCTACTCAAAGATCCCCTAGATAGCGTTGGGATAGAGGCGCAACGTAATTGCCCGGGGTACACTTCTTTTCTTGGTTGACCTTCCTCATTGACATTTGTTTGTGAACTTTTATCACTCCGGATGCTTCTGCACCTGGTTCGGAGAGTGCCATTGTATGCAGATTAAGCGTTCGCCTTTCCTTTGGCCCTTCTTTTACGGAACCTCTGAAGGCTGACCGCTCGCTATATTGATCGTTCTTGTGTTGGTTCTTCCAAGGCCTGACTTTCTGGACTTTTGAAGCCTCCCGTCAGAAAGTTTATTTTGTCTGGACAGAATCACGCATCTGCGTCTATCAGTCTGCACAATCTTGGGCCCGATGCCGCAAAAGAAGCAGAGCTGTGAGATACAGTCTGACAGTCTGGTGGACGATTGCGAAACATGCCAGTTTGCCTTGCTACTCAATGGCAAGTATGTTTCTGATTATGATTCCGCTTCTGACTTGTGATTTCTGAAGATAATGATGGAGTTCATTGATTGGGCAGACAACATACAGGCGGAGGAGTGGTGGGGAGTGTGATATCGAAACGGTATGAAACTTCAAGCGGAATCTGAATGTGTGGTGAGATTCCTTGTCTGTTAACCTCTTAATTGCATGACGTCCAGGTGTACGGGTGTCGAGAAGACTCCACAATATATCTGTACAAATAAGACTCTTTTCCAACCACACCTGTCGTCGAAAGACTGAGATTGTCACGTGCAAGATTATGCTACCTGGCGGGCATTGATATTCTCCATCCCACTATCATCCACCCGTGGTGATACTAGATGCGGAAGCAGCGATTTCTTGCTTTCCTACAACATTTACTTTGTTATTAGGAGGAAAGCCAGACACAACGGATCTGCGAGAGGGACGCGGTCGTGGCCGGCACCGACGCATTGCGTTCAAAGCCACCAAAGTGTTATGGTAAATGGCGGGCCATGATCAATATGCACAAGCACAAGGGCTAGCTGCCAAGGATTTAAAGTCGATCGACAATTGACACGGATCGCTCACAATGCAAGTTGATGTGATAACGAACGATTCGTATGCAAGCTGCAGAGTTGAAAGGGTGTCGGAATCGTCTCAGCCAGTGCGTTCCTTGTATGACAAATCACCTCATTCTGATAAATTGGGTGTTCAGCTCTCGCAGGAGTTGGAAAGCTCTCTCCTCTGCCAAGACACTGGGTGCCATTCGCTCCCTCAGGGATATTTCCACAACTGCAAGTCCCAAAAGGTGGACGACGCCATCGACCACTTTAGGCGGGTAGGGCACAAGTGTGAAATCCAGCATCAAAAGCCAACGAGTAAGCCGCATAGCTTGAAACCCCATCAATGACGGCAAAAGTAGTGCATTAACAAAAGAACCAAAAGTACCTAGAGTCAAATAGCCAAGTCATCCATTCTCGCCAGCTTTCGCCTAAAAGAAATTCGTTTGAAATCTTAAAACAATTGCGTCCAACAAGCTTAGTCGCGTGAGTGTTCAAGTGTTCAGGTGTGCTTTTTTCCATCGGGTTAATTGCAGGCGGAAGTGGTCGGCCGACTGTTTTTTTACTTTTCTTTTTTAAAGGTTGTTTAATGAGTTGTTGAGGAGGTGAGGACAAAAGCTGTTTCCTTTCCCCCGTTGAAACCAGTCGGTCGTAGCCATTGTTGTTGCTCTTTTAAACAAAAAAAACTTTTCAACCCAAATGTTGTGTCCGTCCCGGTGGGTTAACAAAAGATGAACCAAGTCGGCTTATTTTTGTAGGTCGAGTCGTCCGGATGGATGGTAAAATATATGACAAGGGCTGTCACTGGTCCCTTTCGTGTTGTTTCCTCCTCCAAATGTGCACCCACGATTGCTCGTCGTCCATTTAAACCTCATACCATACAGCGTTCCCGACGCCGAATTCTAGTGCTGTCCTACTAAATCATGTCCTGTGGAAGGTTGACCTGGTGGTCAGTCGTGGCTTTCATTTCATTGCTGTGGCCGGCGTGTGTTGAGTCGCAAGGTAGTCAACAAAGAACAAGTAACCATGCATGCAAGTTGTAACTAATTCTGTGCTCCCTATCATCGTGTGTCGGCAATAGGATGCAGAAACTACGACATTCCTAACGGCGTATGTGCTGGGCTGATTACATACCCTGTATCGCCCCTCCTTTCGGCAAGCTTTGCTGAAAAGGCACTCGAAAACAATGGGATCCAGCTATTAAGAGTCTCCCTAGCGCCATATCCACAATGCTATGCAGCATACGTTGGTTGGGCATGCTCAGCGGCCTTTCCGAGATGTACTGCGAGTGGTATGTGACTAGAAAGGTGTATTTGGGATGAGAACATACCACTCATGGTGTGGGACATTGATAGGTAACGGAACAATTGTGCGGCCACCTTGCAAGTCTACATGTTTAGAGGCGTCCATATATTGTAAAGAGATATTCGCCTTACTCGGCATTGCAGACCAGCTACCCAATTGCGAAGGTAGCATCCCAGGGATGATGATTCCTTACCCGACACAGCCGGATCGCTGTGTTGCGCTCACAGTTAGTAAGTAAACATGGAAGTGGCCAATATCAACTGCAACAAGCGAATAACACTACATCTGCCAGGTGGTAACCAGTCAGAGCCTGCTAATCCACTCATACGTCTCGATCCGGTCACTGGAGAAACGACGGTTGTCAATCCACCCACCTGCCGCGCTCCCCTGGTTCCCAACCCTAACCCCGCACTCCCTCCAACAGCCCAGCGGGCTTGCTTCGGTGCATGCTGTATATCCTGTCCACACCTTGAAGCGTTCTTCCCACCAAATAAAATATCAAGCTATCTCAACGTAACCGATTCTTTGCGCGCCATCTCGGCAATCCTTTCGCTCTTCGTTTTGATATCCTATGCCCTGTTACCGGGAAAACGGGTGCATCCAACGGTCATTTTGCTATGGTTCGTGGCGGCGGTGTTCTTGTTCAGCGCTACCACGTTTTTCAATCTCGGCAGAAGAAAGGCAACCCAATGTGGTGACGATAACGTTTCTGAGGCTGATCAGGGTAACAACACCACATGTGCGGTGCAGGGAGCAGCATTGTTTTATGCATCTCAAGCGTCCATACTGTGGTGCGCTTATCTGATTTTGAATTTACATGTGGTAAGTGCTTGAACACTTTTCCGCAAGACGCCGGCTTCCCATCCACTAAAACTCAATTGTTCATGTTCAAAAGACTACAGTCTGGAATTCACACTTTTTTGCGGATAAGTACCCCTTCATCCACACTATCTGCTGGGGAGTGCCTCTCGTAGTCACAGCAGTAGGAATCTACCTCAAAGGCGTCGCCTTCCAGTTTGGGTCCCTCTGTTTCCTCTCTTCATCTCGCTCTTCCCCTCTGTTCTTTTACCCAATGTCGCCTTTCATTTTCCTCGGATTTGCTATCCATCTCTGGACGGTTTCTTACGTTGCAAGGGTTGCGGCAGAAGCAGGAGGTATTGGGTCTACGTCAGTAGGAGAAGGGAGTTCCGAAGGCTCCGCGCGGGGTGAGAGTACGAGACGCCGAGTGATGAAGATCTGGAGGACGAGTTGGAGGAGCATGTTACTTGTCACAATGTTTTTGACTACGTTTATGTATTTTTGGGTGAGTGTCCTTTGTGCATTTGATTTCGAGCGGTTTTTTGATGTTGATGGCATTTCCTTGCTTCCTCCCCTTGATGTAACAGATGTTTTATTTTACACAAAATGATCGAGTGCAAAAAATTGGGCCTGGCACACCTTTCATCACCGAATGGCTAAAGTGCATCTTATCCTCCGATGGCTCTCAAGAGACTTGTTCCAACATCCTAACGTAGGTTTCCTCGTCGAATACTGTAAAAGCGAGTGAATGTACAAAAACTAACATTATTTTGCAGTCCGCATCTCCCATCATACGTCGTGCTCGTCCTAGCTGATACCTTCCCCAGCCTAATGGGCATCTGGCTATTCATTATCTTTGGGCTACGAGGGAGCATTGTAGCCGAGTGGAAAGAATTTTTCCGACGAAGAAAGGAGCGAAACTTTGTTCGTGACCCTACTGCAAGTGGATCAGAGGTTGTTATGGGTCGATGGGCTGTAGAGGAGCATGTTGACAGGAAGGGTACACGGGAAATACGAACAAACAGCCGACCACAACCATCAAATTCTGGATTCGTGAAGGATAGTCGATCACAGCACCGCTATCCACCTCACTCTGCCCCTGCATATAACTCATACATGCAGTCCTCCTCGTACGACGATGCGGAGAGTGCGGAAACGACGTCGAGCAGCGTCCCTATGATACGACCCACACCCGAATTTGTAAGACCGCCGCCCAGACCTGCTGGCAGGAGACTGGAATAGTTGCATAATACATTAACCAGTACGACAGTCATGTAATCATTTTTCTTCTTGGTTGGACAAGATAGCTAGGTAGAGTGTTCAGCTATGTACAGTTTTTTTTTTCTTCTTATAACAATGTAGAATGTTTTTGGCGTAAACTATTTTTTCATGACCAATCTTGCCGCTTATACATCCCTGCACACGTCAGTCGATCCTCACCAGTAAAGTCCACCCAAAATTGACCATTCTTAATCTGAACAGCTACCATAGACTTGCCATCAGCTACCGCAAATCCCGTCTGATTGATGCCTTCAAGGGGCTCAGAAGAGGTTTCGGACATGTTGCTTCGCATCCTGGTGTAGCTGGAAAGAGGATAGAGAGCGTCTCCATACCCGGACCCAAACCTGGGTCTAAAGACGGCAACGTGTAGGGTGTCATAAGAATTGACTGACTGCATTGTAGGCTAAAGTGCGAACATTTAGATGCAAACCCCCACACATACCTAACCAACAAAAAACCTACCCGCATTCTAAATCACCTTCGCTTCCATATTTTTGACATGTCACTCCATTCTGAATTGCAGTTGTCGAGTTCTTGAACAAACCCGTGCGGGCCACGGGAGTATATAACCCAGAAAAAGGACTCGTCGGGCCTGGCAATTGCGCACTACACAAGTAAGAGAGGAAAGAGAATATAAAACTGCAAGACAGATGATTAAACATGGCGATTATGTGTTCGGGGTGAAGGTAGAGACGAAAGTCCTACAGTCGGTCAAACCTCCACGCGTGCTGACCAAGCAGTCCGCGCCACAAGAGCTGTCGATCACCTTACATAAGCACCCTCGTTGACGTTTTCGGACAGCGAGAACCCCTTTTTTTGTTCTTTCAAGCTCCAGCTGCAGGACACCTTTGAGCAAAAGAAGCTCGCCACGGTGGTTTTCGGTTTCCTGGGATTTGACTTCCTGTAGCCTTTTGGTTTATCATCAGAATTGGTATCGTGTGGTTTATTGTCGGAAAACGGAAGCTGTCAAAACTCTTTGGGTAACAAACCATCTTTACCAGACTACAACGTGCGGGAACAAGAGCAACTAAAGTTGAGGCTTTAACTCTCTATTCTTTCTGCCATTGCAAATCCTGTGGTAAGTAGAAGTAGAATGTTACTGCCATGCTTGTTTGAATTTACTTGGACCGTCGGAACCGTGGGAACTTTTTTTCCCACGCATCGTTTTCTCAACTACGGACGTGTTTAGTAGACTTTAAAGTACTTTCAAATGCCGTCCGCTCGCAACGGAGTACGAAATAACCACTACGACGAGGATGATGAGGTAGCATATGAAAGTGAGTATGCAAAGTCGCGGTCGAGCACGGTTGAGCGTCTTGCCGATGAGTTTGGTTCTCGGTTGAGTTTGGCAGATGATGGTTAGGAAAGTTGATTACTAAGTTTGTGGTGCCTTTGCTAACCTTTCAATCAGTTCCTCAAAATTCCAGAAATGCTCGCCCTGTTCAGAAACGGCCATGGACTCCGGGGCCCCGCGATTCTAGAACTGAGCAACGTCTCTTCTCGGAGCGGATCACTGAAGGAATAAATTTTGAGAAATATGATGAGATTCCGGTTAGCACTGCCGGTTATGAGGTGCCAGCCCCGATTGGAACTTTTGAGGTAAGTGCTGCTGCGTTATGGGCAAGTCATCCTTCCTCTAATTTTAGGGCATAGGAATCGACTCTCCACCAGGGAGTAAAATGGATCTTGAAAGAGCTGGCAAAGTATAACAAGCCAACGCCTGTTCAGCGATACGCCATCCCCATTTCTTCTGCTGGCCGAGATCTTATGGCTTGTGCACAAACTGGCTCGGGCAAGACAGCAGCCTATCTGCTGCCAATTATTAGCAACCTATTCTATGATGGGCCAGGTGGCGAAAGAGGCCCGAGTGCCCTCATCCTGGCTCCGACGAGAGAACTGGCGATGCAAATTCACCATGAAGCGAAGAAGCTCACGTATCGATCATTTGTAAAAGCCGTTTGCGTCTACGGCGGTCAAGGAGCGCCCACCGTTTCTGACCAGGTAAAGTGTGATATTCAATTCATTTACAATCATATACAAAAGTGCAAACCAAGCGTTTTCTTTAGGCCTACCAAATGCAGGATGGATGTGATTTGTTAATTGCTACCACTGGGCGCCTCATGGACCACTTGGAGCGTGGAAATGTTACCCTGACAAATTGCCGGTATCTGGTATTGGACGAAGCGGACAGGATGTTGGACATGGGCTTTGAAATCGACGTCCGGACGATTGTGCAAGATGCTGATATGCCCGAGGAACATCAGACAGCCCTGTTCTCTGCAACGTTCCCAAAGGAAATCCAGATGATGGCAACTGACTTTTTGAACGATTACATATTTCTGACGATTGGTCAAATTGGGTCGACGGTAAGCCATGCCATGAGCATTTTTAAAACGATGATCGCAACTAGAATCTCATCCGAAACTTGCATATCAGACCAGCGACATAAAGCAAATCGTCATGAATGTCCCTAGACATGCGAAACGAAGGGAGCTCGTTCGCCTTTTGCAAGCGGATAAACAAGAAGCAATCCGTAATCAACCTCTTCGCTACCTTGTGCTGATATTCGTTGCCACAAAAAGAGAAGCCGCAGCGATCTCTTACCACCTTGAAAGCGAGGGCTTTCGGGCTGGAACCATCCATGGTGACCTAACTCAGTCACAACGGGAGCAGGCTCTCGCTGCGTTCAAAAGTGCAAAAAAGCCTATTCTCGTTGCAACCGATGTGGCCCAGAGAGGACTGGACATCCCAAATGTCATGCATGTCATCCAGTACGATTTGCCAAACCAAATTGACGACCATGTTCACCGAATTGGTCGTACTGGACGTGCAGGCAACCTGGGGAAAGCCACAGCGTTCTGGAATCCAGACAATTTCGCAATTACTCGCGATTTAGTGAAGAAATTGCAAGAGAATAAGCAAATAGTCCCGGAGTTTTTACGTGGTGGTGGTGGTGGTGGTTTTGGTGGTGGTGCCAGTCAGTCAGGAGGCGGAAGTTCTTCCCGCAGTTTTGGCTGGTGAAAGAGACGTTAGAAGCGGTTAAGAAAGACTTGAAAACTCTGGAGGATTGGACAAAAATTGAATTTAAAGTAAATGAAGCGGGCAAATATAGCATATATTTCTTGTGAGCCCTTATATTCATTGCCATTGCAATGACCAGCGATCAAACCAAGCTTCAATGCGCAAGCACCATGCCGCTATTCAGAATTTCAAGTCGATTCCATGTTCCAAAACTGTTTTCACCACATCTTTGATCCCAACCGTTTGTTCACCCTTCTCATTTCCCTCTTTTCCTACTCTCTGTTCGGTTTTGGTCAGAATCACCGTGATGTTCTGCACTGGGGGCAGCCGAATCCGCCATTGCATCAAATGTTACTGGGACAGTTAATTTTGCAGGTTCCTCGTCAATGACTTTGACTTTTTCGTGAGATTCTACCGCATGTGGATGATCTTTGGGATGATGGGGCGGAATCGTCGATTGAGGGACGGTGGCGGCACAGGGCTCTTCTTCAACAATCTTGGTATATGCGCTTTGTTCCATAGCGTCAAAAGTAACTGGTACGGTAAGCTTGGCCGGTTCTTCGTCCACTACTTGAATTTCATCCTCTGGAGGCGACTCCACTGCGTGCGGGTGTTTAGGATGGTGAGGCGGGATGGTCGACTCAGGTACACTTGCTGCACAAGGCTCCTCCTCGACAATTGTTCGTGTCGCTTCTTCTTGAATGGCATCGAACGTGACGGGAACAGTTAATTTCGCTGGTTCCTCGTCAACGACTTTGATGCCTTCGGTTGGAGCCTCTACTGCATGAGGATGTCTGGGATGGTGCGGCGGAATGCAACTTTCAGGCCTAGTTGCTGCACAGGGCTCTTCTTCAATGACAATAATGTCCTTTTTGTGGTGTTTTTGCTGATAACGGCGTTGGCTGTCGGCCACGTTGAGCTCAACCTCCAAAATGGTAGTTGTACTGGTGGTGAAGCCGCCATGCAGGAGATTGACTTCGGCTTCACCAAAGCCGTGGGTTGCAATCATGGGGTCAGTGGAGGGGTGCGGAAGTTCTGCAAAAAGTGCCCTCGTTTCAGCGGCTTTGGATTTGAGAGGTGTGCCGGGGATGGTAGGAAGAGTGGGTATATCAGTAAGTGTTGCCATTTTTTGCTGAAATTATCGCTACCAATTTCGCTAGAGTCCTGTATGGTGAGATTCGCGCTCGTTTGATGGAGAAAACTGCAGCAGGGACAAATCTGCGACAACCAGTGTCCTGCCGCGGCTGGATTTAGCTGAGCTGACAACTCCCGTAACGTAACAGAGCGCAATGTTCTGCTGCATCCCTTCACTCTGACGACATGGGGACCGAGTCCCTTGAATGCAGACGTGGTCTACGTCAACAAGATGCTGTTTCCTGTGGTCCGGGCTGGTTGCGGGAATAGTGGTACACATGTGCATACCGCATGTAGTTTGTCTTATTGACTACTTGTAAATATTTTTTGTGTGCTGTAATGCATTGCTTCAGGGCCTATGATTGTACGTAAAAAGGAGGCTTGAAATGCTGTAAGGTTTTTCATACTACTGGAACTCAAATTGCGTTAAAGCCGGCAACCACCAAAGCAAGCACGCCCCGGTTCAGTTCACATCAATGTCTGCCCAAAACAATCAAACGGTCCATCAGAAAACTAGCGGCAACGCCCCTAGAAGGAGAAAGAAGTTTGGAGACCTTGCCGAAGGGTTCGTCCCCAAAGGCGAACTACATAGCGATGCGTACAAGCCTCTGAACGATAAGGTATTGCATTCACCTTGACCTTTCTAACTTTCTCACGGCGACGGGAGTTAACACTCTATCAACAGTCCTTGTACCCGTCTGCAGAAGCCAAAGCGCACGGGGAAGCAACGAACGAACCTCTCGTCGGCGGGTTCAAGTACCAAGTTGAGAAGTATGTGATTGGGGAAGGTGCAATGCCACGCAAGCGAGGTTCCAAAGAATGGCAGCATGAAGATTTTGAGGAAATCGATAGAGAAGTCCCACATGAAGAGCGAAGGGCCCCTCAGACGGTATGGGAGGCGAATGAAGAAGTTCGGGGATGGCATGCTACCGCTCCTAGGGAGCACTGCTAAATGATTGCTTCTTGACTGGAGCGGGTTTTGCGCAATGACCCAATTCCCTGTGATATATTCTCTGTCTCATGCGGTTTCCTTCGTGAGCGAAAAGTAAATATATCTCAAAATAAGTTCTATAATATTGCTTTCAAATCTTCCGTGTCTGCCAATGGACAATCCTCCAACTTTTGGCTGCCTGAAAGTCGCGGATGTGATTCAAGTCCTTGCCCCTCCTCCATCGGTTCTCTCCATTTAAATCTTTGTATTGCGTCAGGGTACCTAGAGTCCGATTCTGGTTTTCCCTCCACTACATCAGCAATAATCGGCCCTAGTACCGGAAAGAACTTGAACGCATGCCCGCTTCCTCCAGTTGCAAGGAATAGTCCCTCATGTCCTGGATAGGGTGTTATAAAGAAATCAGAGTCAAAGGTATCTGTGTACCAACACAGTCGTGTGCGGAGAATGTTGAAGGAGTTGAGCTCAGGAAAGTTTTGCGCGAGGAAGGAACGGAAGCCAGATACAGCTCCCTTTGGTATGTCCATGTCGAGAGTTGATGGCATCGCCGTTCCTTCATGACGTATATACCCCGGACCATGATTGGCCACTTTCAACACTCCATCCTTGAGGGGAAATCCGTAAAAACCTGTCCGAGGTACTTCTGCTGCCCAAACTGGGAAGTTGCTTGCGCTGTATTTTAGTTGCAGATGCTCTGGAACAGAGAGGTGAATGACTGGTTGTCCTGTCGCTACCATCACCTTCTTGAGACCGGGAAGCAAGGAGATCGATCGAGGCCCAGCAGCTACCAAAAGATGGGAACACGCATGAAAGGTTTGATCACTGGTCCTTATTCCCATTACCGAGCATGACCTTATCGAATCTTTTGTCATTATTGCCTCAACCCTCCCAGCGTCCCCAGTGACGAATTGAACTCCTGCTGTTTTTGCCAGTTCTGCCACGTACTCTACCGCCAGCGAAGCATCAACGTATCCAGCCATTTTGCTCAAGTATCCACCAGGAAAGTTCCTCGTGACGTCCTTAAATCCTTGATACTTTTCTGCAACGCCACTGTCCGAAAAGACCTCGACCTCGTCCTCATATCCAGCTTTCCTTAATGCCGCGACCGAATCGGCCTCAAAACTATTTTCACATAAAGGACTGTTTGACGATAGAAACACTGCTCCAGACTGAACAAATATTTCTTTTCCCGTTTGTCGATAACACTCTTCCGACCAGTCTTTCCAACGATTTACAGCGGCAATAGCTAAATTTTGATAAAGTATGTCGTTGCCGTGGTCGGGACGTACTATTTTCGAAATGTCCGTTGATGCGGCTGCCAGCAAAACTTTAATGATGGGCAGACGTTAATGAGCGGGATATGCACGCTTACCATCTTGAACTGGAATTGTATGTCGATCAAATATGGTTACACGATAGCCCCGCAACCGTAGTTCCAACGCTGCTGACAATCCAAAGATTCCCGAGCCGATGATGGCAATATGTGAGGTTTCCTCGTCCTCCTTGACCAGCATCATTCGCAAACCTATCAGCAGCTCGAGACCATGCTCAGGACGGCGATGTCACACCTTGGCAGATGTCTTGAGGGCAAAAATTGATCCACGTAATATGGAAATAATTCTGATTGGCTGCAACCCCACGTCAGCAGTGATGAACGCTGATTGGCCCATTCTGACTTATAAGCTGAACTTGTGCCCTTCCGTTCTGCATCTTTGTTGTCCTTCCCACATCTTCAGAAATCATGTCAGTATCGCTTAATTCTCAATCGGTTCGTGTTGGGATCAACGGCTTTGGTCGCATGGGTCGTCTCTTTTGCAGAGCCCTTTTCAATGCATTGGACGCTACCCAGAGCAACATTGAAATCGTCCATGTGAACGAAATTAAAGGAGATCTTTATGTTGCAGCCCACCTCTTAAAGGTAAGTCGTTTTGAGTCAAACGATGGATACTAGGATTCTCAGCCCTTTCCGTAAAAGTTCGATAGCATCAAAGGTATATGGCCTCATGATGTGTCAACGGACAATGGCGACATTCTAGTCGACGGCCATCGCATCAAGTTTACCGAATACAGCACGCCTGCTGAAATTCCGTGGGAGCAAAGCAAGGTCGATGTTGTCGTAGAATGCAGTGGAAAGTTCTTGACCAAACTTGCACTTGCACCTCATTTCGACCATGGAGTTAAAAAAGTCGTAGTGTCGAGTCCGGTTAAGGAAGATGGCGTGTTGAACATTGTTATGGTAAGCTTGCGCAATTTTTGCTAAAGCCCAAGATTTAATATCCATGCTGACATGTGTTTTCAAGGGCGTCAATGACAATCTCTACGACCCCGCCAAATTTGATATCGTCACTGCAGCATCATGCACAACCAACTGTCTGGCTCCCATTGTGAAAGGTAGTTTCTTACAAGACATTTTCCTGACATTCCGACGCTAAGAAGATTGTACAGTGATCCATGAATCTTTGGGAATTGTTCAAGGGACAATGACAACGATTCACTGTGTGGTACGGCAAAACTTGCCATTCATATGATTATGTCAATGTTAATGATTATAATTCCAATTAGACAAACACACAAACTGTCGTGGACGCTCCTCACAAGGACCTCCGCCGTGCTCGGAGTTGCTTGACGTCTCTCGTTCCCACTACAACTGGATCAGCCACTGCCATCACGGTTATTTTCCCAGAATTAAAAGGCAAACTGAACGGTATGGCTGTCCGTGTTCCCTTGCTGAACGCTTCCTTGACGGACGCCGTCTTCCGAGTATCTCGGTCGACATCTGTCGAAGAGGTCAACGCCCTCCTTGCAGATGCTGCCAACGGCAGCTTGAAAGGGACTTTGGGCTTTGAAACTCGTCCTCTAGTCAGCGAGGACTTTCGGAATGACCCTCGTGCTAGCATAGTGGATGCGCTCTCAACGATGGTGATAGACGAAACTATGGTGAAAGTCATTGGGTGGTATGATAACGAATGGGGATGTAAGTTGAGGTCCATTGGCAGAGATTCTATAGATCATTATCACAAGCTCTAACTTCACCATCCTATAGACGTTAATCAGATGCTCAAGATCACTCTCAAGGTTGTTAAAGCGCTTTAGGTCATCAATTACCGAGCTACCATATTGTGGTCAAATTTAAGATTGTTTTGTCAAAATGAAAGGACGCCTTTTTACTATTAGACAACCTTAATGTGATTATGGGATCCGCTTTGAGAAATCCCTCTCCCGCGGTCCAGATATACCATATGTGTAGTTCTGAGAATTTCGCAACATTATTCGCAGCATCTGTTCACACATCCCTTGTTGCTGTCCAAGGATCTACTTTGCAAATATCTATTGTTCGCAAAATCAAAAATTTTGATTGTCCCCCAAAATGACCGGAACTTAGGATGCTGGATGAATGGCTAGGCTCGTCTTACATGGAGGCGTTTGGGGATCATCAATGCAATAAATCCAAGAATCATAGAAGTGATTGCTCGGATAAGTGCTCAGCACCCACGAGCGTTTGACATATAGTGCCGCGTATCCTCCATAACTTCTCTGCGTCAATTCATATCAAGAATAAGGGTCGGGTTCCAAACAAGTGGACACCGTGATTCTGCCATGTTTGCGGCGTTTGCTACCTGTCAGTCAGGAAATTACATGTATGAAAGGTGGGAACTGGTATAATTTAAGGTGCTGTGGGTTCGAAACCTCCGGGAGGTCCGACAACCTAGCTTCCAATTAGTTGATATGAAGCCGCAAACGATACCTAGAGTGTTTGCGATTGCTGTGCTTCTATCGGCCGCGTTCTTGTGTACGGCGGATGCATCTAAATCCTTTACATTGTCTCTGATTCACACATCGGGGACGAACTCGAGTTATACCACATCAAAGTACAATAATGTAAATCGCAATTTTGGAGGTTATGCTGCTCTGAAGACGGCCGTAGATACTATTAAAGTAAGCAGTTTTCGAAATATTAGCGATGACCAAAAAATCCTGATACCAGCTATAAGGCAAACTTGACCGCACCCGGGATCTTTGTGCATGGAATCAACGCATTGGGGTTTTCGACCTTCTCGCAACACTGGCAAGGTAACCAAAATAACCGGATGAGTGCAGCTCCCATCGACAGCTGACGTTTTTTTTATTGTCACTTGCACAGGTTTGAAAGAGTCAGAGTATCTTGAAGATATAGGATTCCAATATACCGCCTTTGGCACGAGAGATTTCTTTTATGGACCAGAAGCGTATGCAAATAACTTCCTCGCGAACAGTTCTTTTGCAGGCAACTGTATCGCTTCGAACGCATTAATATCAAAGTCGCTTGCGTTAGCGCAGTATGTGACTCCATACCGAACGCTTACATTCACCGATGGGATCAGCGGCAATACAAGCAAAGTAGTTCTCCTCTCGTTTATCAGCGACGAATTTTGCACAAGGTCACGATGTTCTGCTGTTCAAGGAAACCCCATTCAAGTCAAAATCGCAAATCCTATCAGCGCGATGAAAACCTTTGTAGCGGATGTGATATTTACTGAGAACCCTGACGTTATTATTGCCATGTCCGCAAATACCGATTACGCAACGGACTTGCAGATTGCACAGAGTGTGCCTGGTATAGATATTCTTTATGTGAGCGACGACAAAGCGATAATTGAAGGAACCGACTATCCGCGGGCCGTTACGGGACCTACTGGTTTGCAATTCCCGCTTTCCGTTTGCACGCTGGTAGTAAATCTGATTAACTGTTCAATGTTTAGGGGATACAGTTCTATTGATCAACGATCAAACCTCGATAACCAATGTCGATGGGCTAGGGCATCTGAGGGTCACCTTCAAAGACGGTGTCCCATATGCATGGAATGGAACCTTAGATCCTGTAATGTCATGTCAAGATGACCCATCACCTCTCAATTCAACGTGTTACGTTCCCGACCCAACCCTCAAACAGCGGCTAGACAACGATCTCGAACCTGTATATGCTGCATTAAACATCACTGTGGGTTCACTGCTAGTGGCATTGAATGGCGCACAAGGGCCGGCGTATCCATGCCGGACAGGAGAATGTTCTTCTGGAAGTGCGCTGGCGGACGCCATGTTGTGGAAAATGGATGCCCAATGCGATGCAGCCATGGTGAACGGGGGTTCCATTAGGGCATCAGTACCGGCCGGCAATGTGACGTTGATGAATTTCTTCAACATGCTTCCAAACAAGAACAACATTGCCGTTGCGAGAATGAGGTTCGTAGCTCGGTTCGAACAAAACACCTGCCGTTGAGTTGTCTATACTTATTCTCCATCTTTTCGTATTCGACAATAGAGGGGCGGACATTTTGGATAGTCTCAACAATGGACTCAGCAGAATCAATGCATCAGGTTCCGGACGGTTTCCACAAGTCGCCAACCTGATCTTTACCTATAATTCCAACAATCTCGCAACACTCCGCTTGACGGGTTCAGTTATGATTTATAATAAGACGTTAGGAGAATACGTGGAGCTGGATCCCGAGGGAGAATACAACTTGTGTGTCAATGATTACATGCGCGGAGGAGGGGACGGATACACGGCACTGCAGACTAAAGCGATCAGCGCTTTTGATCAAGGCCCTCCACTGGATGTTGTGCTTCGAGAATACGTTTCTGTGGGTATCAAACGACCCTTGATTATGGTCATGAGCGATGTGTCCTAGCAGGTGACTGACGAGACCACCAATTTTATGCACAGGCCTACTCTCCGCTTTCGGCGCCCGTTAGTGGCCGGATTAGGGATCTTGCAGTCAATGTTTCTGGGACTAGTCCCCCTCTCACAGGGTCTTGCACATTTACAATGGATCCTGTTACATCCGCTTCGGGAAATGTAACAGATGTTTGCGCTGGCGGTAGGTAGTTTGACGTAGATTGCAGGCGTTTGGGGTATGTTCGTAGTATGTATCATTCTAACTATTATGCTTCAGGCTACCGTTACCGTGAGGATGTCACCTGGACGATCTCGCCTTTGCTTCCCAACAGTCTTCAGCCTCGTTCCATCTATCTCAGATTCAGCAATCTGGCTTTAAATCCCAGCACAGACACGTTGTATATTCGAGACGGACCTACACAAAATCTTCTGACCGTTCGCTCTCCCGCTGATAATGTCACTTTGGTCCCCGCCAATTACACGACTCTTCCTGACCGAGTTGATGTACCAAATGCCGCATCCTTGCTTGTGCGGTTGGTTACTAATCGGCCACTGGACGGAGAGAGCTTGCGTCTGCAGTACACTGCCGATACCGGCTGTCCTGGAGGGTACTTGCTAGGGACACAGGCATGCCTGGCGTGTACTGCAGGCACATTTGCCCAAAAAGATGACAGCGTGTGTACACCTTGTCCAGCAGGAAGTATCACCGCAACTGACGGAATGGCGGCATGCACACAATGTGCTCCAGGAACATTCGCAGACCATGCCGGGCAGTCACGCTGTAAAACCTGTGACGGTGGACGTATTTGGAACTCAGCACAGTCTTGCGAATGTCCCGCTGGGAATTACTGGAACGATTTCACTTGCTTGCGTACGTATATGGGTTTGTCCTTAAATGGGTTCATCTGTCTCACTACACTCTGTTCGGCTATAGCAATCCCGGCGTCCCACTCGGAGACAGGACAGATTGCAGGAATCGCTGTAGGGTTGGTTGTTGCCGCTGGGGGTATTGCGTTCTATGTGCACAGGTTTGTGTTCAGCGATGTTTTTTATTTCGGTTCCAGTCTTTCCGACGGGTAATGACAAATCGCTCCCTTCCTGAATAGACGTCGTATGGGTATCATCAAACGGCGACAGATGGGGACAAGGAAGCAGACAGAGTAAGTAATAAGCACATATTTCGTCTTTCGTGTCTGTTGCCTAACCTGCGCATCTCTGTTGGGTAGGCTAAAAGCAGATGTAGCAATGAAGCATCTCTTGCACGACATTGCAACTTCCTTGTTTTTAATTGCGTTTGAATCTGGCGACGTGGCAACAGACTGGATTGCCTTCTTGGGAGTGCACGGAGACAATGCATACAAGGTTGCCTACATCATTGCCTCCATTTTCGGATCTGTGTAAGTTTGATTGCAGCCGAGCAACTCTTTAGTCAATGACACCCACACTCACGTACGATTCCTTAACGACGTTCGCAGCATTACCTTCATTTCAGCCGCCATCCGTATTTACAACATTTATGCGCTTTTCAAAATCCGCCGTGTTGGCATCAAGCTCGTTGCCTCTGGCGCCAAGGCCACATCATTCGAAGCCATGGAGAGGGTGAAGGACGCTCAGAATGACTCGGATCTGCATCTGGCCCTCCTGAATCTCAGAACGTTGAGACAAAAAGTTATCATTACGATTGCCGTCGCGGCACCCGGGGTGCTCAAAGGCTTGCCCATCTTCGTAGTCAACGCATTAGTTGGGCGCTCGCAAGGAATTGGTAAGTTAACATATACCTTCGTAGAGACCATGCGACATGCATCTGAATGAGCTTTTACATAGATATGCCACTTATGATCTCTTTTGGTTTCAATGCTCTGGTGGTAAGTGCAATCTTCCCGCTCGTCTATAACTTTACACTCTTTAATCCTGTGAACATAAAGTTTTCCAATCATGTGAAAGAGGTTTGTGGGTGGTTCGCCCTCCGGCATCTATACGCCAAGCAAAAACTGCTAGCAGACAAGAAATTGGCAGAACGTGGCCTTCAACGACCTGATGCCGCCCACCGTCTCATGACACATCGATCGTCGGTGGGCCCTAGTAAGGCGGAAGTGGAAATAGTCAGAAGCTCAGTGATAGTCGATGCTGCTCGTCCTGAGATTGGCGAGAAAGTAGATGGTGGTGCAGAAAGTGACAGTGAGAAAGGGATTGGGCCCACACATCGAGCAAACGACGGGGCGCACCATGATACTAAACATGGCCTTTAAACAGGATATCATAATAGTAAGCAAAGGGTATTTAGAGAATAGAATGGCAGTGATATTGCAAGCTTTTGCTCTAGGAATCTGTTTATACGTTAAGTTTTACTTCATGGCCTTATTAAAGCCATGCTATTGGAAATGTCACGATCGAAGAGCATTTACGTATCACTGAGCATCGGCAGAGTGAATTGATAATAAGAACAACGGCGCTTGCAGTTCACACCTCAATATCGGTAGTAGACGACTTTTCTGGCGGAGATCTCGCAACTTGGAAGAATACGCTGCACCAAGCAATACTCTTACGTGCAAGTATCCCGAATTCAAACAGCAATTTTAAATCGGTTGCACTACAAACAACTTGTGCCGCTCCCCTACCACCCATGCATTCTTATTTCTCATCCAATGCTTGATATATGGTCTCAATTCCTTGAAATGGTCAGCTTTATTCACAGATGATAACAAAAAAAAACAGAATCAAAAAGAACACTTCCTTATCAAAGGTCATTATGACGATCCACGTGCTCATGAGCGACATCAAACATTCAAATATCGCAACTGTCTTTCTGAGAGTCATCTTGCATCAGTAAAGCAACGGCGAGATGAGTGTCAAAGACAAGGCTCTCCTCATGGGAGGCTCCGAAGCCCTTCCGCAACCTTGTCCCCATCAAGGGAGGAAATCCCCGCGTCGTAACTTGCGAAGATGGTTGTGGGGTTTTATCGCTGTCATGTTTGCGTGTCATACACTCCCTCGTTTGGTATACTACAATGCTTCCCACGACTGTGTGCAACCCGATACTATTGTTCCTAAGCGACGTCAAGATATCACTGACAAGAACTATGAAGGCCTGTTCAAAAAAGATGCCGAGTGGAGGAAGGAAGCCAGTGAACGCCTCGCCCAGGCTGTCCGAATTAAGACGGAGACTTTCGATTTTCTGAGAGATGTCCCACCGCCTCAGGATGGGGAGGATGTTCCTGAGAGGAAGGGATTGGAGGAATTCAGGCAGTGGTTGGAGAAGGCTTATCCTCAGGTGTAAGTATGCGACACAACGCGCGTGCCTCCTATCCTGTTTGATGACCGCCTTGGTATAGGCATCAAAATTTGTCAAGAGAAGTAGTCAACCGATATGCTCTCTTGTACACCTGGAAGGGTACAGATGAATCAGCAAAGCCGCTCGTGCTCTGCTCCCATATGGATACGGTCCCCGTTCCCGAGTCTTCATTGGATCAATGGACACATCCCCCTTTCTCCGGTTATAACGATGGGAAATATATCTGGGGTCGTGGCAGTGTTGATACCAAAAATACCCTTGTAGGCATTGTTGAAGCAGTCGAAACGTTGCTGCGGGCCGGATTTGAACCGCAGAGAACCGTCATTCTGGCTTTTGGTTTCGATGAAGAAATCAGTGGATATCAGGTGTGTTACTATACCGTCATGTACTTGGTTGGAAATGGCTAATGGTATGGATTATGCTACTGGTAGGGAGCACAATACTTGGCAAAAACGCTACTTGACCGGGGATTGAAGGACGGTGTCGAGCTCTTGGTTGATGAAGGGCCGGGGATTGGCGAGGATCAGGGAGCAACCTTTGCTCGGGTAGGAGTAGCAGAAAAGGGGTATACAGACGTGACGATATCTGTTATTACTCCTGGGGGCCATTCCTCCATCCCCCCTGCTCATACTGGCATCGGTATTCTCTCACATCTCATAACTCGACTTGAAGCCAACCCCCACGAAGCTGTGTTGAGTGACGACAACCCCTTTTTGGCATATTTGCGGTGTGAGGCGAAATTTGCGCCAGATATGAGTCAATGGTTGCGCACTGCAATCCGAAAGATCAATATCTTCCGCCCAGCACTCGTACGGTATCTTAGCAAAGACCCACGCACGCGGTATATGCTCGCCACATCTCAAGCGGTAGATATGATACATGGAGGCGTCAAACGTAAGTATGCACAACATCTCACATCTGATTCCTAAACTGACTTTTGGATTCCCGTTTGCAGTTAATGCTCTCCCTGAGTTGGCTACAGCGGAAGTCAACCACCGTATTGCCGTTCACACGAATGTTAGCCAATTAGAGAGCCACCTTCGTCATCTTCTAGGCACGACAACAGAAAAGCTTGGGTTGGAATTTATTTATACCGATCACTTGGGAAAGAACTGGACGAAAAACACACACTGCGAGAAGAAGTGGACAGGAACTGTGCATATCACCACGTATAAAGGTGCTCTTGAACCTGCCCCGATTTCACCTTTTGAAAATTCCAAAGCGTGGAGCCTCCTTGGTGGGACAATTCGCCGAGTCTCTGGTGATAACTGGGATTTGGGAAGCAAGGAGAAAGTGTTGAAGGCAAATTCCACCTCAGGAGACCAGAATCCCGTCATTGTTGCACCAGTTCTGATGCCTGCCAACACTGATACTAGGCATTACTGGAATCTGACCAGGAACATTTACCGGTAGGTGTCTGTACGACGATCTCCTTTTGTTCTTTGCCACTCGTAACCCCTGCCTATCTGATAGGTTCAATCCCGTGCGTGGCGAGAAAGCATTTGGAGTGCACACCGTGAATGAGCACATTGCCATTGATGCATTTGTGGAGTCTGTCGCATTTTATCATGAGTTGATTAGGAATTTTGACGAACTGTAGACCTGATGCGATTTATGGGCCTTTTTGTATGCAATACTTTTGTACTTGACCGTGCTGTTCATATTTTGAATGACTAGCTATCCTTGTCGCCCTCATAATTGCATATGGAAATGGTGCATACTTGGTATTTGAATTTTGGCCCAACACTCTACGCGGTGAATCTTTGAACCGACGCGTCCCTCTCGTGACACACATCCAGATCTCACACCTTCACAGCTCACTTTCCCGCGACGACATTCCTTCAACGGCCATCTTCTTCCTAGCTCCAGGTACCCAGACTTTATAGACAAACGCACCATGGCCGCATTTCAGACATTGGCATACTCTGAGGCAGATGGAATAGGTGAGAAGCACTAGCATTTGTTGCCAGCATGACTCGGAACTCACCGTTTGTTTATTTTAAGCTACTATTACGCTAAATCGGCCAAAGCACCTGAATGCTTTCACGACTGTCATGTACACTGAACTTCCGATAGCGTTGAAGCGCGCAGGTTTGCTATCTGGCATACTATTCTCTAGTTATGCTGTTTCGATGGTGATATCTTAAATTTATATTGTCAGCGGACAGCCCAGCGGTCGTCCTCACGCTCCTTACCGGTGCAGGACGCTTGTTCAGCAGGTATGCTAACGTTGAAGGGCCTCAATTTGTCAAGCAGCTGATAACCTACTCAAAGTGGAGCAGATGTAACCGAAGGGATACCAGGAACCATTCCGCCTCTGTCTGATACCGATGCTTCACGAGAGTTCTATCGCCGACGCTTTGATGGCACAATTGTGCGTTGCGGTTTGGCGTTAGCGGAGCATCCCAAGGTATTGGTAGTGGCATTGAATGGTCCAGTGGTAGGCATTGCAGCAGGTGAATATGTGATAATTGCCATTGCCACATCAAGTCGATCTAACGGATGTAAACTTAATGAAATGCAGCTCTAATAAGCCACGGGGATATCATTTACGCCGCTGAATCGGCGACTTTACACGCACCCTTCTCGTCTCTTGCCATTTCACCCGAGGGAGGGTCGTCCTTCGCCTTCACTCAACGACTGGGATATCCAAAAGCCATGGAAGCATTGGTACGTGAACATTTAAGGCCTGGTTAGCGTGGGAGATCTTCATGGTTTTGAGTAACATCATTATATAGCTATTTTCGCGCAAATTTACGGCGCAAGAACTGGAGGCGATTGGATTCGTAAAGTGGGTGCAGGCGCCGTTTGTAAACGTCCAAGGGTACTTGGATGAGGTTGACACGACCTGACACGACTCCGGTTCCTATAGCAAAGTATTTCCACTTGAAGGATTCCAGGACAATGTGCGTAAAACGCTACTGGCCACTATCAAGACGGTCGTACCAGCGTCTTTGATTACGACCAAGAGACTGGTCAAGTCCAATTTCCAGGTTTGTCAGGTGCTTAGTGGTCCATATGGTACAGATGCTGAGTATGTCATTCCGCAGCGCGAGCAAATCGCGAGCATCCACAATGAAGCCAAGGAACTCACCGAACGGTAGGCTCTTGCACAAATGGTTATAGCGGGCAAATCCTAAATCTGTACACAGCTTCGTTTCCGGTGACCCACAAAAAGTGTTCAGCGCTCTTGCAGGTATGCTCAACCCGGCTTTGCGGAAGGCAGATGATTCGTACCTTGCAGCAGGTGTAAAGGTACTAACATTCTGTTGTTCTTTCACCAGCCAAGTACAGCAAAAGCAAATTGTAAGGTGCATATCTGCTACCTTGGATGCACATGTACTTCTGTTCGTATGACCGTTTTGTAATCTATGTACATTGGGAATTTAGAATCATTTGAAGACGGGCTTTGACCCGTTTTTCAATTGACTGGCAAGAGACTCTGCAGTGGTTGCATAATTTCCTGATAATATTCGGAAAAATCGTAGATATCATAATAATACTATCTATGTTCATCTCGTGGCCGGGTTACAAACCTAGAGACCGTCATGATAGATTTTACATTCTATCGGTGAAGGTCCCATCCCTTTATCTGCTATGGAAGGAACTATGTCTTCCTGCTCTTTTGGTGAGACCATCGCATATACGTGTACACCCTCGTTTGGTAGAATATGGTTATGTCGAATTACATTTACCCACTAACTCAGATCGCAAAATATTTAAGAACCCATTATCAATGGGAGGCTCAGAGTCTACAGAGATGCAAAGTAAGTATATAAAAGCGGCACGTAGGATCCGGTCATCGTTTACCTTCAGACTCTCTCTCGTCAGCGTCTTCATCGTCCCCTTTCCCCGTCTTCTTCTTTCTCTTCGCAGGCTTTTTCTTCCCATTACTACTCTCCTCGTCCATTTCAGCAGTGTCCTCCTCTTCCCGTTGTTGGACCTTTGCATCCAATTTTAGCTTTGCTTCCGCAAGCCGAAGGATATGTTGTTCAACTGATCCATCCAAAACCATCTTGATGACAGTTACGTCCCGGGTTTGACCGACACGATGGGCGCGATCTTCCGCCTGAGCGTCATTGTGAGGATTGAAATCCTAAGAAAGAATAAGTGTACTGGACGCGACGATCTGTCAACGAGTAGCTTGGCTACACACCAGGTCGTAAAGGAAAACCACATTAGCGCTGGTTAAATTGATGCCGAATCCACCAGCTTTTGTCGACAAAAGGAACACCGTAACTTCGTCGTTGTCGTTGAACTCGTCAATCATCGATTGTCTATAAAAGGGACATTGTTAAAGAGTGACCTTGAATTCACAAATCAGCACCCGAATAAGAACCTTTCTGTCACCGTTGTCCGCCCGTCCATTCTCAAAAATCGTATTCCCATGCTGTCCAAAACTGCCTCCAAGATATCCAGCATCATGACAAACTGGCTGAAGACCAATATCCGATCGCCTTTCTCTCGCATCTCCAGCAACATAACTTCGAGCCGTTTGACTTTGCCAGCATCCATCCAGTGCTTGGATTGAAGTCTGTGCTTGTAGATCGACTTTGCGGGTGTTAGAAAGCCGGATCTGTTGTCAGCTTTTATCCCACCAACGTAGATCATACCTTGTTCTTCATGCAAAGCTGATGTAGCTCAAAGTCGGACATAATTTGCATATCTTCGTAGATGTAATTGCGATCAGCGTCCATGTATTCCACCTCCTATACCAAGCTTTAGTGTGACAATTACAAGAAGAACGTAGTCTTGCGTGCATCCACACCTTCATAATCTCTCGACTCATCGTCCATAATTTGGTATCCGTATAGTGTCTCCTAAACAATAATGGGTGATCCGCAGCTTTGCGAAGCTGCATAAGAACATTAGACAGTTGTTTCTTCTCTCCAGTGGGTGGACGCGCGTTCGGAGTACGGGGTGCTTGTTTTCCTTTCTTCACACCATTAGTGGATGAAGTCTGCGCTGTCTCGCCATTTTCAAGGAGTGATTTTCGCGATTCTGCTATTATGGACTGTGAAGAGCGGGTATTAAGCAACCACAGTTCGTCAAAAGTAGTCAGAAAACCAACCTGGTACAACTCTCTTTGACCCTCCGTTGCCGTACAGGTCTCTATTCGGACGTGCTTGCTCGGGAGTTCCTTCAGAACCTAAAGGAAACCAATAGATAAGGAAGCCATGCCTACTGACTTTATTATCTCGGTGTTTATACCTGCGCCTTCTTTCTCCGTAAAACAAAAGGTGCCATAATCTTCTTCGCCCTTTCTATGCGCTGTCTGCTCAAAAATCCACTTTCCCCTTGGGCCGCAGATTGCTTCACATTGAAAATTTTGTTGAACGCTTCAAAGTTTGCAAAGAGATCGGGCATAATAAAAGTCAGCAGAGCCTGTCGGATGAGAGGGGTCAGGCATTGTACACACACTTGCGACGACCATGGGGTATACCAGAAGTTCCATTAAGTTATTCTGCAGAGGCGTTCCAGTGAGCAAGAGTCGGAAAGGCGTCTACGTGTAAAAGACATCAGCATCAGCCAGGTTAGTTTATGTATTAATCACGTCTGCCCTGATCACGACGAGAGTACCAACCTTATATGACATCAGATGTTTGTATCGGGCGGACTCCATGTTCTTGACCATATCTACGTTCCAGGGTCAACGGAATTGCATGACGTACAAAGTTTTGTATTCGGTACTCACGCCCTTCATCTAAAATTAATGATTTACAGCGAAGCTTTCTTAGAAAACCACGATCGTCGCGTTGGCCTGTCGCCAAGTTGTAGCTGTAGTACAATATCAATACAAAGCAGAAATAATCGAGTAAAGAATCGCATACTCACGTAGTGACCAGTACATCAATGTCATCAATTTCATTATAAATAGACTCTTGCATCTCGTAACGATCCTTCTGAGATCCGTAGTACGAGCGGACGCGAAGGGACGGCACCCACTTCGCAAACTCTCGCAACCAATTTTCTAGAAACATTGGATTCATCAACCTCGGCAAGCTGGTATTTTCAAAGCATAATAGTTTACCAAGTGTAGAGGAGGGTACTACTACCAGGTGCGGACCTGACTTGCCATGGCTTTTTAGGTAGCCCAGAAATGAGATCACTTGTGCTGTCTTTCCCAAGCCCATCTGAAGAAAAATATTAATTACATAGTCTCTCCAAATTGTAATCGAAAAAGCTCACCTCATCAGCGAAAATACCACCCAAGCCTTTGCTATGCAGCATGTACAGCCAACTAATGCCAACAAGCTGATAGGACTTTAATGTGAGCTCCGGATTTACCAGTGCCGGTTGCACTCGAAGACACTTGAACAGTGTCCGTCCGTCGACCTCCATGTCATCCTCGTCACCCTGTACACTCTCGTCTACATGCGTCAGGCAGATTTCGGGAGCATCTCCATCCTCTTCGATCTTCTCCCCTATTTCCTCGCCACCCTGACTCTCCTCTTTGGTCCAGCGCTTGAGGACGCTCATGACCTCCTCTCCAAATTTCTCACATCGTTCAATAAGCATATCTACTTGTCCATATCCCTCTAGTACATCTTGGTACTTGTCTGGCAATTTTGCCAACAATCGGTGGTTTTTGTGTCCAGCTAGTGAATCTCTTAGATGGGCCATATCTACGAACGGCCTAAGACCAATGACAAAGTCTCCTTGTTCTGTGGTGCACATGATGGCTTCCATCAACTGTTGGAGAGAGGCAGTGTTGAAAAAGGCGACGGTTTGCGCATCCAAATCAATTGACTTGGCGTAACCTCCATTTGGTCCTTCGTCAACATCCGTAGCTTCGTCAGATTCCGTGTCTTCATCTCGTATGCGAACAGGCTTTTGCTTTGGTGGAGGAGGACGTTTGATAGCCACAACTTCTACGTCACTGCTCTGCGGCGTCAATTCCTTAACATCTTTTCTTTTAACCAAACGCCTCCTTCTCGGACCTTCCGTTCCGTCGTTCGACAAACTGGCTGGCGACGAATCTCTGCCCTTCATGAGCAACTCGGCGGCGACCTCGACGTCATTACTGGCACGCTCCAGAACTCGTTGTAAAGCAGCGGGGTCCGAGTCAGGGAACGTATCTATCAGTTTTGCTAATTTAGCGTCTTGGCTGGTCCCTGTATTTGGAACAGGTTCTGCTGGACGTCGTGTTAGCGGTGAATCGTTCTCCACACTCAGATTCCGCGCTTCGGCAACCCATGGATGCCAATTGTTTCGAATTTGGTGCGACTTGAGGGCATCTCCCATACTTGGTAATTCGTCTGTACCATGGGTTCTGCTAAGCTTTGACGTATGATCGCTTTTTGCTTCTTTTAGCAACGGTGTGGATTGGGAGGGTACAGCTCTTGTCGCAATAGAAGGAGGTCGGTGTCCACCATTAGAGATCGATGGTTCATACTTGAAAGATTTGACGATGTTGCCAAATGACTGATCCATTGTATTAGTTGCATCGCTAATCGCCTCGACTGGTTTCACTTTACGGGCGCCATAGCGCGGTTTAGCCTTGAATTCCGCATCTGGCTTGTCAAGTACTGGAGTTGGCGATCGAGCAGGAGGATTTTGATAGCGCTTCACCGGACTGACCCAGTCCGTTACGGGCATGTCCACGTCCGAGGATAGATCCACGGCTGAACGGGTATCTTTGGGAATGGAGCCGGGCCTTGCAGGAACCGGCGTTTCTGGAATAACAGTATCGGATAGGATCTCTGATGATCGCTGATTTTTCGGCGTTCTATCGACCGTTTGCGGTTTTGACGGTGAACTAAAGGTGTCTGTCTTTTCAAACCAATCCTCCTGGTCATCCCTCCTCTTTTCACCGCCATTGCCATTTTTCCTCAAAAGTCGCCTCCTCTTCGGTAAAGACGAGGAAGAGTCCACATCAGTATCCGATGAGTCCGTGCGCTTCATTGTGAATGGCTGTTATCGTGAGATGGTTCGAACACACAGAAGGCTTGAGTCCCGGAGATCCACTTGACAATGACACAGATTTTAGACCTCAAGAACACGTCGGCTTAGAACAAAAAGGTCCCACCCTCTACACAGATACCAACAAGTTTACCGAGACTGATGCTCGTCTTGTGAATTGTGAGATCTTTTGACATCGGGACGACCCTATTGCTTGACAGCGCACCAGCCATCTTTGCAATTTAACCATATCAGGTGTTCTGCCACAATGTGGTGGCTTAACAACCTTGGCCAATGGCTTCACCGCTACTAAGCACGAGCAACGACGACGAGCAACAACAGGACTAGACTGCGCACCACGGCCATTACGACCTGCATTACGTGGCCCTTGCCTTTCCAATCATCGCTTTCCGCGATCTTGCCTTCGAAAGTTGAATACATGCCCCACTGAATATTGCTCTAACTTGCCTTCCCGTCGTTCGGGATCTGCAGTTTTACCCTTTCAGCAGTTCCCTACCTGCGGTCCTCCGCCATGTTTGCCGCGGTGAGGAATCGCGACGTCAGCACACTTCGGTCTTTGCTTCTTGGATCTGACACTTCAAGCAGTGGCCATACTGGTGGGCCAGGTAGTGGAAGCTTTGGAAGCCTGGGGAAACATAGCGTCCTAAAGCAGCGCAAAGGGACGGTTGACCCAAATGAAAGGGATGGTGAAGGCAATACCGTTCTGCACATTGCTGTGGCTTCAGGGAATGTGGAAGCTGTAAACATAATTCTCCAATGCCCGAAGCTCAATGTGAATGTGCAAGATACGGAGAGTGGCTACACTGCTCTCCATAAAGCCCTATACGACGGAAACCTCTCACTAGCACTGCACATACTCCGTCAACGCGAGGACTGTGACCTTACAATTCGGGACCGAGAGGGGAACACTTGTTTGGGACTTCTTGTCTCGACCATCGAGAGTGCGACGTCAATAAGCGAGCCATTGCCTCCAATTAGCGACCCGCCAGCCGAACGATCCTATGATTCTGATGAGGACAGTCCTTCGCAGGAAAAGCGTACTGATGATCGCCCAGATGCTGCCGCATCGTTGTGGACCTGGGGAAGCAATACAAACTATCTACTGGGACATCAAAATTCGGATGACAGGGCTTTCCCGGAAAGGGTCGATATAACGGCGACTTACAGGAAGTCAGACAGGCCAACCGTAACGGTACAGACGTTTTCAGAACACGACCCTGATGTGAAGTCAATCGTCTTGTCAAAGTACCATAGCGCTATTTTGACGAGCGATCGGTTATTTACGAATGGGGTGGGGTCAGGTGGAAGGTTAGGTCTCGGAGATGAAGATACAATGTTAAGACCAATGGTCGTAAGAGGGGTGAAAGGTAAAGTAGCCTCCCTTGCAGTCGGGCCAGAGCACACTGTGGCTGTGACCACCACTGGAGATATATGGACATGGGGTAGCAATCGATATGGACAGCTAGGTAAATCTTACCGTTGTCGCTCTGTCTCGGGTAGGTGTTCTGAATACCTACTGAATAGGCTACGTTTCGGAAACTGTTGGAAAGGATACACCTTGTGAATTGAAGCCAAGGGAAGTTGGAGGGACTCTCAAGAGAGTCCGCATACTTGGTGCGGCAGCATCCAGACATCACACCGCAGCCTTTTCCGATGCGGGGACAATCTATACGTGGGGCATAAGCGTGGGTCAACTAGGTGGGATGATATAGCGTGCCATCATTTGTTGTTGTGGCTGATATGCTGTCATTAGGATATCAACAGCCACTGAACACCATCCACAATTACCCAAAGAAGGTTACAGATTTTCCCCAGCAGAATATCCTTCAGCTATCAGCGACGAAAAGTGCCACGGCGGTCCTCACTGAATCCTATGAGGTCTTCGTCTTTGCAGAATTCAAATACAGTAGAGTCACCTTCCCTTTCCAGCAATTCCCGAAACACGTGCAAGTCCACCACCCCCGAACCGAAAAGCCTCCTTATATTACCAAGATCGTCTCTGGAAACCACCAATTTGCGGCTTTAACATCTGCCGGTGATGTCTTTCTTTGGTCTCCGCCTGAGAAGCAGTTTGCGGAAACATGGCAGCACCTGACCTTTCCTCAGAGAAGACCCAAGAAAGTCTGGTCCGTTCGTAAGAAACATCTGGCAGCTCGTGATGTCGCTGTTGGTATCGATTCAAGTATTATTATTCGGACAGATAGCGGTCACGTCTTCATAGGTATCAGGTACGTGTGACCACAAACGTGAGAATAGGCGGATCCCTATATTCATCGGTGCTCATATCTTCCATTGTCAGACGCAAAGATGCCAAAGTGAGAAACGTGAGCGAGACCGACGAGGCCAAAGACGTCGTTTATTTCAAATACCACAAAATACCATATCTCCAGCACGTCCAACACGTGGTGGCCAGCGCGTCAGGAGCTTATGGTGCTATTCGATTGGATCGTCGCCCGCGTACCGTTACAGTCAGTCCTGGTACCCTCCGCGAGGATATTCACAAAGCCTTCTCCGCGGATCCGGATCCGGATAAGCCAGACTTCCATGGCGTTGGAATAGGCCCGGACGTGGAAGGTGTTGGGGATGTGGTGTTTGTCACAAGAGATAAACGGACTCTTCATGCGCATCGCGTGATTTTGGCCTGTCGTTCCCCTTTCTTCAAACGCTTGTTCTGCGATGGGAACCTGCTACCTGGAACCAAGAAGACTGTAAAAGACGTCACAGTAGAATTCAAGCTCAATACGATGTCGAATGTTGTCGAGATATCCGTTCCGACGTGCCATTCGCGAACATTATCCCTTTTATTAGACTACATATATAGCGGAGGATTCCGCAAAGCTTGGGACCACACGATATTTATGCGTGAAGACACCACTATTACTCCGCACGGGTCTCTGCAACCGTCGACCATTTATAAGGAGTTCAATCAATTTGCCAAAACTTTCCAGCTCGGCGATACCGACGTGATTCAGCTGACGGATAGTAAAGGACGCGCCTACCATCAGCATATCTTTTCAATTCTGAATGATAGTAAAGACACATATGATCAGTTTTCCGATGTCTTATTACGGCTCTCTGATCGTGATGTTCGGGCACATCGGGTCATTCTGACAACTCGATGCCCTTTCTTTAATGCAATGCTGGGAAGCGGTTCGCGTTGGTCGTTCGCAGAGGAAGGTGGACTGGCGCTGGTGCAACTTGATCATTTTCGTTTTGAGGTGATGGAGGTCGTGTTGCGATATATATATGGTGACGGCAGTGCCGACGAGGTTTTTGCTGGAATAGAAAAGCGAGGCATATCTGAGTTTGTTGAGTTCACCATCGAGGTCCTTGCCGCGGCAAATGAGCTGTTGTTGGAAAGGCTGAAGGAGATATGCGCGGTTATTCTGGAGCGAGCAATGGACATTCGAAATATGGTTGCAATGTTGGTTGTAGCAGATACGTACGAGGCGACGAAACTGAAGGATGCTTGTCTCAATTTCGGTATGGCAACAATTGACATCATTTCCGCAGGATGTGTCAATGACCCTTTGCCTCCCTTTCTGTAAAGTTTGTAGGAATATGGAGACAGCTGTGGAATGTCGCATGCTAGAGGATGTCGCTGAGGAGCTCATAACCGACATTGAAAATCGACTTCGCGACATGCAATCCCGGAAATACCCCTTTACGCGGGGCGAGAATAGTATTTACCAACGCATCAGAGCAATTGCCGTAAACGAGGAAGAAGAAAGAAAGCGACGCAGGAGATCAGCGTACGATGAACGAAAACGGGTAGAGCGGGAAATGGGTCTAGTTTGCGCAACTAGCTCATACGAAGAGGCGTCTGCTGGGTCGAAGCACTTTCCGCTTCGTGAGAGCACTGAAGGTGACAGCGGCGATGATCAAAAGGATGTTCCCCGCGAGCGAGGCTTTGACGGGGAGGAGGAGGATCTTTTTGAGATGGAGATGGAGGCTCCCATGAAGGAAGGTGATAAGAAGACTGGTTCTAGCAGTCAGGAGGCATGTACCCCCACACCAGGTGCGAAAGCTACTTCTCGTGGTAAGAAGGACAAGCGCGCGTGGAGGAAGTTGGATTTGAACGGGATGACCGCTGTGTCAGTGTCGCCGGTCGCGGCAACGACAACCGCGCCGCCCGTTGCACCAGCCAAGGTCGAATCTCCGAGCCCAGTCAAGACCTGGGGAGCCGTTATAGCAAAAGATCAAAAAGCCTCTTTCAGAGACATCATGGATGAGACGCGTGCGACATCTTCCACCCCCGTTTCCAATCTTTCGATTGCCATGGCAAGCCGAAAGAAATCTTTCCTCGATATCATGGCAGAAGCTGAAGCAAAACCTCCCACCTCTCCCGACTTTAGCGTTGGGGTCCAGAAGCGAACTATGTCACCTAGTCCCGCAAAGAAACCTCCCTCTGCAACCTCTGCTCAAAGGCCTCCAGCACCCATATCAACGCCAACAAAGCCAGCTCCGTGGACGTCTAGTGGCAGTCCCGCAACGCCTTCAGCAACACATCCCTGCACGCCGCCACCAGTATCACATTTCCCGATTACCATCAAAGTAACCTCACCGTCTAGAACCAAGATGTCGCAAAAGGAACGCCGAAAGTCAGCCGCCGCAGCCAAAGCCTCTTTGCCGTCACCACCATTAGGTCCTTCTCCCTCTCCTTGGGCAAACACCGTGCCCGCATGGGGGTTAAATTCCAAGCCAAATGGGACTGGCAGTATGGGTAAAACGCTCAAACAGATCCAAGATGAGGAGCGAGCAGGGTTGAGCGGCGGTGTGGAATTGGCTGGACGATCCAGCAGTAACGGCAGTAACGGCAGTATATCATCCAACAACCCGGCATCCCATTGGTTGGGCGGGCCAGGATTTGCTAGTGCCGCCGCTTCAGCAGTTTCATCCTCCTCCGCGACAGTGTCTTCCTTCACATCCATTCAAGCCGAACAGCTGCATTATCAGCAAGCTCGGCACAAGATGCTCAAGAAGCCGCTATCACGCATCCAAGCCGAGGAGCGCGCCGTAAAAGACTTGATTGAATTTTATGCCATGACAAAAGGGGTTGGGAGTGGGGAATGGGTAGTTGTGACGAGGGGTGAGAAGAGTTGATACTCCAGTGGACCATGAAATCTTGTTATGTGGCTGTCACTTGTTCTTTTTGGATACTCTTATATTTATGACACTTCACACGGCTCATGCCGTGTATGATTAATGTGTATTTTTAAGTGGCATTGAGAGCGGCTCTATAAAGATGTGGATTGACTCCTCAAAATGGTCAAGATATGCATCCAGACGGCAGTGTAGATGTTTAACAGATTGTGTATGGCACATTTAGGGCATGAAATCGCACAATGAGAAAAGCGAGATCATGGAAACAGTGCGCCTTGCGAGTTACTCTTGCATTTAGTAAGAACAAGATCGCTGCTACTGTGAAAGGAGAACACAATCTTGCGAATGATCATGCGTTTTTGTAACAAATTCCAGCGTTGGGGGGTGGGCGGTCCAAGTTCTCTGGCTTGTGCGCTCTTTCTCGAACATTGAAATTGAAAAGGGCAAAAGCCAAGACCACGACCAGCCCACCTGTAGAGTATTCGTAGGTATAAATGTACGGTATCCCAACCGCGAATCCGTCCATCCGTACGCCTCACACCCAAAGAGGACTGCAAGGGATATAGAACCGGACCGCTTCCTCGGATTCCGTCGTAAATGCTCTTTCAAGGTTCAGAAGGCTCCCAGCTATTTCAGCAAGTTTTGGCGACCCGCTGTTGTTGAACTGCAGCCGCAGATTCTTGAGTAAGCGAATTGGAAGAAACGGACAGGTTCGGGAATCGAAAGCGTTTTTATAGGACGCAATTGTGGCGGAGCGATAAAATATTGCGCCACAGCATCGATCATGATTACGGATGTAGGTAACCTTATATCTCATCGCTCCCTTTATTCTGGCGTCAGTGGGTGGCCGAAACTCGTCGCCTCAATACATCTGGTGCATCACAAGATGAATGTCCTTGCGAACTGGTGCTATGATATGCCAAGTTGACAAGAAATTTCCAGCCTACTAAGTAAGCAAAGTGACTTGATGAACAGTCTAGATTGTCCCACTGGGCATTCTAAGGTGCCCTTTCGCGTGCAGTTGTAATCTAGTAAAGTATATTTGAATATCAACAAAAGAAATATATATCTCGCTGTTTATAGAAGCTTTCTGCACTCTAGGCACGCCATCAGATATCGCTGTCCTTGAATGCATCCAAGACCCTCTTGCGGATCTTGGGATCCAATCCATCCACAATTCTCAATAATCCCTTCACGGCAGCATCTACGTCTTCCGCAGCCACCTTTTCAACCATTTTCACGTGTCCTGCAATCCTGGCTCTCTCAATACGTTCATCAACACCTTCCCGTTTCATACTCAACCACCGCACCACCTCCAAGTCATTATGGCGATACTCTTTACTACCGACAGGGTGTAACATCCCTCCGTGACGAGCTACATCTTCATCATAGACTTCATCATCCAGTGCCGCTCGTACTTTATTCAAGTCCTCTGTAAACCAAGACTCGAGGTGCTGTTTGCCTTCGGAGCGGGAGAGGGAAGGATCGGCTGCGAGGAGCTGACTGAGGACACTTTCTTCGCTAATGCGACGGAGGAGGCGCCAGTAGAAGAACCGACGACTTTCACGCCAGCTTACGACGCGCTCCACAACTTCTTTGGCCAACATGCGGCCGGGTCGGTCGTGAAGGTCAGCAAAGTGGACTGCCACTTGGTGGTACACGGGCATCAGCTCCTTTTCTCGTTTGTCAAACGCCCTTTGGAGCTCGGCCTTTTTCTCAGGTGTAACTGTTGATCCTGCGCTACTGGCTTCCGAGAGAGCCCGTTTCAGCTCCCGGTATTCCGCATCCAAACGCTCCATGGCAGCAACCATCTGGGCCCGACGGAATTTGATCTCAACGATACCCTGTGGTTCAAGAACCCCACCACGCGCTTCCTCTTCCGCGTACATCTCCATCATCTCAGGGTTGATGGTAGGGTCGAGTACCACCCAAGCTCCGCCTCTCAATTCACCAATAACGTAAATGAACACGGGTTGCTTGTATGCCCTCAAGGCATCTACAATGCAGGCACCATACTTGAGGACCTCTTTGTACATGTCACTCTGGCCACCAGAGAACCCACGCCAGTTTGCGAAAATGAAGAGAGGAAGCTGTTCACCCTTGTTGAAATCGTTAATCGCTTGGGCGGTCTTGTAGGCAGAATTGGGGTACCAGACTTGACCGGCTTCTACAATGGTCTGCTCCTGGGACTTGTCATCGGCGGCATCAGCCGGGATGATGGATTCCGTGGAGCGGGTTTCGACGGAAATGGCGCCAACTGGGATCCCTCCTAAGCGCGCACGTCCCACGACCACACCCTTGGCCCAGCCAGCAAGAGTCTCTGTAAAACTACCTCGATCGAAGAATCCGTCAACAAAGTCTCCTTCACTGTCCTCATATCCAGCCAGTAGTTCACGGGGGTCATACGACCCAGATGGGATTTCGGTCTCAACGTCTCGGTCAACCGAGTCTGTCGCTGGTAGAACAGGAAGTGGAGCATTGCGATGTTTGGGAACATAAGAAAGCCAGTTCAAAATCTCTTGCACACCGTTCATGTCGTCCTTGGCAACAAGATGGGAGACACCGTTCCGGTGCATAATTTGCGTGCCACCAAGTTGGAGGTTCGATGTGTATACTTCCCGTCCGAGAACCTTGTTCAGTGCGGCCGCACCTGTGAGAATAATAGGTGTGTACTCCACTTGGATGGTACGCTGACCGAGACGGACTAGATAAGCCCCAATACCTAAATCAAACCAGCCAATCAGTGAAACTAGCTCTCGAAGAGCCAAAAGGCACAATGTTGTCGCACTTACCCACAGACCGGCAGGTAACCAGCGTCAGCGTGAAAATCTCCTCGTACGCCAAACTGGTCTCCCCAGCAATCATTCCACTCCCTTGCAGATTCTCGACACCCAAGCCATGCGTTCGACCAATCACATCAATGATTTTGTACCTCGTCTCTCCGTCGGTCGTCACTAGTTTCTCGCACCGGACAGAGGGATTGCTGCCTTGATCAAGGACAAGCTTCTTATGCTCTTCTTCGGTGAGATAGAGATAATCGAATCCTTTAGAAGGATTGCTCGGGTCCAACCAGCATACGTTGAAATGGTTAATTACTTCGTCAGCGAGGCCAATGCGAGCACCAGAGTTGGCTGAGATGTAAATCCGGGGAATGCCTAATCGTCTCGCGTACTCAGAGGCTTTGAAGAACACCAGGTCCTCCATTGGCCCAAAGGAGCCAATATTGAACGTGATATCGTTGGCGACAATAACAATATGACGCCCTTCGGGATACTCGGGTGTGAACAATTCAAAGTCCCATGCCACCATTCCGCAAGTGTTTTCGCCTAACAACACAAAACAAAGAAATTGATATACATTTTCCAACGTTCCTGCACAAATGAATACCTACCAGGTTCTCTGACAGTCTCTACCAGCTCCCCATTCTTACCCACGACCAATTCAACCACATTCATAATTACAGCTGGAACCCTTGCTCCACTCTCCTCAGCATATCGAATCCAGCTCTTCTCCACAGCCCTTCTGAACAATTCTGGAAAGTCATAGATGTAGGTTGTACCCATCAAGTGTGCCTTGTACCGTTTGGGCTGGATCGATTCGCGGGTCGGGTAGGGCGCGCCAACGGCTTGATGATGGAGTGGACCGGGTGGGGATGACAGCGACATGAGCTTTTGAACTCCGGTACCATCGCGCACTTCTTGATAGACATCAACTTTTGTGACGTATCCGGTAACCGAAGAGATTGTGAACCGGATAGGTTTAGCTGTTGATGAGGAGGAGTTGGGGGGCATAGGCGGTGGGGAAATCAGACCGCTGCTACTGTATGGGCTTCCGCTTCCACTGTTCAAAGTATTGCCCCGGCGAAAGATGAACCGCACCTCGGCCGTAGCCACACGAAGTTTCCATAGGCGCTGTCCATGTCTATCTACAAACTCTTTCAAGCTCGCCTCAGCTGCATCAATATCAATTTCGAACGTGGGGACAAAGTTGATAAAGAGATGATTGCAGTCGGTGTTTGGGTATTGCGCTCCGACAATCTCCAAAGCATCCATAATGTCCGTGACAATACGATTTCCCTCGCTGACAAGGAAGTCGTGAGTACGGACACCAGAAACGGGGGCCTGTCCTGGGTACACGATAGCTCGAACAAAGAACCTCGTGTCGGACGGGTTCTTTCTGCCGACCGCATGATAAACGTGGATGCGACGGTTATCGATAAAGCATGGCTTCACCTCATAGTTCGCCATGCGTTGGAGCTCGAGCTGATACGCCATGGCAGGCTCGATGTGGCGAATGACGAGATCCTCACTGTAATCCAGTGCTTCTTTGAACGTAAAGTAATGGGGGAACTGGTTCTGCCTCACGACCATAAATGTGATCCGTCGCACCCGTTTCGCACGGAGAATCGGACGAAGTGATCTGACAATGGACTCAAACTTGGCATGGGCAGTCTCATCCTTACCCAGTTCGGGTGCACAACTGTCGAGAATGGCTATGTTAAACACATGACGCATTCCAGTCATACTTCGACGCTCCTTGGGGGAGCCGGGAGTGGTATCTTCGCCATATCGCTCAACAATATGCGGAAAGTTTTCCTCTAATTCTTTGAGCGAAGAAAATGCGCACATGGCACCTTTTCGAGTGCTTTTTGTGTCCACACGAGAGGACGAGGTAGACGTTGACGCGTACGAGTTCTTTCGCGACGTCGACTTTCCTTTTCCATTCTCCACACTGACAGAGGAAGGCATAACCGGTCGAAGGGTGAATTCCCACTGGAGTACGAGTGGATTCGCATCAATGTGTTGCTTGACAGAAGTGATCGAGTATGCCTGGTAAGTGTGAAGAACGTAGGTATAGAATGCCGCAGCCTTGACGCCAACATCCTCATGGTAAAAGAATCTCGGCAAGACATCCAAGATGGCATGATTGGCTGTAATGAGTTTCGAGAGATACGCATGATCGAAAGTGGGTTTCATGGACCCATCCTCGTCCGACACGTCTTTCACGCCGGCGGACAAAATAGATAATATTTGGGCATGTCGCTCCCCGTAGCTCGGTAATTGGTAATAGATGAGAGTTTCCCGCGCTTTGAGCGAGACCTTGGCGGTGGACCTTCCCACAAACTGCGCCAGTTTAGAGACGATAGGCAGGAATACGCTCTTGCCTTCGTCAGTGTCCGCACGCGCTTGATCAAGTAACGTCAAGACGAGATCGCTACGCGTGATGCCCTTTGAATAAGCCAAAGCGACAGCGGTAACTTTGCTCAAGGCAGATTTGTGTCGATCCCTCAACTGTAACAAAACATCTTCGTACCGCTTCTCGTTGAAAAGTTCCTGCACATAGACATATCGATCCAACAAATCGGCCAGAACATCCCGTTCGTGACTCTTCAAGCCCCGCGCATACCGGTCAATGACTTCCTGAACTGGCGCAATTAATACGGTAAAGGCAGCAGCGTCGTCTCGAGACATGGCCTGTTTTGCGCTTGCAATGAGTTGTTGGAAGACTTCAGGGGAAAACGGCTCGCCGTGTTGGCGGAACTTATCCAGCTCTTGGTGAATAGCTGCGTCCAATTTGCTGGGAATCCGCCCAGCAAGGGAGGACAACACTTGGGACAATTCCAAAAACGGAAGTTCAGGTTCGCGAAGAAGCTCAAGCAAGGTGCGAACCAGTGCGTTGATGTCACCATGGTATTCGTAACCGTCCAAGATGGAGTCAACCGTCTGCTTCACCTGCTCATATCGTTGGTGAGGCTTTTCTCCAACGACTTGAGGTGGTCCATAAGCAGGAAATTCGCCATCAAACAGAGTCGCTCGCTTGACGCGGGATGGGTCATCGAGCACCAAAGTCCCAATTACATCACCAGACTGCAAAACACTACCCGCTGGCATAGTAAATCGGATCAATCCACTTTCGCTCGCAAGGAGCGGCATGTACATCTTCATCACCTCGATTTCAGCAAAAGCGTCACCGGCATTGATATGATCACCATCTTCGACAAGGTATCGAACAAGTTTGCCAGGTGAAGGAGATCGGAGCTTTGTTGGATCGTTTTCTTTCTCAAGGAGACATGTTTTGCTGTCGAGAACCAAATGGGTCGTACCATGTGCATCCTCCTTGGGGTAAACAAGATGCTTTTGTCCTCCCAGTAATACCAATAAACCACCATCCGCGAGCTTCTTGGCAACAACCTCAACGCTCGATCCATTGACTGACAAGCGGAAACGTTCAGGACCCGTTACCGAAGTCGAGATCTTGTATTGGACGTTATTGTAAATGAAGTCGACCAGGGCGGTGGTTACCAGGAGTGACCTCGCGGGGGTTTGCCCCTTTTCCAACGCACGATGATACTCGGCAAGATTCGCCTCAAATCTAGTGTGCGCTTTAACGACCGCACCACAGATAGCAGTAAGAATGGAGTCCGGTTTCTCAATCTCAACTTTTCTAGAGATGAGAACGTCCAACCATCCTGTGGTCACGTTGTTGTCAATATAAGTGCCGGTCTCCAGGATCTTGATGAGGTATTCGACGGTTGTACGAAAATCACCCCGAATCGAGAGTTCCTTCAATGCCATGACGAGGTTTTTACGCGAATCCTGTCGCGTCTCTCCGTAGGAGAAGATATGCCCAAACTGCGAATCAGCGTACTCGTGGACGCCACCAGACGAGTTGACGCTAAAGTAACCCCAAACGTTGCTATTACTACGGAAATTGAGCTCAAGAACCTTGCCGCTGTTCGGCTTAAATCCTGCATCAGGGTTTTCGGCCGTAATACGTGCAGCAATGACGTGACCTTTAGGGGAAGGTTTTCGCTGAATTTGGTGTGATTGGGGGGAGGAAAAGTCAAAATCGATATCGGAGACGCTGTTGGGAGTAAGACCGTACAGAATGCGGATATCGCGGATACAGCTCAAAGGGATGCCCATAGCAACTTGGAGTTGTGCAGCGGGTATATTGACACCAGAGACCTGAGCAGAAGCTACACGTTAGATTAAGCATATAGCTACGTATAAGCTGTTGACAATACCATTTCGGTCGTGGGATGCTCGACTTGCAACCGCGGGTTCAGCTCCAAAAAGTAGTACTCTTGAGTGGCCGGTTCGTAAAGATACTCGACGGTACCTGCACTGACATAGCCAACCAATTTCGCCAACCGGACCGCCGCTTTCTCCATATTGGACAACGTCTCCGGGCTCGCAATGGTGATGGGTGCTTCCTCGATAATCTTTTGGTGGCGACGTTGGACAGAACAATCACGTCCGAAAAGTGCAATGGCATTCCCGTACGAGTCTGCCAAGAGCTGCACTTCCAAATGTCGAGCATTCCTCACGACTCTCATGATGAAAATTGGAGATCCAGGAACTTCTCGCTGGACCTGAGCGAACGATTGAGCAAAAACAGCAGGATCGTCGACGAGGCGGATACCTTTCCCTCCACCACCTTCAGAAGCTTTAATCATAACCGGAAATCCGATCCGTTGTGCATGTGCAAGGCCCTCGTCGACGTCATGAGTAGTCGCTTCATGGTAAATATCATCCGGAACGTATGCATTGCCGTTCTCGTCTTTGGCATCGACAGTAATGCCTTCACCACTCCAGGAGACGCAAGGGACGTCCGCAGATTGCGCAACGATCGTGGAAGCAATCTTATCGCCAAGGGCCCGCATCGCGGACGGTGGTGGGCCGATAAAAACAATCGGGCGACTGAGGGCACTAAGCTTTTCTGCCAGCACAGGGTTTTCGGATGCAAACCCCCATCCTACCCATACAGCCTTTGCATGCAACAATGTCAGTGATAAGCTAGGTAACCAGCGAGAATAATAAGCAATTTGCTCACATCAACACCCGTTCTCTCAGCGATATCTACAATCAAGTCTACATTTGCATAGTTGTGGTTGCTAGTTCCGCCGGGCACTTCGACGTACTGATCTGCCATTCGTACAAACTCGGCATTCACTCTCAAATCTTCAGGAGTGCACATGGCGGTAAATTGTATGGCTCGCTCGTCGCCAAACGTCTCGTATGCCCATTTGTGAATCGAACGAATGGCTTTTACGGCGGCCATTCCATTGTTGGCAATGAGGACTTTGGTGATGGGTGTGTGGCCTCTCGAGCGCAGGACAAAATCTCGGACGGCATTCGGTGCCAACATGTTCCCCGAAGGACTGATGGGGCTTGGCACGCTGTCGCCTATGGGATCAATGCAGAGCCATATTCAATAACTCGCTTCCACTATCATTTTCATTATGCCAATCCTTTCCATAGTTCACCAGCGGCGCTACGCCCGTTGCTGTCATCCAACTCATCCTGCCCCATCCCCAGCCGGAGCGCGACGGCCCTGTTACAGCCGCTGGGATACTCCCAGAGCTAAACAGTGTCCAGTTCTCAATCCAGCCAAGTACGAACGTGAGACAAGCGCCGTCAGTTGCACTCTGCAAGGACAAGGACCGTTCTCTATCTTGCCAAACTCGGCTCCAATGTTCTTGGTACAAGACCGTCGGCGCCTCCTGCCTTCCCAAAGTTCTATGCCCTGTTTCTACTTGTCTTTACTCACCGTCATCATGCTCTGCAAAGGAATGGGGCATAGTGTATGGTGTGTGATAGAGTGAGCGTAAGGTCAGGAATTCAGAGATCAGACAAGTGGCAGATGGTTTGGACAGTGGTGGAATGTGACAGGGGAGATCGTATCAAGGGGAGGAGGTTCAAAAGGGTATGGAACCACTATCTATATAATTCGTGGGGGGGTAAAGGATGCTCAAGTGTTCCGCCGCGACAATTGTGGCAGTGCTTTTGACTTTGGAAACTGTCTCTACGCGATCGCTTTGGACGTTGACAGGAAATGGTGTGAAAAGGGAATCTTTAAAGGACCAAATGTGGGGGAAATTGAACGAGACGTCAGGCTTTATACGCCTGTCATATGGATAACAACGGGGAAAACTACGAGTTTTTCACGATACGACAACTTGTGTGAGCCGGAAAAAGCCCGTCAATTCAGCCCAAATCAACACCACCCATCGATACCATAATCTGTGTGTGTGTTGAATAACTTATTAACCTCTGACGTTTTTCTTTTGGAGCTTCGGCTGAACGGAAAACAAGCTGCTTTTTCCAATGTTGTTTGTCTCTGTTTTTTATTTTTCATGTCCCCAAATCGCTTTCAACACGGTTGTTGTTTTGCACACTTGCAAAACGCGCTCGCGTAATCTGAGCGGATCGATTGCAGCAGGGCTTTTTTGCCGTTCTCCCCCCCTTTCGTCCGCTTCGTCCGCTTCTTCTCCGCCTGTGGGCTTTTCATCCTTTTTGCCCCCTGCGTATTGCAAGCATGACAGATGGATAGACAAGAATATCGATGGGACTGGATTGATTAACGGACACTTGTTCAAATGGATTACTAGTATGAAGACGCCGTCATGCCAGTCATGGAAGTTGCTTTTGGAATACTGCTGGGTTTGTTTTTAGAATACTGCTGGTCATCTTGGGCAAGCAGATGTTGCAAGCAGAGAGTATCTGACAATCCTACTAAATACGTAGCGACAAGCAATACCTTGAGAGATACTTGTGCAGCATGTACATTGCGTACAATGGACAATATAACATTTCGTGAGCCAACGGATGGGCTGCTGCTGTTGGAATCTCCTATTCATCGCAAGAGTTCACAGTCATACTTTTGGACAATCTTTGTCTCTCTTGTTTGTCCGTGCCAGGGTGAGCAATGAAAAAAAAAAAAATGTGTTCAAAAAGTTGTTGAAAGCCAACATCTATCCAAGTTCCCATGGCAACAAGCTGTCATTTGTTTTCCTTGACAGTGTTGGAGTTTCCAGAAGGCAGCACCATAGCTGAGCTCTTGAGAAACCCATCCAGGACAGTGCTCACGCGACCTTATCGCTCCTTGACTTCAACACTCAACCATGGCACCACCAAAGAATGACCCCGTCTCCGATGTTGAGGAGGACGACCACTCTCAGAGCGAGGATGAAAACGAACTGTCGTCAAATGTGGTGACCAAATACCAAACTGCCGCGGACATTGCTAACCGTAAGTGTCCTTCTGGGGAATATAAAGACGCCGGATGGAGGGAGGAATCAGCTATTTGAACGTGTCACCTCCGCGCGGGCTTAACGCTTATGGAAAAGTACTGTCTCTCATTCACAATTCGTACTGGTGCCGGATACGATTCGGGCATGTGCGTCGGTTGAAAGACTGGGGGGATTTGGAAATACGATCACAATAATGTGACATCATACCAGTGTTTCCCGAGTGCAGTTCATTGAAGATCAGTGGCTCCGACTAACTGTATATCACATTAGGTGCTCTGAAGAAGGTGATTGATGCGGTTGTAGATGGTGCCAAGGTGGTCGATCTCTGTGCGTTGGGGGACCGGACGATTGAGGAACTGGCAGAGAAGGTGTTTAACAAGGGCAAAATTCTGAAAGGTATACCCTCATCTCTAGATCTCGTAGGTAGATGATGAGATTTTGTATTCACGATGCCGAATATCTATCAGGTATCGCTTTTCCTACATGTGTCTCGTCCAACACAGCCATCTGCCACATGTCACCATTGTCCACGGATCCTGAGGGTGCCACCGTCTTGAAGAAGGGAGATGTTGTCCGGCTGGAGCTCGGCGCTCACATTGACGGTTACATTGCTCAAGTGGCGCATACCGTTGTTATTGGAGCAAGCAAGGTTTGGAATGAGACGCGGCTCTACACGATCGGGGAATGGATGTCTAAAGTCTCTCTAGGAAACCCCCATTACCGGCCGACAAGCCGATGCCTTCCAGGCCGCATACCTTGCTACCGAGGCTGCAATCCGTCTCTTGAAGCCAGGAAAGACCAACGTTGAGGTTACTGATGCGGTTCAATCAATTGCTGAGGATTTCGAATGCAAACCTGTGGAAGGTACATTTCCACTGTGGGGACGTGTGATGGGAACACCTTGATTGTAATCTGCCTCCAATTGTTAGGTATGCTCTCACACCAGGTGCTCCGCAATGTTCTGGATGGTAGCAAACAAATCATCCTAAACCCGACCGAAACTCAACGGAAAGACATTGAAACTCAAACCTTTGAGGAAGGAGAGGTGTACTCGCTGGATATCCTTGTGTCAACTGGGGACGGTAAGCCCAAGACCCTCGAAACCAGAACCACTGTCTACAAACGGCAACCCGATGTGACATACAACCTCAAAATGAAGACATCTCGTGAAGTCCTGTCCAAAGTCAATAAGCAGTTTGGATCAATGGCCTTCTCATTGCGACACTTTGATGATGAGAAAAAGGCGCGAATGGGTATCGTTGAGTGCGCAAACCACAACCTTGTGGTACCGTACCAGGTCCTATATGAAAAGGAGGAGGCTGTTGTAGCGCATTTCATGTTCACCGTGCTGCTGATGCCTGGAGGCCCTCTCAAGATTACGAGCTTCCCATGGGACCAAGAGCTGGTCAAGAGTGAGAAGGAGATTAAGAGCGAGAACATCAAAGAGCTTTTGAAGCAGCCTGTCAGCAGCAAGAAGGCGAACAAGAAGAAGAAGGTATGCTTTTTTTTCTTTTCGTGATTATCCATAATTGCGCATGCACTGACACATTACCGATCGGCAGAAGAAGACGGCTGCTCAGAAGGGGGAGAATGGTGCTGAAGCCAAATAAGTGCTACTGTGGACGAATCATGTTAAGGGATATGTTTGCAATGGGAGTAGGGATGCTGTGACTTTTTTTTTTTTGCAATACGCTTTCAAAACGCACTTTGTCTTTTGTCTTTTACCTGTATGCTTGACATTTTACATCCTCGTCAAATTACCATTGGATGGGGATACGTTTTAATTTATAGGCAGGCGACAATAAAGCGGGGTACCCAATCCCAAGCCCAATTAGCCTTGAAGCCTTACAATGGCTTGTCTTACATCATTACATCATACAGATATGCTGGGTTCATCTCGCCTTGATTGCAAAATGGCGTTTAGCAATGTTCAAAGGAACACTGATCGATTCAGAGTCTATCATGCACACTCTTCTTTAACGGAATGCAGAAACTTGCAAATCAACAAATTGCGATTAAATGCATGCAAAATGGGGGCTTGCCGATCGAGAGTCAAAGCCCTTTCATACAAGTTGATACCTTGTGATGAAAAGGGGGCTACAGCTTGTCTACTGCTATGATCATCTCAAAAGTAGTGACGTTTTTGTTCATTTGTCTCCCATGCCGTATGAGCACCTGCCCATTGCTAAATTTTTGGCATTCCTAGAAGAAGATCGGAACCCTCCTTCGTCACACACTCTCAACCAAAAGGATTTTGGAAAACAAGGACGCCCTTGAAAATCGTGCAGTTAACCTACCTACCTACCCTCGCACGCACCCACAGTACCAAATCGACATTATGACTCGGCTGTCTGCATCCTTCATTGCTGCTGCCGTTGTAGGTGCTCTGATAGACGGGCTTGTGCCATCTTCACTGGCCTTCGACACTGGCCCTCACAATGATATTATGCGGAATGTGATGGAACGATTTGGTTACACTCCCGAAGCTCAAGCACTTGGTGCCATAGGCAACTGGTTCACGGACGTTTACGCATTTTCATTTTCGTTCGGAAACCATGTTCCGTTCCTACCGAATCACATTGCGGATCTAGAGATGCTCCATTGCAATAATCTCTATTCCATCGTCTATGGAGCAAATTATATAGCGCAACACACTATTAGCAGCCGGAAAGCAATTCAAGATGCAGTTCGAAGAAATGATACATTATCCTACCTTGCATTACTAGGGACCACCGCTCACGCTTACCAGGACTTCTACGCCCACTCCAACTGGGCAGAACTTCATTTGCGCAACGATTGCGACTGTTACAATGTCCACGACACGTTTTTTTCCGACATTATTGCCGCGAACGGGAGTGTTGATGCTATGATCAATAGTCGACCTCAGTTATCCGGTTGGCAGACGTATTCATGGCAAGACCGCAATTACCCAAACTTTAACATCTTTGGTGGAAATGTCGAACATGGCGAGTATTGTACAGGTACCAACAAAGATAGTTATGTCAGGCCGTACTTTGAGGAAACACATGCCTATGCATTTAGCGCAACTGTGGAATGGATCTACAATGTTGAACAATGGGCCAATGCGGTTGATCCCAATTTTGTCAAGACGGCAAGAGCCTGGGTGCCGCCCACCGAACAAGACCGGCAAGATCTTTTCAAGAATTTCGAACACGCCTTTGAAGTCTCTTATTCCACCACGGCGTGGGTATTCGGTGGAGATGATGGACACTGGAAAGGCTATGGATCAGGCTCTGTTCGAACCTTTGCCGCCAGCGTAACGAATTTTGCAAAAACGAATACGACATATACAAACCTTTATCTGCGGAAAGATCCCAAACCCGTTTGGTCCCTCGTCACAGAGACCCCGCCGTACGCCTTTCTCAACAACTCTTACGATCCTTCTGGCGAAATCATTGGAAACGTTGCATTAATCCAAGATGCCATCCAAGGATTCACACCCTTTCCTTCCATCCCCGCTGAATATACAAATATGACCGTCGTCGTCGTTCGAACGCTAATGTACAATGTCTCGACTAGTTTAGGAAACAAAAACCCATGGGCATTAATCGAAATCGATAATTTCGCCATCAGGGAGGCACCCATGATGGGACAACGGGTTGGCACACCCTACTGGACGGCCATCAAATACATCCCTTCACCAGCCATCAATGCAGCATCTCGAAACGTCAGTATTAAATACACTCTCATCGGCGCCGGCGATAGCTCATCAGTAAACACTCGCATCCCCATCGCAAATTCTCAAGACGGGACATTATACATGACGTTCAATTCAGCCGATAACTCACTTGTTGGAACCGGGATCTCCCCAGGAGTATACAATAGCACGCTGCAGACCCTCAAATCCGCTCAACAGGACAGCAGCATAGAGATATACGTTGATACCCGCGGACTGACATGTACGAATTCAACTGGTCAAAATGGACACTATGTCACGTTTTGTGCCAATACTGCCTTTGGGGAGCTAGGCACCGTTGAGGGGTGTCCTGGTAGTAAGTTCTCAAAGAATAGTAAAAATGGAGGAGTGACCATTCGGGCGGGAAAGAGCTTGTGGATTGTGTTGTGTGGTATACTAGTCGCTGTACTGATGTGAGGGAGGATGCGTCCTTTTCAACCCTGTAATTATTTGTATAATGCTGTAGGTTCAAACTAGTCGCAAACATGCTAAAATTCGTTAATATGGTATTATGCATCTGTTGCTGATGCACCCATGCACGGTCCTACCCATTTCGCCTTGTAGTTAGTGATCTCATTACTTGAGTGGACCACTCATCTGTAAAACAATCTGGATCCATAACCCACATGCAAAAACAAAGGTTGGCCAAGGAAGGAGTTGACTAAAGGGTTAGGGTAAGGGTCAGATTTTGCGGTGCTAACTATTGGTCTTGCACTCGTGTGCCTCACAATTATGCCCAACAGTGCGGGAGAAGGACAATGTCACATTGAGCAAATGTGGTACACGATATGGTTGCATCAAAACACATGCATCATAAACCATTACTATCAGAATGTAAGGAAATATAAAATAGAAAGTCATACACAAGAAAGAAAAAACTAATCTACAAAAAGTTGAATGTATCCATTATACCCCTAATCACTACACTGATTCAGAGTCACTACCACTTTCATTCCGAGATTTTCTGGCTTTTGCTTTTCCTTTCCGCTTGTCCTTTTGCCTTTCCTTGCCTTTCCGCCGGTCATTTTTGGCAGTTTCATTCTTGCGAGGAGGAGGTTTGGACGATTTGGGTTTTCGTCGTTCGTGTTCGCTCTCGCTTTCTTCTGTTCCGCTAACGCTTCCTTCGGTAGAGTACGCCGACTCACTTTCACTTACGCTCTCACTTGCACTTGAACTTTCGCTTCGGCGGCTCCTGCTACTCTGCTTTTTCTTGCGGTTCGAAGGTTTCTTGTTACCGCTTTTCCTTGCGCTACGGGTTTTGTCTCTTGATTTTGCGCTACTTTTGGTGCGCGGTGATTCAAAACTCCGTCGCATGGGCGGGTTGCCTCGTGACATGTACCCTCCCCCAGCATACATGCCCGGAGGGCCATACTGCACAGACGGTGGCGCAAGATGTTGAGGTTGGTACATGGCGGGATTGTATCCCCCATGCGGTGGCCCATAATGTTGCTGTGGAGGGCCACCATAAGGAGCAGCGTAGCCATGCCCCGGATATCCGTACCCAACAGGTGGTGCGTTCCCAAAACTTGCTCCCCTTGGTCGCATACGTGCAACAAGCGGCTCATCATCTGTAGATTCACTCTCGCTTTCTGATGCATCAGATGGGTCACTATCGCTTGGAACTTTCCGCGCCTTTCCCTTTGGATTCGGACCGGGTTTGGTCTTTTTCACCTCACTATCACCGGTCACATCGTCGCTGTCACTCTCCGTTCCCTCACTCTCCTCTAGCTTTGACTTTTGAGGTTTGGTTTTCCGCTGGAGGTCAACAGTGTCCTCGGACAATTCCTCCTCGCTTCCCTCAGTCCCGCTGTCACTCGTTTCCTCGGTGCCGCTCTGCGACTCTTCGTCGTCAGAATCACGTTTTCGATGTGGTCGTCGGTCGGAATGACTGGAAGAACCAGAGTATGATTGTTCTCGTTTCCACATAAATTGTTGCGGAGGCGGTGGATGAAGTCCTTTTCGTGGAAATGGCGTTTAGTTAGACGTACGGCTGCCATTCAAACCATAATCAACCTCTAACGTACCCATACCCGGAGCGCGCATCGTCGGCAAATATTGCGGTTGTGGACCAGACCATTCTACTTGTCGCTCCTGCATCCGCTGACGCTCTTTCGCCCTACCCCACAGCAAATGTCAACCTACGTCCAATACGAAAAACTATCAACAAGATTACCTCTCTCTCTCCAGCCACTGCTGCCTCAGTTCCTCTCTCTGCATAGCCGTTGCCGGGTCCTCGTAGACCTCTCCCATTTCACTCATCGGATACCCGTATGGTGACATGCCCCACGGCCCCGGAGGCGGCATCATGCCAGGCGGGAAGCCAAACGCACCGGGTGGTGCACCAGCAGGGAAGCCACCCATGGGGGGCATACCCATGCCCATTCCCATTGGCGGCCCCATAGGTCCCATAGGTCCCATTGGCACACCCATTCCAGCAGGCGGTCCCATAATTGATTGTCTTTGCAGTCCGGCCATGCCTCCACGAAGGTAGCTCGGGATGTATGATCCAGCCACTTGTGGTCGGTACATGCCCATCTTCTTCAGCATTTCTTTTTCCTTCTCGCGTCGATCCACTTCGGCAAGTAGTCCTCCCACAACCTTTGGTTTGCGCTCCTCTTTATCCACTTTACCCAAGAGTGGTCCGTCCTGATAGGGCATGAATGGTTGCATGTAGGCACCGGGTGGTGGGCCAGAACCGCCGTGAGCAGCTTTTGCCAAGCGTTGCTCCTGCTCCTCAAGCACATCCGGTGCAAGCTGAATCAAAGGACCTGGCCGACGTGGTGCAGCCTTGTTTCGTTCGTCAAGCTGTGCAAGCAGAGATTGAGGCGCGTACAGATTAAACTCTCCTTGATCTTGGGCTTCTTCGTCGTTCTCGTCTTCACCATTGGCAGATGCGTTGTCATTTCCCTGCTCGCGTTGTGCAGGAGGTATAGGAAGGGGCATTCCATTTGGACCGATGATCATTCCATTGGGACCCATCATCATTGGTGGCATACCTGGTATCATTCCAGACATTGGCATCATGCCAGGGATCATACTGGGCATCACACCGGGCATCAGTCCAACGTTGTTCACAGGACCCTCTTTGCCTTGACCATCCTCACCCTCAGTCTCGCTTTCACTCTCACTATCTTCATCACTCTCTTCGTCATCGCCTTCACTCTTGGTGCCATCCGCTTTAGGCTTTGACGTCTTCTCGGACTTATTCTCAGTGTCTTCACCCTCGGATTCGCTCTCGCTCTCCTCCTCGCTGTCCGACGATTCCTTCGCGGCAATAGGGGGAACAGCGACAGGCATCGGGGGCATCATTCCCATTCCCATCGGCATCATCATACCAGGCATACCCATCCCTGGTATCATCATGCCCGGGACTAGATTTGCTTTGCTTGTGCTGGCTTCGACTACGCTTGAGTCATCACTTTGCTCGCTTTGGCTACCATCGCCGGTACTGCTACTTTCCTCATCCTCCTCGTTTGTGTTTCCAGGCTGTGCGGGATTCTGTGCTTGAAATTGTGCATTGTAGGCGGCTGCATCAACATACTGATACTGCCAAGCCCATTGGCCGTTTGGCTGCATAACGGGAACAGGTACCATCATTACTGGCTGTTGCAGCTGCTGTGGTTGATTGGGAAGGGGTTTCTCCTTTGGTACTTCAGCACCGTTGGCAACATTGAGTTCTTTACTAGGAACTTCAGGTACGGTTTCGCTCCCCGGTGTTTGAACGACAGGGGCGCCGGTGATGGAGCGCACACCTTCGGGAAGTGGGATCACAGGCTCGTTTTTCCCCTCGGTCTCCGCTCCCGGGGTTTCTCCATTAATACCTTGCACAGGTTCCTCGCTACCATCCTCGGGCTTCTCGGCATCCGTAAGGTCAATCTTTTCAACAGACTCCGCCAGTTCAGTTACTACAGCAGGCTGAACTGGATTCATTTCGTTCGTGACGACTTCCGACTCTTGAGTTCCAGCAGCATCTTTGTTCACATTCGACGCGTCCTTGACGCGGTCGGCAGAAATGGATTTCCTATTGGCCACCATACTCTTTCTAGATGCGCCCTCACCAGGCTTTTGTTCCTGTGAAGGAACAACCATCCGACCAAGCCAGGCCACTAGCTCAGCAGTTTTATGCTCGACTTCTCGGACCTCATACTTTCTCCGTCCTTCTTCTCCTGCTGCAACCGCATCGTTCCACTGAATGATAAAGCCGTCCGTTTTCGCTTTTGTCTTGTCTCGTAATACTTCAGCGTACCGGACACTAATACTGGCATACACTTCTCCTTGCATGTTTAATCCCCCAATTTCTTCGACAGAGAGATATAATAGACCCCACATGGTCCCGCTGCTATATTCATCACTCTCCGATCCCGAGCCAGAGTCCGATGCATCCTTAGAAAATTGACCTTTGATACGCTTTGCGATTCCCACCTCGCCTTCCGCAATTTCCTTTTCGCGTCTCGCGAGATCCGAATCGAGGTTGAAGGTGCCCAGTACAGCGATCAGCCATCGTGCAATTTCCGACGAATCCACTCCTCGAATATCAACAAACCCTGGGCTCGCTCGGGCGTCTGTCTGATTAGTAAATCCTCGGAGAGGGTCATCGGCAGTGGCAGCATAGCCTGCTGGTCCAACTAGAGCAAAAGTATCCTTCATAGGGGCATCCATATCGCGCTTCTCAATCCGCTCTCCCGATTCTGGATCGTACAGAGTCAACGACCCTTCTAAACGCGCAACAGACGCAGCACCCTTTTCCACGAGAGCAAGTGGCTCAGGTTGTAGTATATATGCCATGCGCACAATATCCATGGTAAACACCGGTTTGCCTTTTTTCACATCGGCTTTTGTCTCGTAAAATCCTACTTGACGCTTCGTACCATTTAATGGGTCAAGGTCGCTTGGGATAAGCGATGATGCACGTTTCTTGCCTCCGAAAAGCTTCTTTCCCAATGAAGCTGTTCCACTACGCTTGACAACGACATGAAAAGGCTTCCACTCGTTGGCATAAGTATACTTGACTTCAACCATTCCCTCATACTTTATTTCATGTTTGTGAGTCGCACTGTGGAATGGAACTACACCAATGTCCTTCCAAGCTGTTGCGTAGGTTGCCCGTTTCAGCATCTTCAACGTGAACAGTTCGCTGACTTTTGCGGCCTCAAAAACTGCCAAGCGAATGGCCGCTACCCAGGTATTACACTGAATGGAGGACAGTGACGCTAGATAAAACAGATTTGATCCTGCCGTCGACAGGGCGAAAAGAGTCGTATATGGCACCGGGGGCGGAGTCGCGAGGCCCGGCCCCTGCTTGACTTGAAAGTTTTGAGGGAGCACCTCGACGACACTCTCCGTAATGTCAATGACAACAGGATGTGGTTGAGCTGTCTTGATGGTAGCAATGGTAGAAGGCGCGGGATCAAGCTCTAAACGCAGTACTTTATCGACAGTGGGTGTCGGATTATAAGTCAAGGCAATGATATGCTCGGGAACGCGCCACAATTTGAGAGTGGTGCCACGTAGTTCTGCCCAGAACTTTCCCCACTCTCCATTAACATCACCCTTGATTTCTGGCTCATCTTTTGCGCTCAATGGTCGACCTCGCACTCCAAGTTCATTCTTCTTGTAGATATAACCATCTGTATATTTCTTTTTGGACAAGGTTTGGATGATCGGGAGTAGGTGTTCCATATCAGCAGAAAGCGGCGGTAGTTCTTCCTGTTGCGTCTGCGCAACGGGAAGAGGAAGCACATTCTTAAGGCGAACCGATGCAATTGCAGAATCACCTACGCTAGGCGGTGGTGATATGTCCACCAAAGTGGCAGACTTTTGGCGAGCATGGCGAGCATGGCTACTCGGAGATGTGAGAGTTGGTTCAACATGTACACTATCGGTCGACGGTCGTTTACTCTGTGGAGGTGTAGTTTGCTTCCACAAACTTGAAAAGGGTCGAGATTTGCTACCATCTGTGGACTGGCGGCCCTTGGTAGTAGGGACGAGAGGTGGGGAATTTGGAGGGGAATCCGGTTTACGGACAGAGAGGCGATTGGGTGACGAAGGTCCTTTCTGTACCGCCCGAGACGCATTTGCATATGATGGTCCATCAGCGACAGCATGCAGTAATCCACCAATATCAGCGGGCTTGGAGGACCCTGAGGAAAGCTGTGGTTTTGGGACCTTATGCCCTGGCCTCAAGTTTGCACGCGAAAAACTTGGTCGAGGAGTGGCCTCCGGGTCGGAAGAAGATGTTGTGTCAGAGTCCGACTCGTCAGTGGACGAGTCTGCTCGTCTTGGAGGAGTACCTTTAGGAAAAAGCATTGTGAAACACTGTACCTGGAAAACAGAACAACCAAATGGCTCATTGCCAATAGTGCCTTCACGACAACCTTCTAAAGCACCCTGGCCCTCCTTCGAGGAACTCACCTTTCTGGACTCCCCTTCTCTCATCCCCTCGTGAAACCGGTTTCCTTGACGCTACATTCTGGACCTTGTTGTAGAGTGCATCCAGTTCCTCTGAAGAAAAGAGGGACATTAATAGTACAACTAGTGTAAACTAGTATGATTCCTGTATGCCGCGACGGAAAGAAATGGGTAATATGGACAAGGAAAGATCTAATTAATGACCTGTATGCAAAAGAAGTCTGATGGCCAATGAGCCGTTGACCTCGAACGACTTTCCTCAAAACCAGAGCCATTTTGCAGCTGTGCCACCCAGTGCCTATAGCCGTTTGCGGACATGGGTTATTTTTAGCTTGGATTTACTATTTCAACGTGCATCCCCAATTTTGCAGATCCATAGCAAGAAAAAAAAACACATCATTAGCAGTGTCGCTATCCAAAAGATGTGCCCATCTCCTCTTTAGATCATATTCTCTTCCTCGCATATCAAACAATGATTTGGGATCTTAAGAGGCCACGATCCGAATGTAAATAAAAATTAAAAAAACAAAAAACAACAACAACATAGCCTTGAACAGTCGACGAGTTCAACGTCGACATACAAAAAACAACAGAATCAGCCTTCTTATTTGAACACGGGAAATTGTGGTTGGGAGAAAAGATTTCACGCAACAGGCTACTGGACAGCGAGATCAGTCCAATTTAGTAGCGGTCGAGCATTCTTGAGGGGTCGACACCCTTGTCTCTTATCGGGATGTCTTGAACGCCTTGGGCAACAAGGCATTTCGATAAATCTGTTGACTACATGAATACAAGAATGAGAGGCCGGTAACCGCGCAAAGGACGTTCAGGGTCCCAAGATGAAACAAGGAGATAGCTTACCTCCAACATGCCAGGAAACTGCTTTGCGCGGTAACATGTAAATACATCCGATAACGTCATTGCTTGTATGGGTATCGCTGATGATAGGGCAGCCTCCTCAGCCATGTTGATATGCTCTTGCGAGGTCAACGCGGTCGTAACTCTAGAGGTGCTCGCTACCGGTCGGAATGCTGATGGCCCTGATGACGTTCGCAGCCCTCCGGATGTCAGCACGTTTTGCTCCTCCCCATCAGTTGTGCCCGCCCTGCAAATGTTACTACTATCAGATCCAAGTGACCGGCAACTTCACTCAAATACAGTAATCGCTATACAGAGGGCCAACGCGGCAGAATTTGCATGTGAACCGATCCGGTTCCACCAGAATCTTTCTTTTCTTTCATTCTCTCTCCCTTCTGTCCCTCGCTACACTATCCTACTTACCCTGTTCCTCTCTCAAAAACTGGCCTCAAGTCTACCAATCTAAACTTGAGCCTCAAATGTCCCGGTGGACGAACGGACAAGTCAGGGAATATAAACATAAGCTTTTTCACACCGTGCACGTCCTTTAGAGGCTGAGCCGTCGCAACCGCGCAACCGACCAATGCGTGCTGACTTGCACCAAGTTCACCGGCCGATTCGTCGGCGTAAATATTGTTAATGAGACCTCGGTCCTCTGTCCCATCGGCACTACACAACGAAGCATGGCACACAAGGTATGGTTCTTCTTGCGCACTAAAAACAACGATCGAGGAAAACCAGTTTCAGTGGAGGTTGGGTCCTTGTATCTAGAAATGCAAGTAGCCACCATGACACCGTGACACCACGATCTCGTCTTACCTGGAATCTCGGATATTTCTCTCGTCATATTTGATTAGCTCCACTACTGGTGGCTATTATACAGTCGAGCAAAAAGATGATTGCAAAAAGGGACGTGCAGGCGAATCTCAGCTAGTAGTATGAGAAGGGGATTGACGTGCAGAACTTACAGGATCCACTCGTCGTCGATCTGACATAACGGGAACAAATGATGTGTCAATATCTTGTTCTGGTAAGAGCATTTTCACACCATTTTTTTGGCCCCATAATGGTGGCAAAAAGACATTCTTCCCAGCAATTCAGCATTTGCGCTGTCGTATACCCGGCTTATCTTACATCCTAAGCAAACGTGCCTTTTACTACTAACCTTTTGTTCCAAACCCGCAGGCTCGCGCGCGTATAGGCTGCTGCAAGACGCGTAGTTCGTATCGGACACTCCCTGGCGCTGGACTCTTCAAACTAGTTTGATCGACAAGTTCCACACGACGACGGCGACAAGGTTGAGGTACGTGACGACGTTGGAGTGCATGCGAGTAGTAAAAGAACGGGAGCGAGGTGGAAACAACGAGATCAATATCCATCATGTCAAAAAGTCGCGTCGCTGGTAGACAGGGCAATGAATGGGAATTTTTAGGGTGTCCCCTCCGAGGGCCCGTCAATCACTCAGCGCAACTCTGTTGGTGACGCGACCCAATGCAACGGAAACATTCCAAAACCAGCGTCGCCGAGAAAATATCAAAGGAATGGAAGGAATACCTTTGTTCGCTTGGATGAGGCCGGAGCCTTCCTGCGTCAGACTGTTGAAGCGAGGCCATGAGGTTGTTGCCTCGGCTTTTTGGCTACGATAATGACTGTGTACCGCCAAGCACCCGCAAGACCACAAGAAGGTGAAATGTGTTAGCTCCGGTATCCCGCTAATCAACAGGTTTAAAGAAGAGTATAACACAACACCAGGCACGGCGGAGCGCGGTCCTTGTTGGCTCGTTTCAAGTCTATATCAAAAGGCGCCCAAAGGACGAATCACCATTATCATTCCATTTGTCAAGGGATTTCCATCGTCCTTGTCATTGACAGCAATGGGATTGTGTTTTCCGTCCGCACCCAGTTGATTTCCGACGAGAGGCTCAAGCGTACCTGTGACAAATATGGTGCTGTTTATAGTTTAATCTATAAATGTCGGCAAACATGCGCCTCGGATCCAAATGTCGGGGCGTTCCGTGCAGCAGCAGGTAGATACAGCTTGTCGGTGACGTCCTCGACGACGATAAAGTCCGTCTTGCAGCATTCCTGCGGCTTCGTGAAAATCCAGGTCACAACGTTAAAAGAAAAAACGGGGCGGATGCGACGACGATGAACCATGGCTCAAGGCTTGCCATACTAAGCCTCTTGCGACTAAGCCCCGTGAGTAAGCTGACTCCCAACGGGACGGAAGGCCTGGATTCTCGCACGGGGACACATTTGACTGGTGGAACCGGGTGAACGGGAAGGGTCGGCACTGGAAGACAGGCAGCCAATCGGAGATGGACATAGTGTACATGCACGTGATAATGAGATTGAGTGCGTTACCATTTGCTTACACGAGCCGTCGTAGGAACTTTTGTTTGTTTTGGGCCGAATGGGATGAAGCAAGTTGCAAATGACTTTAGGCTTCCTTCAGCTGGGCATCCCCGGCTGTCCTCCGTCGATCGCTTGTCCCCCTCGAACAGATGGGCGCCAAGTCCAAACGACAAGACCTTTCCAAAGAGGCAAAAAGACCCTTGTGATGGATCCTTACACTCTGCCAAAGAATAGATTTGTTCTGGTTGCTTACAAATCCACGTTCCAAAGGTGTCTCCGTTTGAATGTTGCTATAGTAATACATGTGGCACAGTTTGCTAGCAGTCATCTGCAAAAGAGTCCAAGCGATCAAGGTTCTGGTCAAGAAAATGCATGCTAGCATCGCACTCCGGACATGCATTCCGAGGATCCACGTCGCGATTGGCCCATGTAGGTGGAGTTACTGGAGGTTACTTGGAGGCCTTTTATATACTCATATGGTATGTCGATAGGTTTAGAAGCGTATCGCTCCGCGATCAACACAACCAATTCAAAGGACAGGATAAAGGAACTTGGCAGTGTTTGCGGGGCCAATGTAAATGTGACACGGCATCGAACAGAGGCACACCTTGTTCGACAACTGGTTGAACTCTTTGATCAAGAAAAGCCGGACTTGATTATTTTGAATCCCGGAATATTAGCCCGGGTACGCTGGTTTTCTGGTTTTGCTGGTCTGCCCGATCTATCCCAACATTCCAATACTTTTACATTTACGTAGGGCGCTGTCGTACTCAAAGGTGTACTGCGCGAAATACATGCACAAGCAGCGGAATGCAAGCAAGCGGTGAATATCCAAGAAGTTATTCCCAAAGTTCTAGATCCATCAGATCTGACTTCACTGTGTCCGGCGGGCTCTATTCAAAATCTCGGCGATGCTTCGTACAGTATCGCCATCACGGAATTTTGTCGGAAATTCCATGAAGCCCAGGCCAAGGCCGCGCTTGCTAAGACTAACGTATCAGAATCGGATCCTGTGCAGGACGAGAACCCAAGAAATGCAACGGTAACTGGGAATAAGCCAGCGGAATCCAGAATGACTGATCTTCAGTTCCAGCCAAAACTTTATTCCCGAAATCGAGCCGTGCAGGCTGCGGTTATTGCAGAATCGATACGATTGGATAGATACCCCTTAGGGGATGAAGACGAGGAAGAAATCCTGCAACGCAACTCTGAGGCGTTTGCCAAATCAGCTCTACTTGGTGAAGGGGACAATGAAGATGGTGAACAGGTCGCAAGTACTTTGCTCGCCTCAACGTCTGAACAACATCGCGAAGAAATGACGGAAGGAAATGTCCCTGCGATCACAAGCTCGTCGCAACATTCCGTCGCTAAAGGACAATCCAAGCAGAGAGGATCAAAAGATCATGCCACCAGATTCTCAGAGCATGTTGCGCGAAAACAATATGACAGGGAGTGGAGGAAAGGAAGGGAGGTCACCAGAAGCCCGGCAGAGGATTCCACACCGAAACGAGAATGGAAAAGTAGAAAGCGAATTTCAGAAAAAGTTGCCCAAGACACCTTACCTCAAGACACTTCTGAGGCCCCCGCAAACGAGACAATACCGCAGCGTCCACCACGGCGCACCATAACCGTCCTCGCACAATCAACACCTTCGTCACCGACCTTTGAAAGAAGAGAGATCACACCACAATCAACACCTTCGTCACCGACCTTTGAAAAAAGAGAGATCACACCACAATCAACACCTTCGTCACCGACCTTTGAAAAAAGAGAGATCACACCAGATGGACCCGATTATGAAAAGATTGCAGATGAATCTTCGTGGCAATCTCCAAATACTATTTCCGAGCAAATCAATGGTCAACGCCCAGCCGCAGGAGATTATCTGAATCTATTTGAAGAACAATACTTTGGAGAGCTCATCGACAAGCTTGAACGGTCGACATCCACAAAAGACTGGTAGTCAAACACCAAAAAAAGACTCGCATCGGATCCTCACTAATTCACTGTACAAATTTATTATAATAGAACATGTGTACCTAAACTGCAAAATTACAAAAGACTATATCTCATACTACAAAAACCTGATAGGCCATTTCAATTTTACAACAATAGATTACAATGCAATCTTTGCATTTGGCAAAGGAGGCACTACAGGTGGATCGGCAGGGGTAGGAGCAGCAGGGGCTTTTCCCGAGGCGTGTGTCTCATGAGCCACAGTCGGCTGGTGCGTCTCCGCTGTCAGATCACGCTTGCCTCCGATCGGAGCCGGTAAACCGGTAGCAGCCCATGCACCCGTGGAATCGTTCACGGCAGCAGGAGCAGCGTGTGCCGGGACATCGTCGAGATTCCCATCCTCCAAATCCTTGACGGCCACGACGGGCATTGAAGCATGTTTCGCGACATAGTGTCCCACCCCCGTATGAAACAACCTGGAAATAATCCCCTTCCTCTCCAAACTCCCAACTAAAATGACATCCGGTTTGGTATCATTGGCCAAGTTGACCAAATACTTGCCAGCTTTTTCCTCGCATTCAACAATGACTGTCAACGGAAAACTCTTGCCAGCCTTACTACACACTTGTTGAAGTTTAACTTGAATATCTTTGTATGCTTTATCTTTTTCGGCGTGTTTATATTCGGCCCATGCGTCAAGAGATCGGCCCGTTGGCATTGGGGTATGCCGGACATTGACGGCTGTAAGTTCATCATTGGAGTGCAGATAGTGCTTGAGGACCCATTCGAGATGGTTGTAATCTGCTTCAGTGTCGTCGAGACAATAAAGGATCTTGCGGCCTTTGGTAGCGGGGAGGGGTGCTGGCGTGATTTCGACAGGTTGCGTCATGTTCAATTTGTATATGTGCGTGGGGATTGGTGTTGGTTTGCTGTTGGCTTTCGTATGGATTCTTTTACGATGTTCTTGCTGTAACTTGAATGCAAAACGTAATAGTGGCAGGAAAAAGGGCTTTTGCAAATGTCCCTAGCGTTTTTATAACCCCCTCCGATACCAGCCCTTTATCACACATGTTACGTCATGTTCCATCACGTTGTGTACATTACATTGCGCAGCAGCCATGTGAATCATTTCCAACAACAAGCGATCAAGGCTTGTTGGGAGGAACACTGTTGTGAAAAGTCATTATCATTCACATGGATTGGGGTGTAGATTTCTTATCTCCATTGGAGGTCTTTTCTTGCTTTTGACAGCGGGGGGTTCTGTTTGACCTTTAGATTGGACCATCCGCGGTGACCTACGAGGAACAATGTAAGAGCACGGTTCAAAAACATGCAATGCTCTTTGCGAGCTTTTCTTGAGCTGAGCTGAGGATGTTCTTCATTGGGGGTTGGTCATGTTCTGTATATTGCAGAGGTTGGATACAAAAAAAGAAAATTCCATCCGCGTAGAGTAAAAACCAAGCGTTGTGTGAAGAAATGGGTGCTGTGAGATTCGAACTCACGCCTCCGGAGAGACTACGACCTGAACGTAGCGCCTTAGACCAACTCGGCCAAACACCCTGAAGAAATTACGACCGATAAGATATACTTATTGTAATTGTCATGTAGCATGGTGTTTAATCCGTGCCCATCCCGACTGCAATCAACTCGGGCCCTGTACTTGGCATGCTGAACAGGAGACCTTCCAAGAGCGACTGGTTTTTAGATCTTTAAAAATCTACTGGCGCGAACACAGATGTTGATATGAGTAGATATCTATGGTTTGGATAGATTGCTGGTATCAGTTTTGGAACATTCGTGAGGAAAAGAAACTAACCCTACTATTGGGTCATGGATCTTTTCATCAGACCCTTCTATTCATATCATTAAAAAAAATAAATCCATCGTTCCTTGTCCCATTATATGTTGTGGCATGTTTGATTCATCAAGCGTATGTCACCCATATTCTTTATGGCTTTCCAGTTACGCCTTTCAGCCCAATGGCCAAACGATGACTTTTTACCTGTCATCTCGGACGGAATTGGGCGCCTTGTGCTGAACTGAACTTGCCAATCAGCTCCATGCATATTAACAACATATTGACAAGGCTCAAGACGGTGGAGAGGATCATGGATGAAGATCTTGCAGACCATTTCGAGTCCATTAGATTTTTGATAGATTCTATTGTAGTATCTAATAAAGAGCAAGCCTTTATCTTTGGGGTCGCTTCATGTCAACGATTAAGCGAATCTCACACTCGACGTTTCGCGGAATCCTTCAGACGTCATGGTCGGGTCATATTGCCTTTCGGACATTTTAAGCATGTCGCGGTATGTAATTAAATACTGGATCTTTGCAAAATCATTGGGTCAGCAGCCATCAAAGAGATGAGGATCTGTAAGCCACATTTAACGATAACACACACATTGATCTCATCTTTTGCTTCCAAGTAGATCTAATATTGCCAACTGGGATTTCAAACAAGGTTCGCTCTTGTGACAACTCGCGATCTTTCATCAACTGCTGCCAAGGTATAAGAATACAAGGATATGTTGTTTTTGGCCCGAGGTATTTCAAAAGCCGTGCACGTTCTACTTTTGAGGATCGCCGTGTCGCGACAGTCCTTTCTTGCGTCATTTGTTTTGCTTTTTGAGGATCTTCTTTGTTTTTCCTTCCATTTGCTATTGCTTTGCTATTGCTTTCCTATTGCTTTCCTATTGCCTTTAACGCGCTTGTTGAAATGCGTCATGACGTGTGCATTTGATTGGCTACTTGCATCTCTCGTGGGAAAGGCGAGCAAACGAACGTGAGCGCTGATCCCTTCCGCCATCTGCCCATTTCCCAAATTACAATACCTTTTTGACCCGCATTTCCCTATTTTTATTTTTTGATTCTCTCCCGGCAAACAGCTCACACTGGCTGGCGAAAAGCATAAAGAGCTCCCGTCCCCCACGCCCCCCTTCCCTTTTTTCCCCATCCGCAGCGGATCCCACCCAGTTATCACATGCGCCCACATTACGCTGCCCTCTACTATTTATTCCACAATCTAGTAGATCCCACGACCATTACAAAGAGGAACTGCCCAAAAGTCCTAGCATTGCTTCTTGCTTCCGTTTACCTATTTCCGTTTCCCCCGTCGCTCCTACGTAGAACCGCTGGCTTGATTCATCGCGTTCACCTCCACCGCACCCGAGATACCCAATCCGTATACCCAATAGTATCAACAACACTTTTTCATAATGGCCAATGCACCGTCCGCGGATCAAATGGTGGAGGCCCTAGATCGATTTTATCTGGAATGGGCCAACGCAAACAATATCGATGTGAACGCTGCTCTCTTTTGCAGCCCGGCCCGTCGAAGCATAACGATCGACGAAAACGAAATCATCGAACCAGGTGCCCGACTGTTGTCAATTCCTCTTCGTGCTGCTCTTTCTGCGTGGGGCCCTGGTCACGAAGAGGAAGCCGCCTTCGATATGTGGCTCACGACAGTGCAAGACAGATGCGATACCCGACGCCAACGGGTGCCGCTTATCGAAGGGTTTGGAGCTGTGCAAGCCGTCATCATGCGGCTCTTATTCCATCTGTCTCTCGAGATGGAATCACGATTCGCACCATGGCTCGCGACCTTGCGAGTGTTTCCGGTCTACCGGGAATTTCCACCAGACCCACGGTATCTGGGACTGTTTATCCCAAATCTAACACCGGACGAGCGAACGGAACTCCGCGGTACATCGTTGCAGGTCATGGCCGACTGCAACGAGGAGATTTCAGAAATGTACCGGTTGACCAAAATCCTGGTGGAGGACGCCAGGCAGATGATTGGTGGATTTTCCTTCCGCCATTATTACTCTACAAACACCATCACCCAACCCGTCCGCAAAGAGGATCCCGACTTCGATCCAGACGGATTCACGTACGATCTCTTCAAGCGCGCTCTATGGCTAGTATTTCGCACAGGCTATCACGTCAATGCATTAAAGGGCAAGTTCCAGTCGGTTGCGGCTCAGTTTGCGCAACCGAGTTGGTCGTGGGAAAATATGGGCAAGCCATGTCATCACCTATACCTGATACCCCTGTTTGAATGCCTGCAACCCCAAGCCGATAGAGCAACGGCTTTTGTAAAGCCGACGCGCGAAGAGATTGTAATCCCCAACCCCCGGAGAAGATCAAGCGCTTCCAGCGATGGCACTGCCAAGCATGCAGCGCCCGTTCTACCAGATCCGACCAATGAGCCGTACGGTGAGTATCATCGATATTATCATACGATCATTATTCCGTATCCGCTGATACATTCCGACTGGTAGAGCCCGAGTACAGCGTCGTAACGGGCGTCGTGATCAACGTTCACGCGGCAAACCGGCTTATTCAGCGCCAAAGGCTGACCATTCATGGCCTGAACCATGTAATCAACACCGCCGATATGCTCAAAGCATATGGTACCATGGATGGCAGCCGCTTTGAATCCTTTGCGATACCCAGTGCAATTGTCGATCGGTCTATTCGACTGCATTTGGGAGGGCCCTCTGCGGTCGAGTATTCTGCCAAGGGTAAGGCTCCTGCCACTTTTAACCAGGACCTTTATGCTTTGGCTAGGCAACAGTTGCATTATCGCGGGTACTGGCCAGAGCCGCAAGAAGAGTTCCAGGTTACATGCCGGATCATGGAAAATCCCCACCTGATAACGTAAGTTTATGACTTGTCATTGTTTGTGCCATACCTCGAGTTTGTTGATGGACTGATTTCTCTGTACCGCTTTTTTTCTCGTTCCACTTGTCAGCTGCGTGGTGGTCGCCCTCATGTCCCATGAGGAGCTCGAAAAGTGGGCTTGCAAACCTTGCAGTTTCGACTATGGCTGGTTGAAGAGTCAAGCGGAGACACCTGGCGGTATGCAATATGATCGATGTTGCACCATTGCCGAGATACTGGGATCGATCATCTTTGAGAGGCTTGCAGCTATACCGAGCAACGACAACCATGATTCCGCCATCATGAACCGCTGCCAAGCGATGCGGACGTGGGATCATAAGAAGCTGCAGCGTGAGAAGCTTGAGCAATTGCGGAGGGCGGCAGAGGACGTTTTGGATGAGCGAGATGGACGCGACGGCGAGCGGACATCACAAGGTCGACCGCCGGGTGCATCGAATGGTCATTCACGCCCGCGTGCGCCAAGCAGCAACCTTTCTGATAGCCCACGCAAGCGGAAGCGGGGCCAAGAAGGGGAGACATTAAGCGGCGAGTCCCGATCGGCGATTCCAAAAGATGATAGCGGGGCCTCACCGCCAAAGACACGGAAGCTGAATGGTGGAGGCGACTCACCCACCACCGCAAGAACTCCCGTCCGAAGCAAGCGTCACGCTAGGTCCTGCCCATCTACCCCGCCCTCTGGGGGTTCATCATCGTCGTCGTCTGGGTCAAAAAAGCGTGGTCGATCAGCCAGTGACGACGAAACTCAGTCATCCTCACCCGAAAAGCGCCGAAAATCAGCCTCGTCGCTCCCACTCTTTGACCCGTTTGCAGATTTCCGTCGATGGTGGACCTACGGCAAAGAGATGGCCGTCCTTTTTCGGTGGCGGGAGCGCGTAGCTTTGCAGCATGCTCTCAGCCACCTTCAAAGAGATGCTACAAAAGCTGCTTGATCGGACGGCGGCCTTGTTGGAGGACCTGGTCCACCATGAGCAAAATGAGGATGCTGACGGGGAGGAGGAAGAGGGCAGTGGCACGGAGGATGGGAGGAAGAGGGGACAGAGGTGGCAGAGAGTGAGTGGGAGACGGGTCATGGGAGTGATAGTGAAGTTGAGGATGAGGAGGTTGCGGATGTGGGGTTGGATGAGGGGGAGGAGATGTAATATCAAGATTCAAAAGAGGAGGATAATGGACCAGTGCGCGGATTTAAAGAAAGGGGAAAGGCAAAGTGGGGATTTTGGGAGAAATGGGAGGGTACACACACACACAAGTTGTGTATTTGCTTGTTTTTTTTTTTGATTATTCTTTTGTGTTGTTTTGGCGAAGAGGTTGTACATAAATATTCATTTTGCATTTTGGGGGGGTTTGTTATGGCGAAAACATCCTTTGCAATATTGTCATGCAAAAACTTGGATCTGGGCTCATAACGAGCGGAAGATGTTCAAAATACCCAGAAAAGGAATTTGTTTGGATAGGCTGGAGGGCACAAGGTCTCTGTTCAAATCCGAGATGGAGGTCCCAGCCAATGTGATTCTTGCAGGGCACCAAAATCTTTTTGCTTATCCCGAATTCATTAAAAGCAAAGATGCGCATTGGGTCAACACTGGTCAACACTACCGAGGGTTGGTAATATCAAGTATTTTTAAAGGGTCATTGCCGACGAGTGCAACTTTCATGAATAAAACGTAGAAATGCAAGAAAACGGGGATATCCTGACTAGGCAACCAGGGACACCTAGTAGATTCATTTCCATTTTCTTGCACTCTGCTTCACTTTATAATCCCTTATCTTCCCGTATATATAATTCTTTGTCTTGTTCATTGCATGCTTTATTTACAAAAGTGTTTTATGATTGAAAGTTTTAATTACTTGATTCTTTGTTGTGAATCGACACGTTGTGGTTGGGATACCGTTCTTTTAGCGACAATACCCAAATCCGATACCACCACATAAGACGAATCTATGTATATAATTATCGAAAGTGGGGGAGACATGGAGCCATTCAATATATATTCAAATGTGTTGCATCTTGAGTATTTTTGTCTATTTGCAAAAAAAAAAAAACGAAACATCTCTTGGGAAGCTGCTACCAGTGTCAAAGAATTATGCTTTTAAGTGGCGTGGCATCTTATAAACGTCAGCCATACATACGCGACGATCGTCTAGTGGTTCCGCCTTTTGCAGAAAACAACATGCAAAAACTATATATCCTTGCAAAAGTAAAAAACGTGGTTGCCAGTGCAAACGACCATGAGGTTGCGGGTAATGAATACATTAAATCAATAACTTACAAACCTTGCGTAAATACCATGGATATTCCAATTGTATTGAGAAAAAAGCGAGTAACAGTATCAAAAGACAATTTCCATATATTCTCTACCCAAACACCCAACAACATCAAAAGATCCTCTGCCCGCAAGAGTCCAAAACCCGAAGCCCCATCGGAGTTTAAACAACACGCATAAACAAGTATTGATTATGTCAGCGTGCAAGATGGGGCCATAATGTGTATATGAAGGAGGCGAAGGAATCAATTTTTGAACAAAACACAAAACTAGATAGCTCAGCTTCTTGCCCTCAGCCTCTCGTCCCAGATTTTTTATAAAGAGCAAGTGAATTGTTTGTGGTTTGTGAAGGTTCATCCTCCTCTTCCACCTTCTTGAGCTTTGGTAGGTTTCATTTGGCGGCGGGATTTTCGTCGGGTTTTGTTAACCTCGCTTTTTCAAACTAGGATCTATATCTCTTTTTTGAAAAACACAAGTTTTGAAATAAAAAAAAAAAACAACAACAACAACCATGCAAGCCCAACCTCAAATGACGACTGTTCAACCCGGGTACGCCCCCCAACCCGTCGCAGGGGCCGCTCCCGGTCAAACCAACGTAAATACGACACATCGTTCTAACAACGCGCTTAAAATGATAGTCATGTACTAATGGATAATGTTGTTTTAGGTTGTCGTTGTCACTCAAGTTGTCCAGCGCCCACCAAAAGATTGGTCTCACAGTCTCTTTGACTGTTTCGGAGACTTTGGAACGTGCTGTTTGGCGTGCTTGGCGCCCTGTTATGTCTATGCTACAAACAAACAATCTATGAACAAGAATGATGGATGCTGTGGGGTAAGTAGTCTTTTTACGTAGTTTGTAAAACACACGGATCTTGATCATCTTTTTTTTGGCTAGGACTGCTTCATGTACTATTGCGCCGCGCAATGCGGATGCGGACCTTGTATCGGATCAGGTGGCCGTGCGAGCGTTCGGAGCAAGTACAACATTACTGGCGACTCTTGCTCAGATTTCGTAAGTTTTCAAAAGGATTTTTTTTGTATTCTATCGTTAATGTGGTTGGCTAAAACATTGACTTTTGTAGTGTGCGCACTGCTTCTGCGTCCCTTGTGCTCTTACCCAAGAGAAGCGTGAGATTGATGGCATGATTGCAACTGGAATGAACTAGAGTGACCGGTTCACTCTTTTTTTGTGTTTGTATGCTCCAATATAATAAAAGAAAAAGTTTTGTATGCTTGAATAGAATTAAACAATAAAAACACTTTGGCGGGGCTTGCGATGTGATGGATATCCAATGACGGATATCCATCACTGGTCAACCCTGCGAGTAGTTTTGTCTCATCAAAACTTGCCGCCTTAATGATGGAGTCTACTTTTTGATATCGTTAATTTGCAAAGCCGCCAAGAATCTACTCCTCTTATGATCATGGGCACCAAGTCCAAAGTAACACTGACAGTCCTGTAACTCGTTTGCAACTCTACAAGCTTATTTCAAAAGACCTGGTAAATAACATTTTAAATTCTGTGTTTGGCAACTTGCATCATTTTGCAACTCAATCAGAGTATACTTGTTTTTCATTACATGCCATCCATCCAGAAAACATGATGAAGGTCAACAGAACAATCTCCCGCAAAGAAACAACCCACTCGGGATCCTCACAAAACATCCCCAACACGCCCAGCTTCTTTGGAACGCAGCAGTATGAAAAAGAAAAAAGAAATACCAACATATTCATGCTCGTCCAGCAATATATTTCAAAAGTATATTTACAAAAACGATAGTACAACAGGAATGTGCATTTACACCTTGTTGTCAGTCTCAGTCTCATGTCTGTGCTCGTGCATCATCTTTCTCTGCATATCAAATGTGAGCAAAAAGGACTTTTAGAAAAAACAGCTCGAGCCGCACAAAGGCGCCCCTACCTTTTCCTCAACCTTGTCCACCTCACGCTTGGCCATCTCTCTCCTTTCTTCTATGAAATGCTCGTGCCGTTGGTCGGCCGTCAGATGGGACGCCAGGTGATGAGAGTGTTCAGTGTGGTGGATGGCGGCAGTGTGGAGGTGGGGGAGGGGGGGAGGAGGCGAAGGGGTGCGGAGCGGATCCTTTTCCGGCATGTGAAGAGTTATAGTAGATTGAAAGTTGCTACGGGTGAGGTACTGATCACCTTCCGGGTGAGCTTTGTCATTTCTAGAGGCCAAAATCCTCTTACGCGACATGACAAGGGCCTGACTCACTGACTCTGAACCGAGTCATTCAAAAATAATGGGAAAAGAAAAATATTGCCATGCTGATACAGGTATATATTTGCCAAAATAACCCAAAATAACCAAAAATAATAATAATAATTTTACAAGAGAAAAATGATATACAGGAAATGCAAGTGTGAGACTGCAACCACCTCATTCAGTGGCCGACAACCTCTCCCGCAAAATCTCAACTTGCTGCTCCAAAGCCTTCAAAAGAGTAGCCGCCTCTGAACTCGACATGGCCTTGACCTGCTCCCGGAACGCGGCATGCTCAGATTCCGACAAGGGTTCGGGTGACATGCATACGCGGATCGGAGAGGCGGCAGTGACTTGTCGCTTGGACTCTGATTCGTCTGATGTGTAGCCAGAATCTGTGCGTTGGCGCTTGCGATTCGCAAGGTCGGACGCAGAAGAGGGGGACAGGGGAGAGGTGGAAATGTGAATCGATGGGAATACGTGTGGTACTTGCGCTTGTTGGGTTTGTGGGGATGCGATTGGCTGTTGTTGTGCGGGTGCTGGAATCTGAGACGTGACGCGGGGAATAGGCACACGGTCGGTGGTGCTAGAGTTGAGCAAGTTGGCCGGGTTGGCGGGAATGACAATCGGCGCCACGCTTGTGCGACGGTTCGCGCGATCGATAATGTTGACGGGACGCATGCGGTGATTGGTCTTGAGGTACAGACCACACGCGTTGCAAATGGGTTGTCCGCCGTCAGGCGTTCGTCGCCACAAGGGTGTCTTTGTCGTCCCGCAGTTCACACACACATTGAAGCGTTGATGTCGCTTTTGCGCTTTCGCATCGTCTGACGCCAAAGTAGATGCGGAAGAGCCAAATAGAGTCGCAGCGGACGCTCCAGGAGACGCATTTGCAAATTGTTGCGCTTGCACTTGCTGTTGAATGGCAAGCGCAATGGTTGCAGCCGTTGTCGCGGCCGAATCCAAGCAGTGCGCTTCCAGAGTCTCTGCCGATTTTGCTGCAATCGGAGCCAAAGGGGGACTCAACGGGCTAAACATAACGTGCTGTGAAAGGGTATTGGGAGCAGGTGTAGGAGAAGGGGCCAATGCGGTTTCTTGCAGTGGCGATGGCGAGGGAGATCCGTGTTCAGAACCAGCAGACTGTGACAGGGAATCTTGCGATGCAGTGTCATCAGAGCTCTGCTCCTCGCTGTCCAACTTGTAATCCTGCTGAGACGCACTGCATGCGTCGCTCAGAGACATGTCGCCCGAGAACCAATCCAAATTTCCCGTCAAATCAAACGTCTCTGAAAAGGGCGTCGTCAAGTACATGTCGAGAGGATCCATCGCCCCTACGGGGCTCTGCGGTGGAGACTGCTGCTTGTCGCGCTGAGGGGACCATGTATCATCCAATGCACCGCCGAGGGTATTCAGGTCCACCAGCATAAATGGGTTGAAAAACGTTCCTTCCAGGGTAGCTGCCATGATCTTTTTTTGTTGAGGGTATCGTTATCTTGCTTTTTTCAACAAAATGCTTGCCCACTGCCCAAGAAACAAAAAAGAAAAACCACAACGGGGGGGAAATTTCCCACTAGCTCGCTTTTTATAATCCTCTTAATAACCCCCCCAAACGTCTTTTACCCCAGCCCAAAATCCGTTCTCCCGGGCCTTTCCTTGCGGGGTGGACCGTCTCCCAACCTTTTTTTCAGACGCTTTGCTGGCGAGTCCTTCCGAACGCGCAAAAAACTATTTTTTTTTTCTTTCACATGCGTTGCTTTTTTTTCTGCCGTGACCGTGGGAGACGGGAGACAAAAGTAGAACCGATCCAATGGGAACTGTTTCACGTGATGTGTGACATCGCGTGAGAAGAAATATTTCCTCTTGATAAGATCTATTGTTAACCATGGAGTGAGATCCGGTTCTACGGTAGCGCTTATCTCTGCATCCTTGATCAGAATATTGATCTTGGTAGCCAATCAGATGCGATTAAAGTGAGATGACGAGAGTGATGTGGATGACTGTGGAGCGTACGACATGCGCGTTCCAAAAGTTACCCGTGGAATTTTTTAAACGCCGCATCAGACAACCTTCGCCCCTCTTTTCCTCCACCACCGAAAATGGTAAGAATTTATTATTGGCTGGCAGAATTGACAATTGGTTTTTGGCCGAGAGGAAAAAACAAGGGTCCAAAAACATTGTGAGAAAACTAATGATTTTAAATTGCTTACGTCCATATGGCAATGACTTGCAAGTCCAAAGGGCAATGCAGATGGCAATGTAAATGGCAAATGTACAGAAGGCAAATGCAAATATGGCAAATGCAAATGGCAATGCAGTAGTAAAAAAGCCCAAACTGCAAGGCGATCGACAAGCCATCCAATGCTAAAAGCGCACATGAAAAAGTGTGGAGCAATGCAAATCCCACAAGAAGGGGGATCCCCACAGCGTGGAGAAGGGTACGCGCTCCCCTCCACAAAAACAAAGGGATGCCACATGCGCTGTGCTTCAAGTTGCTTGCTCTCACATGCCAGCTGGAGACATGCTTGTATCACGCTCTATCACGTGAAATTCAACCAATCACGCGCTGACAATGGCGTGATGAATTCATATATCTAAATATGGATAGATGAGATGCTTTATCAAAAGTTTCTTGATATCTTTGACTTGTGTTATCAGCGACTCTCAAAGGGAAGGGCAAACGACGACGACGAACGACAACGGCAACGGACGGCGAATTGTGGGGAGGATTATAAATAGGGCAACGTTTGTCTCCTCCCTCACCTCATCTCTTTTTATTTTAACGTCTCCCACACTGGACAACGAGAAGGATCAGTATGGACGTTTATCCACCCATACCAACGTCGCAGTCTCCACTCAAACTTGTTCTGCGCCCAACACTTCAACGTCAGTGTCTCGTCATTGGAGGCTCTCGCCTTGCGGCAGCCATCGTTCGGTCCGTTTTGGCTGCAAATGCTGTCGTCACACTGGTTTCGCAACGATTATGCAAGGAACTCGCCGTCCGGTCGGCCAGAGGAGAAGTAGGATGGTTGGAAAGACAGTTTGAGGAGAGAGACTTGATTGAAAAGGATTTGGTGTTTGTTGTCGATGAGGATCCCACATGCATTGTAGAGCGTTGCAGGCAGTCCCGGATATGGGTGTCTGCAGTTCGACATCCAGACTTGGGCGATTTCTCAATATCACATGAACCTGTTTCTGAACAAGACGATATTCCAACGCTCTCGGAACCATCGCAACCGCAAGCACCATCACGCACTCCCTCACCCGCACCACCAAGACTTCCTGGCAGTCTCACCCTCGTCGGCGCCGGCCCAGGATCGCCCGACCTCCTTACTCTCAAAGCCCTTACAGCTCTCAAAACAGCCGATCTCGTCGTCTCGGACCGCCTCGTTTCACCCGCCATCACCCGCCTCGTTACCTGCCCCATCCAGTTTGCCCGAAAAGTATGTGGAAGAGCCCGAGAAGCTCAAGACGAGATTTACAAATGGACATTGAATGCCGTAAAGGAAGGCAAAAACGTTGTGCGACTCAAGGGAGGCGATCCATTTGTGTTTGGACGAGGGGGAGAAGAAGTCTTGTTCTTTAGAAAGTGTGGAGTAGAATGTGTAGTCGTGCCGGGCATATCATCCAGTTTGGCCGCTCCTCTTTATGCCGGTATACCCGTCACGCATCGCGGCGTGGCTGACCAAGTCGTCATTGCGACCGGACGCAAAGAGGATGGGTCGGCGCCCACATATCCCCCATATCATCCTCAGCGAACGTCCGTCTTTCTGATGGCCATGGGATGCATCGACAGATTGTCGAAGACGCTGGTTAAAGATTTGGGATACCCACCTGAATGTCCTGTGGCAGTCATTGAGAAGGCAACTTGTGAAGAGCAGCGAGTCGTAAAGGGAACGGTCGAGAGCATTGCTGGACTAGTATCTGGTTTGGGTATAACAAGTCATGCCACGTTGGTGGTGGGAGGTGTGGTCGAGGCCTTGGCGCCCGAAGAGGACGAATGGTCTGACGAACGCTCCAGTGTTACAGTGGATATGGATGTAGATGATACGTGGAGTTCTGCAACTGTCGTGAACGATTAATGGAATGGTCATTGGCTCCCTCAACTTGTAGATTTTGCCCATTTTATATTATTTATCTTTATCTGAATATAAAAGCTTATATTTTGACCCTCAAATGAAAGTTCTTCAACCTTGTCAAGTGGTCGAAACTGACATTGTAAACAAATGGATTAGCTTGATGAAAACATAACAGACCAATCGTCGTAGTGTCATGCAAACTCACCCAAACTTTGATAGCGTGACACCTCTCCCAGAGTCTTTCCAGCCGGTCCACGCCATTGCCGGATCCAGATAATCACAGCGATTCATAAACACCGTGCCAACTTGCAAACTGAAAAAAAAGTTTCAACAAACCAGCTGCCGAACTTGACAAAAGAGACGACTTACTCCTCCCCAATGTTCAACCCCTTTTCCACATCTTTTGTCCAAATCGAGGCAGTCAAGCCAAACTCGGAATCATTCATTAACTGAACAGCTTCCGCATCAGACGCAACTTTCATGATTCCAACCACAGGCCCGAATGTCTCTTCCCGCATGATACGCATGGAGTGGTCCACATTGATGAGAACTTGGGGAGCAACGTAGGGTGTGCCGGGCTTGGCTGATGGAAAGAGGCTTTCGTCGATAAGAGGTTTGGCGCCTTTTGAGACTAAAAATGCCAAAGCGTGGTTTGTTTACAATGCAAAAAGGTACTTTGCGCTCATATATCAAACTTACTAGCGTCCGCAACGTGTTCACGAATGACATGTGCAGATTCAGTCCGTATGACTGGTCCAAGATTGGTTTCTGGAGCAAAGGGATCACCAAGCTTATACCCTTTGACAACTTGAACAACCTTTTCCAAGAACTGATCCCAAACCTCCTGCCGAACGTAGACCCTCTCAATTCCGCAACAGCTCTGTCCAGAGTTGTACATGGCACCATCTACAATATTCTCTGCCGCATAGAGAACGTCTGCATCTTGGCGAACGTAGGCAGCGTCTTTTCCACCCAATTCGAGACCCACGCCAATGAAGCGATCGGACGCTGCTTTGGAAACTTCCTTACCACCACGGACGGATCCAGTAAAGAGAATGTGGGAGAGAAGGGGATGCTTGATGAGGAGCTCGGTGGTAGGATGGCTAATGTGAAGATGCTGGGTCGTAATACATGTAAACAAGGATTCAAAGAGAAGATGGTAGCCAGTTTGCACGTTACCTGAAATACACCATCAGGTAAACCTGCTTCTTTGAAGGCCGCCGAAAACCGTTCAGCACAAGGGAAGGTCTGCGGAGCATGCTTCAAAATAACCGTATTCCCTATTGTCAATAACCATTAGAGATGTTAATACGCGTCGCTCTCAAAGAGACAACACCTACCTGCTAAAAGAGCAGGCACCACCCCATTCACTGCAATCAAATAGGGATAATTCCATGCCGCAATAACCAGCACAGTCCCCAAAGGTTCTTTTCTCATAAACCTTTGAAAGCCCTCCTTTGGCTCACACTCAACGTCCTTTAATGCCTCGGGCGCCACAGACATCATGTACCGCGCACGCTCCTCTAGGCCGCGTAACTCATTATAGTTTTGTTTTAACGGACGACCAATGAGGTTGGCCAGCTCGGTAGCAATATCATCCTTTTTAGATAGAATAGACGTCAAAAACTTTTCCATGATAGCAATTCGCTCCTCGAGCGCTGTTTTACGCCACGACTGAAAGGCATTTGACGAGTGCTTCAAGGCATTTATGGCTTCATCGGGGGATGAGAGGGGAACGGTTTTGTAGGGAGTAGAATCCCCAGGTGAGACGACAGTGTAGCTCTCCATTCTATGCTCAAGATAGCTGCAAGATGAGTGAAAGGGAAACCCACTGCGACGGGATGGGCTTTGTCATTCGGTGATACAAGCTGTTGCTATGGTGTGGCAGACTCATAGCCACCTTGGCATTTGCGCACCTGATAGTTCTCAAACCCAATGTCTTATGACGATTACTTTTTATTTTTACTTGCATCTGTATATAAAGCAAACGTTTTTGCATTGAGCATCTTGTCATATTCATTAGACTTGCCTATTACAACGCTTACGCCCTAATAAATGCGTTTCAACTTTGCCCTAGTTCTTCTCTATGTCGTCTTGCTAGCACTTTCCAAGGAAGCGATCGCAGCAAAAGGCAGTAGCGGCGGTGGAGGAAAAGGCGGTAGCACGGGAGGTAAGGGAGGCGGAACTTCAAGCGGAGGCAAAAACACTGGGAGCGGGGGAAGCACTGGAGGCAAGCCAAGCGGGATTCCCCGGACCTCGCCGGGATCAACAATAGGGAGTGGATACAAGACCAAGGGGTACACACCAGGTGCAGCGACCAACCGCGGTGTATTCAACCCAAGCAATCGAGGAGTTGGATCAGGCTTTTTTGGAAACGGCCTTGGTCACAATCGACTCTTCTGGATAGCGCTGTTTGGGCCTCTGGCTTTTCACCATTGCGGGTACCATTGTCGCTACGGGCAACGATATAACGAGAATGAAGGAAAATACTACGTGCGACAGTATGATCCCTTGGTAAACAATAATACAAAAACTGTTATATACAGCACGGCACGGAATACCGACGACGGTGCCGACAATCGTATGCAGTTTGTCTTTTCTACAGCAAGTTATCCTTCCATTCGCGCCACCTACTATGATTCCTCGAATGTGCAAGCAGCGAGCGGTGAAGGAGATTTTACCTATGGGTTGACGTTGTTCAGGGTATTGGAATACGTTGATGGTGACGGAAACGGCGTCTTTTCCCAAGCGGACAATGTAACCCGTTCGGTGGACCTGAATCAAGGACAGTGGGGTCCTCTTTCTTTTATTGAGAAATTCTCGGATACAAGGCGGTACTATGAAGCTACCTCTGAGATGGTAGCTCCCGTTGCCAATTCAACCCAAAATGTCACTTTTGCTGTGACATTTCGTGCGACCAACATCCTCATAAACTCCACCGACACACTTGTGCTTCCGAACGCGGGAATGATAGATTTCAATATCAAAGGTCTCACACCACAAACCAACGTAGCTCTCCAAGTCCTCCTTCGCTCCTCTGAACAATTCAAGTCAGACCCGAACCCAACTCTAAAAGACGGGAACCTGACCAAAGGAATTGGATTCGGCGATGCTGCCGGGGGCCGCTTTGAGTGGTTTACCACATCGGCGACAGGCTCGCCTCTCACATCCGACAACATTACGAACCCCACTGCCGGCACCACATCCGAAGATACCAGGATAGTCGGCGGCAAGAATGAGACTGTCCAGATGCAAACACTGAACCTTGTATCTGGGTCGGGTAGTGTCAATGTCCGGGCTATATCGTTTTTAGATGAGGAGATTTTGACCCCAGAGTTTAGCTCTGCAAGGAGGGCTATAAGCAAGACGTGGGTTGGGGGTCTAGTGGTTTTCACTGCTATGTGGATGTTACTTTTGTAGATACATTGTATGTAGAAGCGATTTTGGATATTTTTGGATTTTGGTAGATTGTATCTAAAGACTTGAACAAGTTAGCTGACAATTCAATTCCAGTCTGATCATTCGTAGATGCATGTATACTTCTAAGCTACCTGTCCCATAAAGCCCTAAAAGTTGATCAGCTTACGTAAGTCGGCATAAACGGCTGAGGAGGAGTGACGTGACCTTGCGACTTGGCAAGGAAGCCTCAACTCTCAACACTACATTGGAACGAATCCCATAAAAACGGTTGAACGACATGCCAATCATTTACGGCCTGGTCGCCCGAGGCGCCATCATCCTCGCCGAGCATGCAACGACAACAGGAAACTTTACCACTGTCACCCAACACATTCTCGAACGCCTACCGGAAGGCGATTCGAAAATGACGTTTGTTTACGATAGGTTTGTTGTTTTGAATATTGTGTTAGGTGCCATTGAACAGTTGGCTGACGGTATATTGGACTATCAGATATCTATTCCATTACATTAGCCGCAACAACATTACGTATCTCTGCTTAGCTGACGATTCATTTGGTCAGTAGATTGGGCGACCATGACATTTTTTCACACCGAACTTACAAATCTCTTGCACAGGTCGTCGCCTCCCATTCGCATTCCTGGAAGATATCTCCCGCCGCTTCGAAAATGCATATGGAGATAGAGCCCAAACAGCGATTGCATATGGGTTGAACGAGTTTTCCAAAGTGATTGCAACGCAGATGGTGGGAATTGTCTACATGTTGAGCAAAAATGGTCCATCACTAAATACATGTCGTACCACTGTTTAGGAGTATTACTCAAACAACCAGGGTGCAGACCGATTGAGACAGGTGCAAGGAGAGATTGATCAAGTGCGAGATGTGATGGTGCACAATATTGGTACGTCTGCCTATCCTATGAATGAACCAACCGCTATCTTCGCACGCTGCTAACATCATTCCGATGATTAGAAAAAGTTTTGGAAAGAGGCGAACGCATTGAGATCCTCGTTGACAAAACCGACAATCTAAACCAAACCTCTTTTGCCTTCAAGAAACGCTCAACGGCTCTTCGTCGACGAGAATGGTGGAAAAACACTCGGTTGATGATCATTCTCGTTGCTGTTATCTTTCTGGTCATTTACTTTACCGTTGGAGCTTCGTGTGGGTTCCCTGGATTCCACAAGTGCATTGTGGGTAGCTGTTTTATTTTTGATTGACAAGCTTGGTGTTTTAACTACTTATGATAGGGTTCTGACTCCGCCAACAATGTCACGTAAGTCATATCCTAGCATGCGCTGTACGTGTTACACATGTCCCTAACGAGATCCTGTAGGCCAAACTCTGCTCAACTGCTGGAATAACGTCTCCCTTCCGTTGATGAGGACACGTAGATTTGCGTCATTTGCAAGTTTGCCACTTGTGCTTGTACCTCTGTTTGTAAAAAGCGACATATATGTGAATATAAGATCTTGTTTGAACATATTGGGGAGGTTGTTAACGGAAACTCTCGGGTGGACATTTAAATGATTGTGATACGATGGACTATGAGCTGCACCGACTCTGGATACTTGGTGATGAGACGTGAAATTGATATCCTCCTACAGTCTTGTTCACTATAGAGTAATTGATGTTTGTCTTTCTTTTTGTCATATTCGTAACGTCAGTCGTTGATATCTTTTCTTTTCATCCTTTTTTCACAATTGGTCTATGACCAGTGCCAACGCAACTATCAGTCCATCTCAGCCAGGTCCTCCCTCAGCCCGAAGACATATTGGGTATAGCAGCCGCCCCAACCATCGCGACTGCAGTCCATGCAACCACCCACATGCAACATAGTACGATCCAGGTCCTCCCTCAGCCCGAAGACATATTGGGTATAGCAGCCGCCCCAACCAACGCGACTGCAGTCCATGCAACCACCCACTCAGGCCCTCCCTCCGCCCGAAGGCATCATTGGGTTATATCCCTCCGCCCGAAGGCATCATCGGGATATAAGTAGCTGCTCCACACCAGCGCAGACTACAGTCCATCTCAACCACGGGTCCTCCCTCCGCCCGAAGGCATCGTCAGGTATACCTCCGTCCGAAGACATCATTGGTATAGCAGCCGCCCCAACCATCGCGGGTCTGCAGTCAGCGTCAACCGGTGAAGTTCAAAGCAGGGGGACAAGGGAAGTGTGCCTTTTTATAACCGAGGGCGACTGCGCGTTTGGGGTTGTGGGGCAGGGCATGCAACGTAAGCTTTTCTCTCGAGAAGACGATGACGTTCTAGTCCCTTGAGAGTAGCACCAATCGACGTTGATTTGTAGAACGTGCTTCTACCCCTGGCATCTCCTTGACGCGCTCGTTCTTCTGCGGAAATTCACGACGAACCTTCTCGACCGACTGCGACCGCCGTAAAACAACTGGACATTAAAACGACATTGAGCATTGAAAGGCTGTCCATATCCTGCATTGCCTGCTGTTGATATGTGCAAAACGGTCGTTTTCATCCTACTCGAGTAGCGTGGGAAAAAGATAAATAAATGACTAACGCGCTCACATAGTCATCACACCTTCAAAAGGGGGTTTAATCCAGGAGGGCGACCGCAGGGCTTCTTTTTTGAACATTCGTACAAAACCTATCTGATCACGATTAACTGCTCAAAGGGGCACTGGAGCACCGACCATCTAGTTGCTGTCGGGTTATGCGAATATTGACAGAGCTTTTTCGAGTGCGACAAACCCCCACATCTAGGCTCGACGGAGAGCGATCCTTAAGCAAAACAAGTACTGGACATCCTTTGCTGTCTGTGCATACGATATTCGTCTTTCATATCGTTCGGGCAGGACCGTGGGAAAATCAAGATAAACAAATGACTCGCTTCATCACGCGTTTACATAATCTTGACTCGCGCGCGTGTGCAAGGGGAACGAACGCATGCCAGGAGGTGAAAACGACGACGATGATTGGGCGTTCATGGCGTGCTCAGAAGAATGACGTACGCAGGATACGGAATCTTCCGCCGAGAATTCCGAATGGCAAAAAAAAGCGCAGTTCCCCAGGGTTATAAAAAGGCGACCCTCTCTCGCATATCCCCGCATTTCTCTTCATCTTTCCTTCCGCCTCGGGATGGCATAAAACTCGCTCCAGCCATGGGTACTGGCGTAAAACTCAACTCGGTCCAAAAGTATACCGGATAACTTTAAAGGCCGTTGTAGTAATGCAACGTGATAACCTCTTTGAGGTGGGCGCCTGGGACTGATCGTGTGCGCGCGCCAGAAATGGTAGGAGCAACGACTCGCCGGAGCCTTCGGGCGATGATGGCATCCTCTTCGGGGGAAGGGCCTGTGATAAAGGATGAAAAGGATGAAAATGATTGCTAGCCAAACTGCCGTTGAAATCCTATCCAGACACACTCTCAAACGAACGCGATATTGCCTACAAGGCAACGCTCACTTTCTTCCCGCGTGGAACCGACACAGAAATACAACCCTATTATCCACCTGTATACGGCAGGATGTTACTACAAGAGTATGAATGGGTGAACCATAGCGCTGACACACACGTTAAGCACGATTCATGAGGGCCGCTCTCGACAAACGAAATAAGTGATCTTGAATAAAACGAGCTGCCCCATATTGGAAGGCACAATTGTGTCGACATCCATGAAACCTTGAGAGATTCTGGGTCCGTTTTCCGCCATAGGACACCATTGAGTGGTCCTCACAGCACTGGATGCGCTGATGTGAACGCTTTTAGTTCGTATCATATCGCTGCACACAATCGACTATTGGATATTTTACTGTTGAACTGCGATGCAAAACTGTTCATTGTTATGTTAACAGATCTGATAAATTGGATTGTTCCATTTTTGTGTGCGGATGCGATGCAGGGCTGCCGATGGATAAAAGGATTCTCTGATTTCATGATTGATAATGCGATCCTGGTAAACTAGATGCCATCTTGAGAATTATGTGATGCTGATTTAGCTGTCTTTATCTCGGAATCCGATCCCTATGATAAAGTCCTGATGCTGATAGTTATAGCCCTGTTGTGGATGAAATAGTTCTTTACTTTCCTGCAGATTCAAGCCGACCCTCTTCCTCGAATCTCTGACGTAGCTGTTCGAAACCAAATTGTCAGCAAATGACTCCAATAAGCTCCCCAGTCGGCCATCAAAGTTGCAAGGTAGGGCATCTATTCTGCAAACCTTATTCGAGGGTGTGGGTTCGTTGATAGTCTATGTCGCAGGCCTGAACCATGGAGATCAGGCATGCTTATAATGCTAATGGCATTTACAACCATGCTTTAAGGACTGGAATTCCGGTTTATGTCTTCTTCCTATGGATATTTGCTTCTCGAGACCACTTTTTTCCTTTGGAATTCCAACACTCCCGCAAAGAATGGGCTATTTCCATCATGTAGCATGTTTCCTCTCAATAGAAAAAAGTATGCCAGAAGCTCTTTCTTTCTCGAACGCACTTTTGCCAACGGTGGGTTCTAATCCTGTTCAAGGTATCGTCTCAACCATAACCATTAGCTTAAGAAAGGAATATCTGTAATTTATTTTCAGTTCGCACACATTCGGGTAGCCAAACATCGTGAAGATTTTAGATCTTTAGAGCACTTTATACATCCTTTGGTACATTATTTATTTTACATGTCCTAGGGTCACCAGCTACTAGATGTTTTTCATTAAACACCTGGGGACAATATGACAGCTGATGAAAGATTGAGGCGGAGGCCAAAATTGATTCATATGCTTTGCTTATTGTCTTTAGAAACAAGCATCTTACGCTGAAAATGGACCTTGAGCGCAAAAGGTGCACAAACCCGCGTCTGGTGAGGGATGCACCCTCCCGACGACAACAGGGAACCCCAAAAAAGAAACGCATCAATTATGATAGATATTAGGAACATGTATGACCAGATGCGCTGCCCAGGGATTTCGTGAAATGATCCAAATGCAAACTTTATTGTTCGCAATTATCTCCAAACGGATTGTACAGCCTGGAACTGATTATCCAGGACATAATATACTTCCAATGCAATTAATATCCAGGATTCATGCTAGCATCGATACCATCAACGTCAATGTATGTGGTCGATGCCTTCTCTCAAAGCACAAATAATTATTGGTTTAAAGGTGCTCTCGATAATCCCACTGCGAACAGTGACAGAGGTGTCATGCCAAGACCATTTTGCTCTCACTCCTTTAATTGGAAAGTGCTGGCAGGAACTGATGATCCAGGTAAGGTTATATCATCGTTTATTAATCACACTCACAAGCTCTCGGTCAATAATTCTGCAGCCTAATGATTGAGTGTGTGTAGTGGGAGTATATTCTAGAATAAGGCTTTGCACCGACGATATCCTATGACTTGCTTGACGATAGGCGAGTCAAAGTTTTTCAATCAGACATTTAGCAATGTTGACTCAGTCGGAGTGATGCATCGGTCGACTTGTCTTGTACTCTCTCGATGATTTCGGAAGTGATACATGTCGAGTGCTTGGATTGTGGGGGAGGACACTTGTTCTCGTTGGCAAATTGGAGATGAAATAGAAGCATTACGTTGGAGCATCATAGCAAGTTGCAACTTTAGGATAAGGTATGCTACAAGTTCAATGTGCATGACATCCCTTGCGCCCGATCTTGCTTTAAGAACAAGTTTCGCGTTACTTTCCAGCTAAACGTCTTAAAGCAAGTATCGAATCCCAAGAGAAACAAAGTTCTAGCATGTGAACATGCTTTGTCGGATCACCGGTCCTATGTGGTCTGGCAAGACTTTTCACCCGATTTATCTATCCCGCAGATTAGTGAGAATGTCCTTTATTGCGGACATCAGATATACTGCTTTTGCGAACGAAATGCGTTATGTACTAGAAGAAACAATTGACATGTAAGCTATGGCAGGGAGCGTTAACTAATCATGCAGGTATGCGTAAGGATGGTATCAGGCCGAAAACATTGTGTTTTGTTTCAAGAATCATTGAAACTATTCACAGAGCATATTGGAGCACAAGTCGCCATCATTGAATAAGGCCAATCATTCGAAGGATACATTTATGCAATCTTGTGTTGAGAAGCTGATGTCTACGGAAAGGCGTTCATAGTGAGCTTTCACATATTGATAACCGACCGGATTATGTAGCAGATGGAGAGAAGGTACTCGAGTGTGCTTTACACATGACGGATGACCAGGAACAAAATTCAAGTTGGCGGAAAAAGAACTGTACAAATGCGTGTGAAGAAAGCACTATGACGCTCGATTTTCTGTTTTCATTTCGGCAAAGATGAACAGCATTAGGGTCTCACAGTTACTAGGCCCAATTTTTTCAACTCAGCATGCAACATTTGCATATAACCATTGAATTCAGAGGCAAACGCTTCAGCCTTAGATAGAACGCTGTAAAGCGTTGGTGACAACGAGACGATCGTGCCGTTGCCAAACTGCCTCACTCAAGAACCTCGATCCTCGTCATGTTGAAATGATAATTGCTAGTACTCGCTCCGATGGAACCGATCAAAAAATAGGATGGCAAAGGTGTCACGAATGATCCGTCAATTAAATAGCGCTCTGATGTGACATAAGTACCGATCTAGATCTAGCTTGCTGAAATGAGTACAAGTGAGGTCATTATAATCATGTCTTCTTTGCATGTTGATTCTTCGCTTGAGACGAATTTTCGTCTTTATTTAATCGAAGGAACCCGAGATTTAATTGATGCAATGGATATCAACAAAGGGGCCAAACTAAATGTCGATATGTTATGCTTTCAACGTGCCTACTGCCGAAAAGGCAAATGTTGCAGCTACAGTGTCAACCGGTCGCACCAGACGTGATGTCGGTGCTCTCCACGCGACCAAAGGATCTCTCTGATGTGGTCGTTCAAGACTGGATAGTAAACAGCAGACGTCAGAATAGTCCACTAAAAGTATTCCACATTCTTTCATCATATTCAGTTCAGTTGGTGCAGGTAAAAAGCACATTCGCAAAGATTATCTCAAGGAGATCACGACACTCTGCTGCAGGACAGGAAATAAACCGTGCAAACAAAAATGGTGTAGACGGCATTTTCGAGATCTGGTAGATAAAAGTGATTTTACAAACCCGTGTCCCGAGTCAGACGTACTCTGGTCATCCGTGGTGAGAGCGGTCAGTTGATGAACGCTGCACACAATGCCCTGATCAGCGGGTGCTAAAAATGTCCCCGAGTACGATTCCTACATCTTTGTGCACGTCATTAGCATTACTCCCTTTCGCGCAGAGCATTTGTTACTAATCCCGAGCCTATAATATACAAAGATATCTCAAATATAATTGATACTGCGGCTCAAAACGTCGGTTTCTCAGAGAATATGACCGAGTTGAAGATCGCTCTTAACGACGCCGATTTTACGAGTATCAGTCTCGTTCTTCTGGCGTGTACAGAGAGTAGCGGCATGTCTGCACAACATCGTGTACTCTTTGTTTGTGAAGCAGAGGCGGGACGAATCTTGCAACCAGGGTGCAAAAAGGCGTTCCTCAGGCTAAATGAGGAAGATATTTGTTATTCCCCACATTTCTATCTTCAGAGTCTTATGTTCGTTTGTATGACAGCCGGATGAATATCTTGTATTCCAAAGGAACGATAATGTCATGCCCGTGCCAGTGTATGACATGCCTATTATCCCTGGCTTTGATGATAAAACTGCACATAGAGATAGGATCCGTTAAACGTACTCGTGAATTTATATTTCCTACCCGCACGTAAAAATATGGAAGCAACTTTAAAACTTAATCGCTTCCATACTTATTTAATTACTAGTCCCAGCACAAATGTTTAAACCAGAGCACGTGCAAACCTCTCACGAGCATTTCGAAAGTGAAGGTTAAAGTTAAAGTTACTGACATAATTAACATACATAGTGTGGCGGTGATTGAAAATGGCACTAGAACTCATTATTATCCGGATTAATCCGGTTAGTCATATCGCATAATCAGCACCCCCTCTGTCGCCCAAAGCGGTGAGGCATGCAGCGGTGTGGCATGCTAATATGATTTTTTTTTTTAAACTGCGGTGAGGCGCATGCCAAAGGTCTATAAAAGGGGGGCCTTCTGTCTCTTTCCTCTTTACCCATCCTCGACTCTCGAAGCATCTGCGCAACGCTCACGCAGCACTCTCAAGTCCATCATCATGAGAATGCCGCTCTGGTGCCGAGGACCTCGCCCTCCCGACAAAAACAACATAACCCCTTGCAAACGCTGCTACTACTATGCTGCAACGATCGCAGGTATGCATTATCTTTGTATTTTCCCACGCGGATTATCCAGTCTAATTCTGATCTACCTTAGTATCTGAACATCCTCCGACAAAAGAATTTCGGAATCAAGGGCTTAGTAGGATTTCTCGCGTGGTGGTGGGCTTAGTTACCCGGTTAGAAACAACCGTAATGTATTGCATGTGTAATTGGGCCTAGTGGTAGTTGGTTGGTTGTAGGGAGGGAATTACTTGGCTTTTCCGAACCGGTTGTCGCCGGTTTATTCCCTGGTGTGGTAGCTAGTGCCAGTTTCTGTCACCTCTGCACTAAAATATATTAATATGAGGCGCCGATCCATGGATCAAACCCTGGGAGCGGGTTTAACTTCATTGAGTAGCAGAATCAAACCTTGATTGTGGGCGTTTTATTTTGTTGGTTATTTATCCGGCTGAAAGATCTCCAAATGAGCGATACCGGGCAATTCAAGCAGCGAGGGCATTTATGAGGCAAGGAATGTATATAGTCGGAGGCCTTTTCCAAGACACGAGAGCATGGATGCGCATTGTGAGCTCCAGCGATAATTTGAAATATGTGTCAAAGACCTCAACGCATCAAGAATGGAGTAAATGGTTTATAGATTGTCGTTTTTGCTTTAACTTGTCCCTGCGGTAATGTTGGGGGTTTTATTCACTTTCATCTGCAAACACGACATCCATGGCAATTACTGCATTTTGTGTGACAGCTTGACCGTTTTCTGCTGAGCAGATTTCCTGACATACTCTGGCCCCAAAGCGGCCTACTAGAAGAGCGCGAATGGGCTTTTCTAGGATACAAACTGCGTTAATGAACCTTGGAAAACTCTGTCACCAATGACGTAGGGCCTATGCGTCAAGCGATTTGCAAAGAGGAAACCCTTGTAACTCTTGAGCGTGAGATAAAACATTGGAGGTAGAAATCGTTCATTGAGGATGGAGAAATCCCGAACAGAAGGGGATTTGTCCGTATTATTGTCTTTTGGACATACAATATTAGTTTGAGGAACGAATGTTTGGGGAACGATATGGATACAGAACTGACTTAATGGATGCTACAAGTACTAGGCAAAGCGGTATTACAAGACGGCTCAGTTGATTGTTTTATGCGGCGTCACTCCCGTGCGATAAACCTGGATGTCTATCGTCTTCTTGGTTCAGTGATTAGGTCAATACCAGCCCTTCTTGCCATCTAAGCCCAAAGCGCGGTTAACACGGGAATGCCTGGAAAAAAGAAATAAGAGCGTGCTATTCGCACAGGGCAAAGCGGTGTCTCATGCAGTCTGTTGGCTTGACTGTACGGCAGGTGCAAAACTTATGCAAGGGTATACTTGTTGGAATGACTCTTCAGGGCCAATGACGTCCATAAGCAGACATCTTGAAACATTAGCCAACATAACCAATACATTGTAAGTGGGTTATTGCTAATTACTTGAATTGATTATTCTGGGTGTAACTGATAGCCAATCTTAACTTGTGCCCCACTTGTCACTTCACTTACTTACTTGACGGTAGAAAGTAACTAAAGAATAATCTGGCGTACACAGGATTGGATGTTGATGGAATATGGTAGCATGCTGTAGAGTGATCAGATGTGAAAAAGGTAAATAACCAGTGAATGCTTCAATGATTCCAATGCATTTTCCTCATCTTCCTTGTTCCTTAAACTACAAGTAAATGGCACCGTTGAGTCATCTTTTCAATGCAAAAAGCCCCAGTACCAGACAGTGTGGGATGGCTCGTTGAGTAAAAATTGGGGACTAAACACACCCACTATTATGACCAAAAGTGTAATTCGGAAAGATACAAAAAGGGTGTTGAAAAGATCTATGAGTGATACCCAATAAGTTGGTATAGAATTTCCCTGCTCTACTTTCATCACGTTCGTCCAACATCGAATTTCTTTCGTTGTCTATAAGAATGTTGCAAATCGGGTGAACCTCGCAAAGGGAAACTCGGTTTGTGGGATGGTTCCTGCTGGGCATTAGGTCACGGTATATATACAAGTGCACAGAGTTCCATCTGATACAATTCATCCCAAGCTGCCCCGTACGGAGGAGCATCTAATGGGGTTCAAGATGAGGAATGTTGCAAGGCTGCATCCGGTCTCTGGTACTCTGCAAGATCAAATCTTCTTCGAGTGCATTGGTTGGACCGTTGCGTTGGATATTAGATTATCTTCGCAATGACATATAACAGTCAGCGTTTTGATAACGGTAATCAGCAGCGAGTTGGGAAAGGTTTGGACTTGTCCACAGCAAGGATGGAGGGCATAGTACAAAACAATCTGTTTCCAAGGCATGTTCTTGCGTGCGGGCTACTCGCTACGGCGAATTCTAACATGCGTCCTTTATCAAATGAAAGATGCAGCACTTTATTTCCTTCTTTACAACGTGACTAGGATGCAGATGCCGAGAGTAAAAGATGGTTCTCGAAAATATGAGGCTCTAAAGATTGTCCAAAAGTCTGGCACGTACCAGCGAGGACAATTCCATGCTAACTATGCATGACCAGCGGTTCATGGTCTCTCGCGATACGAAGATGCTTACGGTACATGACAAGACTAAACGACGGAATTGTTCTTTGTGATTCATGAGCTCCTCTAAGCTCCCAGTTTGGTCATTGCCTCCATCACCATCGCATTGCACCTACATATGCAAAACAATTTGAGCAACACAGTTCATAATCACGGACCAGATCGCAACGTACATTTTCGCATACGGATTATTCCGCACAGCAGCTTTTGCAACCTCGTTCCCGTATCGTGCTCCTTGGGCAAAATCGCTCTCCGCACCCGCAGCGTCCCCCTGCGATTTGCGGATAATTGCTCGTTGTGTATATGCCTGATTTGGCAAAGTTGGGTCAGCACACTTGTCGTGTAGTCAGGCTGGATGGAACAGGTACCTGTTTGAGGACTGATGCATTTCCTACACCGTATTCAAGTGCCCGCTCTAAATCCTCCAAAGCCTCCTTTACTTGTCCTTTGAGACGGAACGCTTGTGCTCTGCACAGAGGTGAGCACACATAAACAACACAAACTGCACCCGAATCTTGTGCCTTGCCACATACCGATTGTTGTATGCACTTGCATATTCCGGGCAAAGAGATATGCATTCGTTGAGCTTATCGATACTCCCTACGAGATCATTGTGTTCCGCAAGGATGACGGCCTCTTGTTCAATCATTTTGAGACGAGTGAGTGTCATGGAATCGATGGCGGGTAGTGTGGTTGCTGTTACGAGGGCATGGGGATGTCAAAATATTTGATCTGCACAGTGTCACCAAAGACATTTACCATTTCCAAGGAGTGGTTCATCATCCAACGCCAGCCCCGAGTCTATAGAGAGAGAGTGACAAGAGCCGGTTTCGGTCAGGTTGATTTAAAGAAACTGTTTTGCCGCATGGGTCTTTTAGCACATACCAGGGTTGAAAATGAGATTCAGAATGTTCTTGCAACGCAGCATATCATATGAAAATCAGATGATATTCACAAAAAGCGGAGCGGCCGGGGACAATGCATCATTGCTCCTCATGGTAACCCACCTCGTCGTGCCGGCTGACCGCACTGACAGCGGCCCCATTCCCAGGTTGTTCCATTGTGGTTGGTCTGCAAAATGGGGTTCCGCTCAATGTACGTGAGCATATTCCGCCCGTTCGAAACCACACTCCATCCGATTATGTCGTTCAATCACATGCTGCCACATGATCCGATTCCGGTTGCTCTACACCTGCTGACGTTAACCTACACTTGCTGACGGCAGATCGGGCATCCGCCCCATTGGCACCGGTTCCAAAACCGAGGCTAAGAAGAGGTTCGGATGAGACCGGCTCCAATCACTGCTTTCGGAGGGCAAGTGGCGCCGCCCGAGCCTCTTGTGAACGGCAAGCACATGACTAAAAGTTTATCCAATCCATCCTTGGGATTGCCCCCCAACCAGTTGCATTACTCCCGCAAGGCGCGGATGAAATATCTCGTTTTCATTGAATAGGGGGCACTATGGGGGGGAGGCATGTGTTATCTCTTTGGCTGTTACGACCTGGCAATCTTTTTTATAAATCTGTACATCGTTCCACCTGGCATCTCCTTTAACGAAGGTTGGGGGCCATGCGTGAGATACGCTTCTTCTTCTTCTTTGACCCTCTGTTCTTGCAACAGACCCCACTCGAAAAAAAAGGCCCACGGACGAAAACGGATCACATTGGCCAAGACTTCCGGTCCAACGCACCATTTGTGTGATCGTGAGTTAGCCTGGCGCGTATCTGATAAAACTCCTCCTCTCATTTGCAATATTCCTCTCCTGGAGTTTATTTGGGTGACACGTCGGAGGAAAAGACATCCGCGTTTGCAAATGAGACTTACTCTCCTTCCACAGAGAGAACGTTTTTGTGGGCCAGACTCTGTCTTCCATGCCTGGAGCGGGTTTTTTTTTCCTTGAAAGCTGATCTCGACTTGAACGGGAATTAATACTTTCCGCGGAACGTGTCTGTCCATGGATCAGGGTCGTGCGTGATCTCATAATCAGTCGGTCATCGCCACCACATGACGGGGACGCGTGCCGTTCACTCGGTCCCTTGGGTCTGCACCAGGAGCATCGGGCGCACCTCCCAGGGACAACGGACTCACGGGAAAATGGCAAACGCCCACATGTCCTTGCACAAGCGTTTTGCAACTTCAGGGTCAAGTGAAAAGCCATGGGAGGCGTACCAGAACAAGAATTTAAAGAAATAAAACTTGTTTACAAAGCCCCACCCGACCAACGGGGTGTGTGTGGTGCATACTGTACCTGGCGTCTGGCGGCATGTCACAAATCAGGACAAGATGAGAGCGTACCTCCATGTCGTCACTCTGCCGTAGTTTCCAAGGTGTTTTCCCCCCCCCATGCGTGTGTGTAGTGCGTGTGTTTGTCAATAGTACAATGGGGGCGATAGCGCCCATTCAATTGTGGAGATCACTTGTATATTTTTTCAAACATGGCGTAATTGTTTTTTTTATTACTAGATGCTAAAACGAGCATGAATCATTCTAGCTTTTCCCCTCACTTTTGCACGCGCATAAAAAGCAATTCTGGGCCTCGACAACAATCTTGTTCTCTAGCGCGCCGATGGAATAAGTTGGGAGGGGGGGATCCGAGCCCGTGTCTTTCACTCCTCCACAATATGAGTGGTTTACAAGAGCGACAAATTGACAGTTGAACGCAAATTGCGGTTGACCCGCATTGTACTGCGGTTTTGATTTTCTCTCGTCTTTTTTTTAATTTTCAATACGAACAATAGGGGGCGAACAGAGCAAAAGGGCGCTGGCGGTAATAAAAACTTTTTGCGCGTGCAGGTCCGTGTCAAAAAGAAAATAACGGAACAACGGAAGCTCCACGATGATACAAAGGGCAGACGCATGACTGCGCCATGAGATCAGTGGCTGACTTGTTCACGTGATGCGTCCTGAAGCCAACATTCTGGTTAACCTTCGCAACATCGGTCGAACTAGAATCGTACCTTACCACGTTTACGTCACTTGTGTGCGCCGTTCTGGGATTAGAGGGCGGTGCTCCAAACTCTCCGGGAATGTGGATCCATGCAACTAGGTCATGGAATTTGAGCCCCCTTCCCCTTTGTTCCCCAAATCTGAATGTTGTTGGCAGGAGAAGAAAGATCCAATTATCCTCCAAGGTCTTACGCATCTGGCCTCCTTTTCACCCCCCAGGGCATTTCCCTCCCAGAGTCCTTTAGGGTTCAAAAGAGCATTATTGCCACACACACACACGGCGGAATCGTCGTAGACAAGTGCTCTCGCATTTCCGTTAAACACTTCTTTTTTTTTTTATCCCTTCTTGTGGCCCCCTGCATTCCCTTTTTTTTTCCGTGTCTCTGGGCGGGCTCATTATAACAGACGCATTTTGAACAAGTCGTTTGGGCTCTGTGCAAGGATCTCTCTTTGAACGTTAACGTAGCCATTATAAAAAGCCCTCTCGTCCTGGTCTTTTTCCCCGCAAGTCAACTTTCAAATATTCCTTTTTTTTTATCTTGTTACCATTCCTTTTCCCATCGTGAGGCTTTTCGCCATCGGCAAACCTCGTTCAAGCCTCAGATCCCAAACGTAAAAACAACAACACGAACAACAACTCCCGCCGTTCATCAAAAAGATGATTTCCATCGCCGACCTTGTATGTCAAGAGTCTCAAGATCCAATTCGTAGTAGATCGCAGGATCTCTATCCACCACGAAACGATATCTACAAGGCTTCCCTACAACCTCGCAAACTCGCTCCTCCTCCTCTCGACATTGCCCTTGCACGGCTGTCGGGGACGCCTGGAGCGCCTCGCGTCGCCACGTATCCTTCCCCGTCTCCTGACAACCGATATGACGCGCTTTCGAGGACGATGCCTCACGGTCACGGCAGGACCGCGACTTTCAAGACTGCTGCGATTCCCCTAGTGAACCGGTCCTCGTCAGAGTATGGTCACCTATACCAACCACACCATCACGAGCCCGCTCAGGCCTGCTGCAGTCACCCGCTCAGTGTCGCGCCCTCACCGTCATTGTCACCGCCAGTACACGCAAGCTCGTCTTGCGGTCGGCACAGTCCCCGGCGGTCATTTGATCTCGGCAACCAGATATCCCAGGCGCCAGCAGATTGTGAAAAGCAGTCGTCTCATATTGCATACCCCCCAAGTCCCCGCGACAGCGAACGTTCCTTTTCGTCTTCAAGTACGGTCAGTGAATCAGAGCCCTTTGAATTGTCACCATCAACTCCCGTCCACCACCACGACACTCAAAAGGATTCCGCCGACCAAGAAGCAGCAAATGCTCACTTTGCCGCTGTACTTCAAGCCGCTGCGCTAGAGCACTACCGGGAAGGCAAGGTCAATTGCCCAGATTGCGGCAAGGACTTTCATCGCCTGTGCAACTTTCGCTCCCACTTCCGCATTCACCAACGCACACGGCCGTTTGTATGCAAAGTGTGTTCGCAACAATTCCTTCGCAAACATGATCTCAACAGGCACGAACGGATTCACGCTGGCGAGAAACCGTTCCGTTGCCGACGTTGTGGCAAGGGGTTCGTACGCAAAGACGCCCTCAGGCGACACGAAAACATGATTCCGGAAATCCAAAAGTTTCGATGTGTCGTCAAAACAATGATGTGAAGCTAGCCGTTGGATGGATTGAAATTGATGTACATAGTTGCTATAGTGGGGGACAAGACAAATTGGGGAGTTAATTAGAAAGCCGACGCATTGTATTGGTGTGAAAACAATGCGTGACAGATTTAGTCTTTGAAGTTTTTATTTTCCTATCGTCTTTTTGTTAACAAATTATATTTGATGTGCTTTGAGATTGCTTCACTGTCTTTGATAGTGTATTGGCAAAAACAAATGTCAGTGCCTCCACCACACGCAGTCCCTACTAGGCCATGATCTGGAACTCTTGATGGCATTGAAGCCAGACTCTTGCATCCAGGAGCGAATCGACTGGGCAGCATCACAAGCAAGAGTATGTTCAGTAACGAAGGCTTGGAGACTATAAACTGCATGTCAGAAGATGACCCGATGACAAGAAATGCAAGAAATGCCCTTGATATATACCAACCAAGCTCAACAAATGTGGCAGCATAATAGCAGGTTTGTTAACGGATCCAATTGGTTGCAGCTGGTTCTGATCGCTGTTGCTGTCGGGGGGACGAGGACCTCGGCACCAGAGCAGTATTCTCATGGTGGACTGAGACTTGAGCGTTGGGCAGATGCTTCGACAGTCGAGGGATAAAGAAACAAGATGGGGGGAAGAGGAAGAGGGGGGTTTATATGGAAAAACTGAGTCGATAATATTGAGTCATGCAGGTGGCAACTGGAATATTCCTCTCATAGATGGCCGCAAGGGATAGTATCCGTTCATTGCCGCAGGTATTGGACCCGTTTTTCATACTGGCCACACATATTGGACCCGTTTTTTCATGATGGAGCATCTCTGTGGGTATAGTTCATTTGCCTAAATCGAGGGAGGCATCTTGCATTTCATCTCATTCGATCCAGTGGCTGCATCTGCAGACTGACAGTCTTTCACTATGTTTGCTCTCATGACTGCGCCATGTCCGAGACGTGTCCGAAAGGACTATGAAGTTCGCCTGGTGGACCTTTTTTCTCCTTTCTGCCAGAAACCTTTTTCCCCAGATCCTGCGCGTTCTCACACCTGCGCAGTCCCGCTCCTCGTCGCCATCCATTCACACACTCGTTCTCCACTCCTGCGGCCCTCGGTGCAAATCCCCTCTCAAACCTCGGTTGATTCCCGACAATTCTTTGTTAAAGCCAAAGCCATGACCACTGTTTCCAGTCCACGCAAACCCTCCCACGCCGGTGTGAAGATGACGTCGGATGGCGCCTCCGTTGCCAAAAGGTGCGGTGATAGCTGCTTTAGCCGTAGGTGGATGCCCTCTTTGTCGACAGACCATTAATACAATGTTACATGCAGGCTGCAGAATGAGCTCATGTCTCTAATGGTGAGTAGGGATAATGGCATTCCAGTATATATTGTTGGAAGATGAACGTGAATAATGGTTTGAAATTTTGGACAGATGGCAGGTATACCAGGGATTTCAGCCTTCCCAGATGCTGATGACCTGACGTGCTGGACAGCCACGATTCACGGAGCACCAGGAACGGTACGATCCGAACATGAGCACTTGTTCTTTGGTTTGTTTGTTTGATGACTTTTTTATAGGTGTACGAAGGCCTTAAATACAAGCTGTCCATGAAATTTCCTGCAACATATCCTTACAATGCACCGACCGTCACCTTTAAAACACCATGCTTCCATCCAAACGTGGACATGAATGGTGGAATATGTCTGGACATTCTTAAAGACAAGTGGTCAGCCGTTTACACAGTACAAACGATTTTGGTGTCTTTGCAGAGTTTGCTTGGAGGTGAGAATGCATACATGTCACGGCGGTTGTCGAGAGTCGACTGGCTGATGACGGCGCATGCTGTAACAGAGCCGAATAACGATAGCCCGCTCAACAATGAAGCTGCGGAGCTCTGGGATCAGCCCGACCTGTTTCGAAAACAGGTGCTTTCGGTACATCCTGGTAATGACGAATAGATAATTTTTTGGTTTTGTTTATGATTGTGGTTGTTGGGTGTACAAAAGTGATTTCTTGGGTTTGCATATATAGAACTAGACCAAAGTATCTAGTAGGCGTACGAGTTGTTTTCAATTGTACAAAAGTCGAAACTGAGGAGGAATAGAACGCTGTGTGGTGGCAAGACGCTGTTCGTTGGGGTTCGGCATTATTGGACAAATGATCTGCGCAAACCGTCAACCCGAAGCAACGCGACCATCTCGTCAAAAAGTCAAAAATGCAAAATAGATCCGCGCGTCCTTCCGTGTTTGATTTGGTTCCAATTGCTTTATCAAAGGATCCGGATAAAGTGCACTATGGCGGCTGGAGGTTAGAGACTGGATGCAACCATTCTGGTGTTGGAGGCTGCTGTTGACATTGATTGTAATCACATGCGAATAGGGCTTGCTGAGACTTGTACGGGAAAAACCTGAAGTCCTCATGCAATGCAATAGGGCTTTTGGAAAGGTGGGCGGGTGCTCCAGGCCTCGCTCTCTCTGCCACGAGCTCATCAGTCATCACGATCAAATCTGGGAAACTCAATTACGCGTGAAGAGGTGGAGGTGGGGAGGGGGTCCGACATCATCGGCATTTGGTACAACTCTCTGGATCGATCATCTGAGCTCATTGCCATCAGTGAAACAATCGTAAAGCGATCGGCCGCCCTGCTCAGGCTTGGTTGAGAGTTGGGATTTGGTTTTGTCGCCACGAGGGTAACTGAGCCTGGCCTGATCAAAGCTTTGATCCCATTTCCCTTCCGACTTGCTGAGAAACAGTGAACCTTTTTGAAAAAAGCCTCGCCAGCAAAAAATCTTTTTACATCTGTGCTTGTTATTTGTTGTTGCTGTTGGTGTGATTGGAATTCCCCAAAAACCCTTTTGGCCCTCAACAGGGCATCGGAGCTTTGGACTCCAGGGGCTTGTGGTAAATTGTCTCAACGCATTTACTATCCAGTGAGGTTCTAGTCGATTAGAATGCGATCATGTGATGTGGTTTCTTTCATTGCCGACTAAACGCGAATTGAAAGTTTCAATGATGAGAAGGGAGAAAACACGGTGGGGTTTGCCCTTCCTTTTTGTCCCAAAAACTCGCTTTGGAAAGACCGGGTTGTTCGACGACATTTCCCATCTTTCTACGACCTTCCCTTGTCGCCCCCCCATCACCGAAATCGACATTGCCCTACTTTTTATTCTACAGTATACTTGTCACGCCACGCAGAGAAAGCACAAAGCCACTTGCAGCACACAAGTGTGCGGTCGTGTTTTTCAACCATTCCCATTCTACAAAATCATTCTTGTGCTCTTACCGTTTAGCCATTGTTCTTTTTGGCTTGTTCCGTCTTACTGAGCTGTCGGTCCAGCAAACTCGTCACTGCTACTTACTATCCTATCCTTCTTTTGCACCTTGCATTGTCGGTGACTTGCTCAAACGGACACCTGCCATCGACACTTTCTATTGTGTGTGACGAGCACTTTTGGTCTCTCTACTTTGTATTCAGCAAGCGACATTGTAAACGTTGAAAGTGTCCGTACGGTTTTCCTTTTGAGCTACTTTCGTTACGCACATTTGACGCCACCCCCGCCTTGTCCGCGCGCCCGTTTCCTGCGGATCCGGTTTCCAACTTCTTTTTGTCTACCCGACCGCGGCTGTTGTGGAAGTTCTTGTTCAGGGTCCCTTGTCGGACGTTTCTCGTTATCTTTGTTTATCGTATTCCACGTTTGCGGACTGGCCATTGTGCTGATTCTACTTTTTGAGCAAGGTAATTGTGAGAGCATCTTGGAGAACGGTCTCGGTTCTGGGATGGGAGGTTCAAGGGTTGTTGGTTGGAAAGGAAACTAGGCACTATGAATGATAGTGGAGGTGCTAAAGTGCAATATGTCGCACATGTAAATTGGCGAGCGAACGTGTATTTGGTCAGTTGGTCTCTATGTGCAGGAAGCGATTGGTGTCTCATACGGATCATGATTCCTGTTATGCTCGCGTGTAAGATAGTGCGATTGCACCATCTGTTGCTTCGTTGCACCCGTGTGCTTTGGTTCACGGAATGTACCGGCGAGGAGATGCATATCTTTCAGTCGGAGCTACAAGGATTTTGTAACGCAGATCTGGATCTGAAATCTGACCATTTTTTTCCTTACTTGTTTTCTTAGTTTCCCGGGGAAGGTCACGTAAATGCATTAATTTTATGCAGCATCTTCCGAGCGACTATACCACCTAATTATCAGCGAAACACGCGTACCCTGCTTCCCATTTGCCACAACCTATCTGCCTCAACTGTTACCCTAATTGCAATGTCTCACTTACCGAAAACGACGATTCATGTCACTAATATCACCAAAGACAAGGCCACGCTCAAGAAAATGTTCCAAGACATGGAAGGTTTCCGGCGCATTTCTTTTCATCAAGATTACTGCTTTGTATGCTTTGATGATCTGAGCTCTGCGACTGATGCGATTGACACCGTGCACAGTCAGGTAACGGATCTACAAAACTCTTGTTAGTTGTATATCCGGACTGATTGTCTTTGATAGACCGACATGCTGGCTGCCTACGCCAAACATGGTGTTGCATCCGCAACCACACCCACTATAGCTGTTCAGCCAAATCCCATTCTCTACGTCAGTCTCTTTTCCTATTTTACCGAGGTAGAGCTTACCAAGATCTTCCGCTCGTATGATGGCTTTGACAGGTATGTACAGCAGATAAATGTGGGATCCTCGGTGATTTGTTAGTAACCTTTGAGGGCGTCTACTAGCTGTCGGTTCTTTCCAAGCCATGCTCTCGTTCGCTTCAAGGACGTAGAGTGCGCCAAACGAGCGTTGGAAGATTTGAATTCCACTACGAACCTTTTTGCAAATTATTCCACCAAAGGCGCAAAACAGGGTAGTAGCAGATCGTCCCGAAGAGGAACAACATCCAGCTCTACCTCAACAACTACAGGTATCGACGGCGATGGAGCTGCCGAACACGCGAGGGCATCAGACGCGGGCGGCGTCACCGGATCGACTCATCCCAAACGTACCATTCATGTCACCAACATCGACAAAGACAAGGCACACATCCTGCACCTGTTCTCGCAATATGAAGGCTTCCGTCGGGTAGCTTTTTACGCAGACTATTGTTTTGTGTGTTTTGCCGACACCCGCACCGCATCGAAAGCAATTGAAGAAATTCTCTTCAAAACCAAAATGAAGGCCAACTTTGCCAAAGCGGACTTTATTCCTCACCAAATTCCTACATCCGCTATCGGTCACCCAAATTCCATTATTCGCGTCTCGGACTATCCGTCCAATACCTCTGATTATGACCTTGTCAGAATCTTTGAACGACACGATGGCTTTCAGGACATTCATTTTTACCATGCATCCTGCCTTGTTTATTTCAAGGACCAAACCAGTGCGCGCCGTGCTTTAGAGAGCGTCAATGCCACTACCAACTTCACCGCCATTTATTCCAAGAAGGGGGTCAACTCGAGGTCCCGAGGAGGAGCTGTATCCCGTATAGCTCGCTCAGCACAGGCATCAGCGTCATCTGTATCCACCGCATCAGCCAAAACTCTTGCCACTTCTACACCTGCCACCGCTCTTCCTCCAGCAAACACTTCCAGTCAATCATCGCCGGACTCGTCTGAGACGCAAGAAGACGAATCGTCGTCATCTCCGCGCAACAGCCCCTCGCCCGAGCTACCTGTGGCACAAGATACCGACGAGGCCTACGATGACGACGAGCTGATTCCGCGGGAGAGCGAATCTCTCACGGCAACATTGACGCATACTCCACCCAGCATGTTTATACAGCCTGATATGGTAAATGACGTCGTTGTAGCAGCAGCTGCAGAAGCATCCGGAGCTGAAGACGCTGTTCATCAGAATGGGGAAGAGTTTGGCATAGGTGCATTCACATCAGCAGATCGCAGTGACGGATCCAACAGTGTCCATGGGTCAGATCTGGATGGTCCTGACCTGGTTCTCCATGAGCACGTCTCACACCACCTTCAACAGCAGCAGCACGATGCGGCTAAACCGCATTTGCACTTTGCTACCTTTTTGCACCAGCAGTTCCAATTATCGCCGCAATCCAACCAGGCACCGGAAACACTCTCCGCACCCGGTCTCCTTCCGCCCTTTTCTGCAACATCTACCAACATGGCAAGCCATCTTGCCTACGCTCAGGCCCTCGCTGACAAAACGGGGCATTCGTCTCTCCCCTCGCACTTTGCTCAAGCACAAAACATGAGCAAAGACTCAACCATTGCCATCGGAAACCAACTTTTAGCTACCAAATCCTTCCTTGACGACTTGTTTGGTCGCTACATCCGCCTTGAACAAGAAAACCGCGTGCTACGCCAAACCCATCGCCATTCCCAACACCTCGCTGCGCACATGCAAGGAACGCAGCACCCACCCCACCAACATCACCCGTCCCAACAATCACAAGACCAGCAACCCCACGACACATCTGACCAATTCCACACCTTGCACACCCAGCAACAGCTCTCAGATGCTCCTAGTGACCCATCCCTCGTTCCACCCTCCACAACCTCCCAACCACACGGCCACGTTCATGCATCTACCACTGCATCACAAACGGTTCCCATCACCCCATCCTCTGAAACAGCTGAAGCACCCTGGATCGAACTCGACCGCCTCCGTAAAGAAAACGACATTATGAGGCGGGAAAACGCGGTATTGAGAGAGGAGCTCTCTAGACGGAATATGGAATATGAACGCTTGGATGCTGCGCACAAGAGTTGTGGAGTGTTGCAGGGGTTATTGGCCATGTGTGAATAATTTGTTTTTGTTTTGTTGTGGGGTTGGATGAGGTTTTATTCAATCGAATACCGCTCTTTGGATTTTTATTTTTCTCTTACTTGGTTTTTTCCATTTTTGTCGGTTGGTATTTTCGATTGACTGGAAAATAGTGGTGCATCAATGCGCAATGGTAATTGTTTAGGTCCCCGCTTGTGTCTTGGATCTCGTTGTTGTTTTGTGCTCCGTCTTCTGAACAGAGAATAATCTGATGCGGCCGTGTTTGCGTGGTTTCCTCTGTGGCTGAACGCATTACAAGAAGCAATGATTAGGGCAGACTGAACCAAGTTTTAGAAAACGCATTTGGTCTGGATATCTTGCTTCATTGCATTCGTATGGGGAACCATGTCGAGCGTCAATATTCGTCCAATTATAGATGGAATCTAATTCCTGTGTGCTTCCCACTTTTGGTTGCATGCCCGAAGGGGGTTTCTCTGCTGCCGTAATACGGCCCTTGCCCACCTCCAAACACTCACTGTCTAGGTACACCCGTCTCATCATCAACATCTCAAAACAACACAAAAAGATGCAAAAGATCCACAGACTCAAGAAACTTAATTTTATTAAGTCCGCTACCTAAATCGCTCAAACAAACACTTTCACGGCTGAAACATTCCCGCGCATCCAAATAAAAGACTACCCTAGAGAAAAAAAAAACAAACGCAAACCCTCACAGTCTAAAGCAAAACAAATGGCTGTGATCAAACCGTTTCCCTTTACGGCCCAACCACATGGGTATGACGAGAGTCCCTGGAACCCATGCACAATTCATTGCGAGAAAGTTTATTTCTTCAGCAAGCCTTCCAATTGAGCTTCAAGTTGACGTATCCGTGCATCGCGTTGTGAAAGCTGGTTTTTAAGGTCATCATTGTCCTTTCGCAAGGTGTGGTACGCGTCTTGGTACTATTTTAAATTCGACATGTTATCAGTTAGATTTCAAAGTAGGAAGGCATATTGAAAGCAAACATCGCTATCCTGTACCTCCTTTTCTGTCGATGGGAGCTTCTCGGCGCCCGCCTCCACTACAGGAGCAGTTGTTACAAACTCCTTGGCGGGTGCAGCAGTGAACCCGGTCTCCAAGCTGATAAGCTTGGGCTGCGCGGTTTTGCCGGCAAAGAACTCATCAACGGTCAAGGCGGGCTCCGGACCAATGGTTTCTGGGTACAGGTCCGTTTGGAAGGCGTCCGACTAAGTTCAGATCTCGAATTAGAAAAGAAATAGTATGTAACGATGCCAGGAGCAGTCTTGTACCTTACGGGGGACTTTGAAAGAAATGGGCTCAACAAGAGTGGGATGAACTTTGTACGCACGTGCAATCTCCGTTTCATTGACAGATACAGCACGCTTGGGTAAGAATCCGATGCCACGTTGAGGTTCAGCTGATTTGTACTCGGAAAGGAAGTAAAGACCCTTTTCATCATCCACCCATTCGTAGTAGCGGATGTTTCCATCACCCTAGTGGAGGACTTAAATTGTAACTAACTCCTTCTGCAATGGTCTTCAAAATCACGTCATACCTTGCCCGCCAGGTACAGCATGCTCGTGTCACCATCGTAGTAAGGCATCAACATGCTAGCGGCGACATGCGATTTCAGTCCCGGATCAAGCATAAATAGGACAAAATGGCAATACTTTACCCAGAAGCCGTGTCAATGGTCTCCTGTTTAAGGGGCTCGGCCAAGTTGTTCGAATCGTAAATGAAAACTTGACGATCACTGGTTCTGCTGAAGCCCGTAGTGCAAATACGGTTGCTGTTGCCCATCCACGTCACGCGAGCACCTTTGACACCTTGGTGTCCATTGGTTTCCTACTCAATGAAATGCAACTAATTAGCCCACCGGCTATTGACGGCATGCCATCCAATCTCACGATAATACCTGGACGACTTTGTTAGCCCGAACATCAAACACTCGGAGTTTCTTGTCCTTGCACGTTGTGACCAGCAAGGTACCGTCGTAGTTCCAAGACAATGCTTGGATAATCTCGGTGTGGCCAGTAAGCTCTTGTTTTTCCGCTCCTTTAGAGATATCCCAGAGTTTGATCGTGAAATCCGCACTAGAACTGGCAAGAAGGTTGTCCGCGGTGGGGTGGAAGAGGACATGGCCGACCTTAACGAAGCATGACGTGTTTAGGTAAGGATTTCTTCAAAAGTTTTTACGCGAATAATCACCTTCCGCCCGTGTCCAGTCAAAGTCAGAGCTGGAGTGGAAATGCTCTCAGTCGGGCCTCCCTCAGGAATCGTCCAAACCATAACCTGCATGCATGTTCAGCACAATGTTACAAAACCGGTGAATTGATCACGCTCTTCGGACCTTGGTATCTTCGGACGCAGATGCGACAACATGGTCATTAAAAGGGTTGAAATCGGTGTCAAGCACAGCAGCAGTGTGACCGTTGTATACTGGAAGTGTTTCGGGTAACTTTCCGGTGGTTCCATGTGGAATGACCGCAAATGCACCACCTATACGCATACCGGCGAGTTAGCACGCCGCCACTTGTTCTCCGTATCATTTCATTTCACAGCGGTCCTAATGTAGGGTGAACGAACCTCCTCCCGCTTCCAAGTTTACGGAAATGAACAATGGGTTGGCCTTGACAAGGTTGGTATCCCAGGCGTTACGCGAAATCTGCATCACGTAGGTCGTTAGTCATATAATTCTCACTTCCTCTAAGAATACGCATCCAGTCTTACAAACCTTAACATTGTCGTAACATTGGTCGCGCTTGGTAGCATTTCCAAAGACGTGACGGTCTATAAACAACCAATACTTTGGTTTAGCAAACCACTTGTTGCCATCTAGAGTCCATCATCTGGCTCTCCAACGACTGAAGGCAACGCTGCCACCGCAACTTACATTTGGACGCACGAACGAAACGCGACATTTTAGCGAATTCTTCTGTAGCTTTTCCAAGACTTGACTATACTCTACGTTGTCAATATGAGTAGATAAAGGTAGGAATTGAAGCGGTCAGTTATGGACCACAAAAGCGGCTCTTCAGATGTGCCATGGTTGCCATCACAAGCGCGTTTGTGGGGCAAGATGGTTCCAGTTCTGCTCACCTTTTTACGCCAATAAACCGCCGTAGGAAGGAGGAATGAAGCATATGAGTGACTATTGAGCAAAGAGTCAGCTCTCCTTGTGATTAATTACCTTTTTTACGCAGCCGCTATCCCAATGGAGACAAACTAACGTTTGCGTTTTGTACGAAGGCTAGCTTGGAACGGAGGGGGGGTGGATGGACCTCCAGCCACAATTGCCTCAACGGCTATTTTGGGCCTAATGGATTACCTAATCCGCGTTCCGCAGTATTCAAAAGACTCGTGCAAAGGGGCAAGGAAACGGACAAAACAAACAGCGTTTGGGTCGTCTAGAAGTTAAAGGAAGACATGAAAGGTATGAAAGAAGATCAGGAGGGAAGATCAAGTCGTATTGAGCAAACGAGCCGTTTGTTTTTGTAAGTCGCCTGGTACTGGAAAGGAATACTGGACAACCTCGGGGTGATTGACATCAGCATCCAATCTACTTTAGGATATTATCACTCTGTATTGTACCTTTCATTCTTACAGTGTCATAGTCTAATGTTATTCCTTAACCGTGAGATATCTGCTCATGTAACTTAACTTCGTAATGATAAGAACACAGGACAGTCCATTCGAATCTTGTCTCATACTCACTACAACTGGGCTACTATGCCAGATTCATGTTCTCATGATCTTCGTCAGAACCCAATGTGCACCTACCCTACATAGTTCCAGATCGTATGAAATGAAAATTATAAAGCGCGAAGATCGTCCTCATATGGAAGACAATTCATTCTCGTCTCGTTGGAAAAAGTGGGCCATGGCCGACCTTGATCAACTCCAGCATGCCCGCCCGTCCAGTTGGTAGTGGTCTAACCGCTCCATTTAAAAAGCCAGCACTTTGTATGGACGGCGAAAAGGTTATCTTCCTTGAGTATCTTCCAACACGTTTGAACCTGGAAGTGCTAAAAAACCAACTCGACGTTTTCGAGGCAGTATGAACGCCTTTCGACAAATTAGAATAGGCTGACACAATAAGCTTCCCTCTAGCAATAGATTGCTCGTTGCGGCCAAGCACATTCGGTCGGCTTGTTGGCCATGCGAGAAGAGGAACGCATCCAATATTTTATTGTAAGTAAATACCGATAAATTCCTGCCCAACTGAATATATGTTCATTCACGAGTTTGATCACAATCTACAATGCCTACGATGATCTTTCAGTCCATTGGACCCATTTCCTACACGGCAGAAGCCCGTGGACCATGTCGCAAATTGTCGGCCAAAGTGTCTCATCTAGACTTTCGGGCGTCATCGGATCCACCGAGCTTCCTCTCTAGCTCCACATAGCGATCGGTCAATCGCATGTACTCTGTTCAAATTAATCGTATTTAAAAACTGTAAATGCAACCGCCGATGCTCGATGATCGTACCATCATGTGTCTGCTTCGCCTGTTTCTTCACGATTTCCACCTCACGAATTTGCTTTTTCGCTTCTTCAAGCTCCTTCTTTAAATCAGCGATCTCCTTCTCGCGATCCTACAGAGCGAGACTGAATAATGAGCAATCGAATGAGCATTCCTGCTACTACTTACCTGCTCCTTATCCAGCAGACGCTGTATTTGGCCATGTATAGGTAAGTTCCTTTACCATGAAACGCATATAAAAATTGATTCTACCATGTATTCCTTGGACTGCTTAGCGGCTTGTTGCTTTAAAACCTATGAAAATTGGAAATTATCAGCACTTTATGACGTATGCAGACGGGGCCACCTTGCACTTACCTCTGCTTTTGATTCGTTGGTGACCAGCTCAGTAATCATCGAGAAAAAGCGGTTCAACAGCAGTGACAAAAATAGTACCGCTCCAGTCAAGTACCTGAGACCGCAATATGAGGCAAGGTTTAACCGGGACGGTCCTCGAGATGACTTACAAATTGCGCTGATCATAAAAGAGTCGGGCACGATGGTAAGGGTCGTGATGGTGATCGGTCGGATTCGCATCCTCCTTCCGCATCGTCCGATTCAAGCTGTCTGTAGCGGAACATCAATTAAGAGGTCGGTCGACTTCGATCTCATGCCAAAAAGCCAAAAATCAAGCAATTATGTACCCAGAAACATAATGAAGACGTATACAAATACAATCTTCAGCCACTGCTTCGCTTGCGCTATTACGGGGCTTTTGGACATCCATATCTGTTGAAAATGAGTTTAGTTTTGAACAGGTCAGCATTGGCTTGTACATCGATCGTACCAGGAACTGACGCTTGAGACTCAAAGGAAGTGGTGCTAAACCATGAGAGTAGTTCATAATTGTAAGGCCGGCATCTCAGACTCCAAACAACAATTCGACTATGTACCAATGAGGAGGGTAAATAGAGCCATCTGGAAGCGAGTTGAGGGTTGAGGATATGAGAAACACACCAGCAAGCTTCGGCCCAAACCAAAGCACTCACCTCGGCCGCCAGAATAACAAACACTATCTGATAGAAGAGAGACATTTTGGCGAATAGGCTTCTTCAACAAGAATGGTGCCAACTAGTGAACAAGAGTCAAAGAAGGATTTGATGGCTGTTGATCCTGGGTGGCATGACGCGTCCCAAATCCAAGGTTTCCGGACGCTCAAACCTACCAATCTCAACAAATGATTGGCGCACACTACATGTCCTCCGACGCAGATATCAAATCCGAATACCCATCTGCACCAGGCAGTCCAACAACATCAGTAACTAGCTGCACGTCTGAAGGAACAGCCCCTTCCGACCAAGTTGCGGAGTTCGATCGCGATGCCTTCAAGTTTATGCCCTTGATAGTGCGAACACTGGAAATCATGCACCGAGCGGACGTGACAGGGGACGAGACCACCGGATTGCCAGAGGAGGTGGATAGGATGGTATGTAGCTCATGGTTTTGTTATCAACCCGTGACCAATAGTAGAAATCTGACATTGTGGCCCATTCTCAGATTCGGACTTTAAAAAACATGATACGGGAAGCACACGAGTTGGTTTTAGCGCTTCCAGGTTCAAACGTGTTGGAAGATACTCAAAGGAAGATTTTGGAAAAGGACCTGGCGAAACTTTCCGCAAAAAGGTTCGTCACGCTCCCTGCAAATGCGATAGGCCCCTTTTCTCACAATACCTGATGTTAGAGATCGTATCAAGGCCTTTCTACCTAATGAGACGGAAGAGAAGAATGCCATGGAGATGGATTAGCGGGTGATCCCATCAGCCTTCCTTTGCGCTAATGGGTAGGCACTAAGTGCAACCTGGAGCACTACATATGAACATCAGCCGCGCCAAGCATGACCTTACCACGAGTAACCTTTCCGTATGTTACATCCTTTCCGGGGTGTCCGACCATTGAGGTTTCCGGCACCGTGTACGACGTGCCGTACGTTCCAGACGCGGAGGTTTACTCTAGAGGCTCTACTGCATAATCGGGAACATTCTATCACGGCATCTCATTGCATCTTTCGTCGTTTTGCAGCCTATGGGCTATGTGCCGAATGCTAAACGGAGCAACACAGCCAACAACTGAATCTTCTTGAGTGTTCAATTATCTGGCCCTGACGCATTGCTTGAGTAGCAGAAGTGACTGTACATAAGCCAATGATCAGTTTCATTGAATACCGTTGCAAGAATTTGTGGCCGGCGGTGAAAATACTGTTCCGAATAAAGCTAAGGAGGTGAAGACCTATGTATTGGAAACAACCATGGTCGTAAATTGAAAGAAGTGTAATTACATATTGTTAAATCCTGACTGTGCCAAGTTAAGGGAAGGATTTCGGCATTGGTACAAACACAATTTACCCATTAGATACCATTTGAGTCATATATTCACCAGACGGAACCATGATCGCTCTGAGTGAAGCCTCATTGTATCCTATCTGCGGCCACTATACCGGTCCCCGTCTCTCTGCCTATATGATTCGCGACTTCTTTCTCTGCTACGCGAAGGCGAATATTGTCTATCATAATGTCTTGACCTTTCCCGCCGGCTATCATCTGTTCGTCTTCTCCTCGACAAATCATCACCACGCCCATCTCGTCTCTCGACCCTCAATTCTTTCATACCACGTTCTTTGCTATGATCTCGTCCTTTATCAAAATCTTTTCGCTGCGCGGTATCATGTATGTCATATCCTTCTCTGTGTCGATCGCGGTAACTTTGCTCCACGCCGCGCTCATACGGTGAAACACCGCGTCTGGTAGATCTTTGGTCGCGGCGTGAGGGCCGATCATCGTCGCTATCTACATGTCTCTTCCTCCGTTCAGGTTCTGTCCTAGATTCTCGCCCTTGTTCTTCATTTATCGATTCTGCCTCCCCTCTCTCTTTTCTTTTCTTTTTCTTTTCCTTTTTGGCTTTCTTGGCCTCTTTCTTTGCCTTCTTTGCCGCCTTCCTTGCAAGGTACGCCCGCATTGGATCCTCCTTGTCAAGCTCTTCTGCTATTCTTCGTGCCTCGTCCATCTCGGACTCAGAAGAACTAGAATCAGCCCCTGCGTCAAAAATATGTAAGCATATTGATGCAAATAGGAAAGAACTCCGAGGTATACCATCTGGCTTTGGCTCTTTAGGTCGCAAATGTGGCGGAAGAATATGCAGTTTTCTTTTTTTCTCCTCCTCCTCGTCAAAATCATCGTCCTTTTTGGGTCCGCGATATTTCGCTACATGGTCGACCCTTATAGTACGATTTAGAATCTGCAGTTTTGAGGGAAACGTCTTGGGTTGGGTCGAGTACTTTGAGAGCAAAAATGCCATTTCTGGGGCCATCTCGAGTGTACCTTAATACCGTTGAAATTGTCCACCGCCAAGGTGGTGCTCCTTTGGTCCTCAAAGGCAACAAAGGCAAAACCTTTGCTCTTCCCTGACTGCTTGTCCCGCACAAGGTTGAGATCTACAATCTCTCCGTACTGTGAGAACACCGCAATCAGGTCGCCCTCCGTCAGTTCATAGGGTATTCCTCCAACAAATACATAGGCAGAGTCCTGTAATTCAAAGTAAGGCAGGCTCGACCAGGCAAGGATGGATCATGTGAGGATGAGCTACAAACCTTGTACTGTGAGTGCCAGGATGCGGAATCTTTGATGTCACGGAAAAGTTCAGCAGCGTTCAGCCGTTCAATTTCTTTTACAACGCTACAATAAAGCAAGTGCGATAAGTTTGAAGCAATGACTGAAAGAGCCCCAAGTCTCGTACGGCCGCTTACTTCATGAGGATGAATGAGCGGAGTAAGCCTATGCTCGACCATCTGTGAACCACCACGATTGATGACTGATATTGTGGCACAGCACCATATCCCAAAATTTTGTCGCCAACGTCTCTCCGTCGCTGTCAACCAACGACGAGCAAATCTGTCCTACAAACCAGTGAAATCATATAATCCTTCATAGCAACTACTGCATCTTTACGCCGACACATCTGCATATCTGTGTACCTACTCTAGGATTATTTACCATGTCTCATTACGATACATCAGTGCCAAAAGTGATAGCAGAGAATCCCAAACTGCTGAAGTACCGTCGACGGATATTAAACCCACGTAAGCTGCAACTACGTTAGCGACCCTAATCTACGGTAATGTTAAAGCGATGATACGTCTCTAATAGGACGATTGGAACCGACACAGGGAGTGAGAACTATAAAAGTGGCAGGGAAATTGGGAATGGTTGGTGCGGTCTTCTATATGGTACTCATGGCGGACTGGGGAGAGGGGGAGCACTGTTTCAGTGGGGTGAGAATATCTTGATGTGTTAGATGTGTGACTGCAGTCTCTTAATGGTTGTACGGCGGGTAGGTGCGACGATTTTATGATGAGAAGAAGCGAGAGTTTTTCACACTATCAGAGGAGGATGAGCGAGGTGGGTTTGGAATCACCTAAGAGATGCCGTTGGAGGCACTTTCGAAGAACTTTGGCAATATGCAGCCTTTTCAACTTCCAACTCACCCATTCCGTTTTCAGAATTGCGATCAAAAGGCAAGATCGTACCACCTGCAATAAATCCTGCAGATCAAACCCCGTCGTCACCGAAAGGCATTGGACCTTTTATTAGAAGTGGAACTAGTGGGTAAATCGATCCCGAATGGTTGCAGATATGTACTATCGTATATTTTAACCGGATATCAGGAAACAACAAGTATGAGTTTGTTATTTATGCTAGAACAGTTGCTTAAATAAATATAATATATGTTTTTTGACCAAGATGTGGTCCGATGTAGATATGAACAGATTGTTTAATGTACTATTACAAGGGAAAACTTTGGAATTTCGAGATGCGCGGTGATGGTATCAGAGATCCCATATGTCCAAATTTACCTAACATACGGCGTACATTCCATCAAAGAACATCCACAATTCAGAGGCTGTGTGTGATCTACCTCCATTGCCGAATTGGATTTGGGAAGACGAACCATCCGCAGACCACAACGCCGTCCTCCGTAAGCCCCAAATGGCGGCACAGGGAGAAAAAAGTCACCCAGATCCAACAGTGCAAGTCATCGTTGCGTCAGACGCCAAGAACATCTGCTCCAAGGAGGAAGGGCTTCGGTGGCCTGATTGTGGCACTGACGGGTTCCCTGGTCGTCAGTCTCGTCACGCTTCGAAGGTCAGGCCCCAAGGTTGTGACGGAAGGGATTCCACGACTACGCCACCTGCGCGTACTCACGTGGCGCTGCGCACCGCCACTGGACGTCATTCCGTTGTCGTCGTCCGTAATCCTCTTGGATGACCTCCCAAAGTGGGCATCGTTGGAATATAAAAGCTGGCGACAACGGACGGCATCTTCTACTCAAACAACCAAAATACCATAACATTCAGCTACTTTGAGAAACAAAGCAACAAAAGCAATCAAATATCATTATGCACGGCCATCATCACAACCCCAACCTTGTCAACACCAACTCGACTGCTTATCCAACTCAAACCACCACGGCAACCGGGATTCCATCTACCACTCACCACCACCACACGACTCCCACAACCGCATATCAACCGGGTATGAAGACCAATAACGTGACGGCTACGAATCATCCCACCGCTCCCAATTCTCACCCGAGTCGAGTTCATGCCGCCGTGGAGAATGCTGTGGGATCCATGCAGGTAGCATCCCGCTGTCTTTGAATGACAGAGCTGTCTCATGATACTGATATGATCGCATCTGCAGTCGTCTATTGGTCGCATGACCAACAATCCAAATACCATTATCAAAGGAGAAGAGAAGAAAGTAGCCGCACGCGCTGAAGCAGATATGGCAAAATTGAGGCACGCCAAGAAACAGCATGCTTCCATGGGAATTTAATGTATAAATGTTTAGTAGTATTGGAGTTGTAAACACAGAGTTGTAAATAGAAATTATGACACATGCTCGTTGTGAAAATTTTGTACTTCTGCCGACAAGATCACTACTTGTCTCGTTCAAAGCGCTAACTACATGTTCCAGCTTTCAATTACCCTATTCTACCTTGGGTTCAAAGATTGAAAATGCACGGATAGTGCGTTGCACTCTTCCCACATTCTAATTGAATCCACAGAGAGAGTTAACGGGTCGGTTGATGGTGGTTCATGATCGCCTGCTCCCGCTGGCAGATGCATCAGGAGGTAAACTTTATCCCTTCCTTTGCTGCGTCCACTTGAACGACCAACCCGCTGAATCTCTGTCCATTGTGGAAGAAACCGGTATCAGAGTATCAATGGTTATGGCTTTAAGCCGTTCAGTTAGTGCTGAGCCTTCTTGGTTCCAATCTTCGGGCACAACATTGCAGCAGGACACTCTGCACAACCTGGTTTCTGGGCGCGACACAATGTTTGCCCGAACCCGACTAGCAGAGGATTGATTGGGCCCCAGTACTCTTTTGGAAGCCACCGCTCAAGACTTTGTCTGGTGGCTTCCGGGTTCTTCGTCCGGACCCAACCTAGACGATTACTGATGCGGTGAACATGCGTGTCGACGGCAATTGCAACATCTCTGATCATAGATTGTCAAACTACCGAAGCAGGTCGCGAAATCAGTTGTATGCTGGTTACTCACTTGTTCCATGCTATCGACATGGTCAATGCGGCCTAAATAGTGCGGAGAATATCAGAATTATGCACAACTGGAAGCAATCCACTGTAAGCTCCTACTATTTTAGGGCCAACCCCAGGAAGGGCGAGTAGCTCTTCCCAGGTAGGAGGGATATCGCCGTCATATCGCTCGTGCAAAACTCTACTCGTTGCCAGCAGAGATCTGGATCATAAAGGTTTCAGCCAAATTGCACGGCCATACACGAAACTACGGCGACACAAAACTTACTTTGTTTTCTGGTTTTGCATTCCGATTGTCGCCAGACAGCTTTTAATCAGTTCAGGATCCATCGCTAATAGGGCATTCGGGGTCATGCCTTCAGGTGTGTGGGATTGGAGCAGTCTCATGGTGGGAGCCAGTTTCAAGTCGGGTGTTTGAGCCGAGAGAATAAGCGATACAAGTGTCTCAAAACGATACACCTGAATCAAATGCGTTCAGCAAGCAAAGCAACTGTTTGGAAAGGACGACAGCGTATATGATTTACCTTGTCACCAAATTCTTTTCTGCCGAGGACGGCACACCCGCAGGTATCTACAGGTGCCTCCACCCGCTTCCTATACGCTTCAATGCTAGTCCACACATCTTGCCATTCGCCTTTATCGGACCTTGACGCCTCCTCTTTGATTTCTGCCTTTACCGTTTCCAGAGCAATCTCTTGGAGATCGTAGCGAATCGGAACATGCTTAACCGCGGGTCGCTTCTTTGTCGGGCGCACCTTTGTTTGCTTTCCAAATACGGTAGCGATGGGACAAACTGTCTCCACGACAGGAGCCGCTGATCGGGGACGGAGTCCCGGTCGTGGCATATGTGGTTTTGAACTGTGAGATATGGGTTATCATCTCCTCCCAACTTGGATTTTACATGTCGAGGGGCTTAGCCGAACCCATGGGGCGTAGCAAATTCATAGTGCGGAGCCGATGGGAACTGGCACTAGTACATAGATTCCAACCGATTTAATCATAATTTTACTCGATTTAGACTCATGAACTATGGTTTGATCCAAAAAATCCTATATAAGTTGTCGTGCCCATTTTCCCAGGCTTTCATCTTTTCCCACAGATATCATCATGCCGCCAAAAAAGAAGCAAAAACTCGAAAAACTCGACAAACCCACCTTACATACCTGCAACAAGACTTCCTTTGCAAAAGCCCTGCCAAACGAGATCTATCGCCAACGGCTTCTAGATTACATCGCCATCATCCATCAACTTGCCGACCATGCTTCCCACGCGCTGAAATTCTATCTCCTTTCATCATCAGCGCCAGTTTTTCCCACGGTAAATGAAGATACAATCGAAGCCATCCTGTATCTTCTCAACAAGGGGGAGGCTTGGCATCCAAGAAAGGAAGCAAAGAAGGCATGGCGGGATTGTTTGCTGCCATATGTTCAACGGTACTGCCAAATCGTCGGCTTCATTCACCCAAATCTACGAGGCGAGCAGCAGTCAATCAATTACCTGACAGCGAGTATGATGATGAACCTGAAAGTCAACGTTCAAGAGCATTTCATGACGATGCTGCTCCGATATATCAATCTGCAGCTTGACGTGAAGGGACAGAAGCAGCAACTGCCACCGAAAAGTGATGCGTGGAAAAGTGATGCGTGGAAAGCTTTCTTTGCTCGTCTTCGTTACTTGAAGTCAATTTTCCTTTTTGATGTGGTGCCCGAGTTGCTGGATCTGAGCAGGACAGAATCCGATATCATGGACGAAATTTGGTCGCTCGATCTGCCTTTTCTTGTCAACGATCCACTGGCATATGCTGTTGCCGTTGACCCGATGTCCTTTTTCCCTGCATACTGTCGGTTGTCAAGCCTATATGAAAAGCATGGATTTCGACGGTTCAGCGCCATCCCACTTCGCCACTCCCTCATCCAAACACATATTCACATCGACACGGTCATTCTGTACCAGCATATCCTTTGCATCATGCGACGGGAAGCGGAAACTGTTGAAAAGTTCGATTTATGGTTGCGCGTGTGCAACCTGCGGAGCAAGGCTTTTCGGTCTCGCCGCGGTATGCAGTTTGAAGGCTCGATCAGTACGGATGGAACCTCGGTGTCGGTATACCTAAAGCACCCAGAAGCAGAGTATGGAAAGCGCGGAGCGAGAAAGTCAGCAAAGAGTTTAGAGGATGAAGTTAAAGCGCAATACATGGAGAAAAACTTACCTGCTTGTCGAGCAGCAGAGAATGTCGTTGTTATCGACCCAAACAAGCGTGATCTACTCTACTGCCAAGACAGCAATGGTGCGACAATGTTTCACTACACCGCCAACCAGCAAGCCATGGAGACTGGAAGCCGTCGACAGCAAAGTGCAACGGCAGCAGATGAAGAAAGAAGCTGGAGTTGACCTCATAGAATCACGTATCCCTAGCCACAAAACAATGAACCTCATGGACTTTACTCGCTACCTTCTTGTTCGCCGTGCTGATTGGGATCGTCACAAGGAGTTCTACTCACATCCTGCCCACACGCGGTGGAAGTGGCATGCATTTATAAACCATCAGAAGAGCGAATCAGACCTCATAAGCGCCATGCACAACAAATACGGTGAAAACTTTACCGTTGTGATGGGTGATTGGAGCGATGCCGGTCGAACTGCAAGATTTCAGACCTCATCAAAGACGAAAGGTTGGCGCACCCTCTTTAAGCACAACAGGATCACCTGCTTCCTTCTCGACGAGTATAAAACCTCATCTGTCTGCCCTCACTGTTCCTCTGGCGTTGAAAAAGGCTTCAAAACACGACCTCATTCAAGACCTTGGTGCCGTCGCGAAGGCAAGATTGAAAAAGTCCACGGATTGCTGGGTTGTACCAACCCTAACTGTCAGCAAGCCTGGACGATGCGCTACTGGAATCGAGATACGCTGAGCACCTGCAATATGCTAATGATTGTGAGATCAATGTTGGATGGGCACTGTAGACCAGAGGTGTTCAGCAGAAGCGTTCCAGCTATAGCGTAGCGTAGATTAGTTAGTTAGCTTTTCCGAACCGGTTGTCGCCGGTTCAATCCCTGGTGCGGGTGCTAGTGCCAATACCCATCGGCTCCGCACTATGAATGTCGCAAGCAAAACAAACCCAATGCGCAACGATTGGTAAGACGGGTATTTGCCATCTATGCCCTTGTTCACCATTTCTTGCAAACGTACGCTGGTGCACAGTTTATTATCATGGAGATCCCGGAGTTTGCTGTCCGAATGCAGGAAATCAGCAAACTCTTCGTGGTGAAATTCTACGCAATGGAGTAACAAAGTGCCAAGCGAAACTGCAAGCGGCTATCGCCCTCCCACGCCTTTGTGGTTGATTCCAAGCGTTACGATCAAAGAAAGCACGCGATGGAAAGCAAAGTAAAAAAATCTATTTGACAATTTCTGGTCGCCTACCTTTTAGCACGTTGAGGCGTTTTAAAGAAAAATGATTTTTTACTATTGGCCCCACGGGTGAACGAGCGATAGACGAGCAACAGTCCAATTGCTGAAAAACAAGTTGCTGCTCATGTTCGCTGCCCACTAGAGATCTCATGCCATGAATACGACGATACCCCCTTCCACATCCGTTGTGCCAGAGCATCTTCAATATACGTTGGAACTGGTCTTTGGAGGTCTAGGTACCGCCATTCAGCTCTTCAACTGTATATGGGCTGCATCGGTACTGTTCCGTCGTCCGAATCCCTACAATGGGACTCTGGTTATCTGTGGGGTCTTCTACCTGTTGGCCCAGGGTATTGTCGTGACGCAGACAATTATCTCCTTCTCGGGGGGCAAAAACCATGAGTACCTCACCATGCTGGAAGACTTGGGCCAAGGAGAGGAAGTGAAGCAACAGTACTCGGACTGGAAATTGGGAGTGATCATGCCCTGGCTGCAGCGAACATACAATTTCGTTTATGGCGTAGCCACACTTGTTTATGTGTTGATTGTTCAAATTCGATTTCGTGTCGTTCGACGAATCGTCCCGTATTGGAAGGGTTGGGTACGTTGTAGATCGATTCTTCTCAGACTGAGCAACTCGCATATTGAGACTTTGAACGACCTTAGGATCACATCTTTGTTGGCTTTACCGTCATTCTATGGGCTGCTACCTTCCTCACTTGGAATGTCATACATTATTCGCGCGATGGCCTTTCGAGTGGGATATCAGCGGCCGTATGGAATATTTATGTTTTGGTGGTTGATCAACTCTTGTGCGTCCTGTTCCTTATGCGTCTGAAGATGTTCCAAAGAAAGTTTGGCCAATCAATCCGACGCCAGACAGCCAGGCGAACGGTCTTTGTCGCTCTCATCTGCCTAGCGATAATGTCGTGGGTTGCTTTCGGCGTTTTCATGTACAGTAATATGGGATATCGGCACGACGAAGGGATGCGTAATGTTTTATTCAGAGTAGCAAGTGCCCTGTCTGGCTTTATGATGTCCGCCGCATTGGTGAGTACATAAGGCTGTAGATGCCTAAAGTCCACCATGAGGTGTCTGCTAAGGTGGAACAAAATGCTGACTTTAACTTGCCTGGAATAGCTTTTCATTTACACCGTGAAGACGATGATGACCGGCTCAACCACCAGCCAATTGAGCCGCTCCAAAGGGTCTGGCGGAACGGAGTTAGAACCAAGTTCAGCTTTGAGAATACCTAGGAAACCTGAAGCCGCTCTAACTGACGCGACAGAAAGATTGCATGCAGTCGAGGGCCAAGTTACGTATGGGTTCGCGAAGCAGCCCACGTTAAAATGGGCCAAATCCTATGAGACCATAACGACAGCGAGTGTGCAAAGCGACGCTGCATACGATGCGCGGCAATGACGTACACCGATAACTTTCGGACGATACTGCTTAGATTTTGTAGATAATTTAAATACTATGATATATAGAAATTCATATAGTAATAATTTACTCCCTAGGGCTAGCGTAAATCCAGTGCTGGGTGAGCTGTTTATTTCAATAATCGAACGAGCTTCCAGTCCCCAAGCCATCAACCAATCAGAGAACGGTGGCACAGCAGATTTAGCAAAGCGCCTGCAAACTACAGCGCAGTCAGCGAACAACAATCCTTTAAACAAGGATTTCACACACGGCTCCGTTTTCACAAATTTCATACCCTCTGCGAGAAGCACATAGCCAAATAACGGCTTGAAACATGGCGGACGACCTGGACGCCCAAATCAGGGCCGCTCAGGCAGCTCGCAAAAAGGAGAAGACGGCAGACAAGGCATCATTGGTTGGAGATGTTAGTTACGATCAGGATTTGTACGGCGGCCGAGGGGTGGAAAGGTTTGAAGGTTACACCACATCCATTCCAGTGAACGACGAAGACGAGGAAGACGATATGTTTGCAAAGAAAGCCAAAAAGTTGTCCTCTTACACTGCACCAAAACAAGTTTTCGAGGAGATGGCCAGTATGGAAGATGATGTGGACCCTATGGAGAATTTTCGACCTTCCCGCCGCATTGCGGACAGAGAGTCAGAGTATCACGCTCGTCGGTTGAATCGTCAGCTATCTCCGGAGCGAATTGATGCATTTTCCGGACAGCCAGCCAATTCAGAAGCTAGGTCTTACGCTGAGGTCATGAGAGAGGCAGAATTGGACCGCGAGCAAGCTCAGTTGCAACGGAAGATACAGGAGAAGAAAAAGGAAGAAGAAGAAAATATGAAAGAGTTGGCGTCGTCCGGGGAACTTCAAATTCGGGCACAAGCTCAAGCTGCTGCCATGGTGGAGAAAGCAAAGGCTGCAGCCGCGGCGGCCGCAGCCAGCGCGGATGGTCCAAAAAAACGGAGATGGGATCAGAATGGAGAGGGGAAGACGTCGGAATGGGAAGAAGATGAAAAAAGTACAGGCGGGAAGAGCCGATGGGATGAAACTCCAAAAGAAGAAGTACCCGCCCGAAAGCGGAATAGATGGGATGAAACACCGGTCGACGCATCCGCATCTGCCTGGGACGCTACGCCTAAAAAGCAAAGTGGAGCCGCAACACCCGGTGGGAAACGTTCACGTTGGGACGAAACGCCTGTCGGCATTACCAATCAGTTCGCCGCAACTCCAGTCGGAAACATGGGTCTTATGACTCCCACACCGGGACAGATCCCTGTTCCTATGACACCAGAAGCTGTTAACGCCATGCGATGGGAGAAGGAAATCGACTACCGGAATCGATATCTTACTGATGAAGAACTGGATGCAATGTTTCCCACTGAAGGTTATAAAATTCTCGAACCTCCGGCTACGTATGTTCCTATACGCACTCCAGCACGAAAGCTCATGGCCACTCCCACTCCTATGGCGGGGCAAGCCGGGGGATTCATGATGCAGGAGGAGGATAGAAATCAAATGTACGATGTACCACCGGAAATTCCAGGTGTCGGCGGTTTGCAGTTCTTCAAGCCGGAGGATATGCAGCACTTTGGCAAGCTTCTGGATCAGAAGGACGAAGCCGAGTTGAGCGTGGATGAGCTTAAGGAGCGTAAAATTATGAGACTGCTTCTAAAAATCAAAAACGGGACTCCGCCTATGCGTAAAACCGCTCTCCGTCAGATCACCGATAAAGCCAGAGAATTCGGCGCCGGCCCACTCTTCAACCAGATTTTACCCTTGCTCATGTCTCCCACTCTAGAAGATCAGGAACGTCACCTGTTGGTTAAAGTCATCGACCGTGTCTTGTACAAGCTGGACGATCTTGTTCGTCCGTATGTACACAAAATTCTAGTCGTCATTGAACCACTCTTGATTGATGAAGATTACTATGCCCGAGTTGAAGGTCGTGAAATCATCAGCAATCTCAGTAAAGCCGCGGGATTGGCGACGATGATTGCCACCATGCGTCCTGATATTGACCATGTCGATGAATATGTACGTAATACCACTGCTCGTGCCTTCTCGGTGGTTGCATCAGCGCTCGGCATCCCCTCCCTCCTGCCATTCCTAAAGGCTGTGTGCCGATCAAAGAAGTCTTGGCAGGCCAGACACACTGGTATTAAGATTGTGCAGCAGATTGCCATCCTTCTGGGTTGCGCAGTTTTACCTCATCTGAAGAGTTTGGTTGAAGCGATTGCCCATGGGTTAGAGGATGAACAGCAGAAAGTGCGGACAATCACGGCATTGGCCATTGCTGCTCTTGCGGAAGCGGCTGCACCTTACGGTATTGAATCTTTCGATATTGTGCTGCGTCCTTTGTGGGCGGGTATCAAGAAGCATCGAGGAAAGGGTCTAGCAGCCTTCCTGAAAGCGATCGGCTATATTATTCCGCTTATGGACGCCGAATACGCCAACTACTACACTAAGGAGGTCATGATCATCTTGATTCGTGAGTTCCAGTCACCGGACGAAGAAATGAAGAAGATTGTGCTCAAGGTGGTGAAGCAATGTTCTGCGACCGACGGTGTCGAACCCCAGTATATCAAGACGGAAATTCTTCCCGAGTTCTTCAAGCACTTTTGGGTACGACGAATGGCTCTTGATCGCCGTAACTATAAGCAATTGGTGGAGACGACAGTCGAACTTGCCCAGAAGGTCGGCGTAGCTGAAATAGCAAGCAAGATCGTTGAAGATCTGAAGGACGAATCAGAACCCTACCGGAAGATGGTTATGGAGACCATTGACAAAGTAGTTAGCCAGCTGGGCACTGCCGACATTGATCACAGGCTCGAGGTGACCTTGATTGACGGTGTTCTATATGCATTCCAAGAGCAGACTGTGGAGGACGTAGTCATGCTTAACGGCTTCGGTACAGTTGTCAACTCGCTAGGTCTTCGTGTCAAGCCGTACTTGCAGCAGATCTGTTCTACTATCCTTTGGCGCTTGAATAACAAGAGCGCAAAAGTTCGTCAGCAAGCAGCGGACCTAATCTCACGAATCGCTGTGGTGATGAAGACTTGCGGTGAGGAGAAACTCATGGGTCAATTAGGTGTTGTGCTGTACGAATACCTTGGCGAGGAATATCCCGAAGTGCTCGGGTCCATCTTACGCGCGCTAAAATCGATCGTAAACGTCATTGGTATGAGCAACATGACTCCCCCGATCAAGGACTTGCTACCAAGGTTGACACCAATCTTGAAGAATCGACACGAAAAAGTCCAGGAAAACTGTATCGATCTTGTGGGACGTATCGCCGACCGTGGTGCAGAGTTTGTTTCTGCTCGAGAATGGATGCGTATCTGTTTTGAGTTGCTCGACATGCTCAAGGCCCACAAGAAGGGTATACGCCGTGCCACTGTGAATACTTTTGGGTACATTGCGAAAGCTATTGGTCCACAGGATGTACTAGCGACACTCCTCAACAACTTGAAGGTGCAAGAGCGTCAGAATCGTGTCTGTACGACTGTTGCCATTGCGATTGTCGCCGAGACTTGCTCTCCCTTTACTGTGCTACCCGCACTTATGAACGAGTACCGTGTACCCGAACTCAACGTGCAAAATGGTGTGCTCAAATCACTTTCCTTCTTGTTTGAATACATTGGGGAGATGGGCAAAGACTACATCTACGCCGTCACACCTCTCCTCGAAGACGCTCTCATGGATCGTGACTTGGTTCACCGTCAAACTGCTTGCACTACGGTCAAGCATATGTCGCTCGGAGTCTTCGGCCTTGGCTGTGAAGACGCTCTTTTACATCTTCTAAACCATGTCTGGCCCAATATCTTCGAAACGTCCCCTCACGTCATCAATGCAGTTATGGAAGCTATTGACGGACTACGAGTTGCATTGGGACCAAGTGTTATTATGCAATACGTATTACAAGGATTATTCCACCCTGCAAGACGAGTACGGGAGATCTACTGGAAGATTTACAACAATCTTTATATTGGCAGTCAGGATGGGCTGGTGGCATTTTATCCGCGAATCGAAAATGATCAGAGGAATATTTACGAACGATATGAGCTGGACCTGGTGATCTGATTTTGGCATCAAGGCGAGATGATGCTTTTGTATATAGATATGAATGGTGGCAACTTGTGTAAGGTGTTTTGGATGGGAAAATTGGGTTATGTTAATGCACTAAAATGAAATTCATCGTGATATACGATCCGTTCAGTACCAATCACTCTTGAACCACCTGTCACGATGCCTTGTCCTGTGAACGGTTGAAGAGATGCTTACATAGAAGGTACTAGCTGCACCGTGTTCCCTGACATACGGACGAGGATGGCTTTTACTAGCAATATATCATGGAAAAGTTCAGTTCAACGTACATAGTCTGACGGCCAGTTTTACTGATCCGCTTTGTACAGAGTTCCAAAATTTCGCCAAACTCTTCATTATCTGACGGATTTCATGCCCAGGTCAACATGCCCACAGAATTCACCTGTTACAGCTGAATTCAATATAGCATCACGCAATTACATATCAATTTTAGAGATTTTCACATATAAACAATCGTCTCTTGGTCTGGAGAACTAGCGATGTTTATTATCATAGCTGTTTCTTCCATCCAACTTTAGCTCTGATCCAATTGGCAATGAAGTGCATGGCTTGCTCACTCTCGTCAAGCCAAGCAAAGAAAACCGGATAGACGTGGCACATCCCTTTTTGAATAATCAATTCTACATCGCCGCCATCCTTCGCAATGTTCTCCGCAATTTCCTTGGAGTCATCCAACAACAATTCATGGCTCCCAACAAGGACAAGGGCGGGCGGAAATTCCTCATACGTGGGTGGCGGGATGGGGGTGGGTGACTTTAGGACTAGAGAACAGACGAACGAGATTGACGGCGCATCCAACATGACGTCCAAAGATTTGTTGGTTTCCATTGAAGGATAATTTGGGTGGAGATTCAAATAGGGCGATAACATAACCACGCCAGCTGGGAAATACTGTGGAGTGCGGCGAAGAGCGTTGATGACATGGACCGTCATACCACCTCCTGCACTGTCACCTATAAGAGCAAGGTTCGATGCACCGTACCTATGATCAGAAAAATAGCATATTAGCATTAGGGACGGACAAAAGTAGAAGCAATCGGAGGCAATTTCTACCTTGCAGTAGCCCATTCGAAAACCTTGATACAGTCACCCACAGATTCGGGCAGAAAATCAGCTTCTGGTACGAGGCGATAATCCGGGATAACAATCGGTACACCGCCCAGTCGCGCAGATAAATCGGCACCGATTCCCCGATAATGATGAGCACGACCAGCCATGTAACCACCTCCATGCAGCCATCTGAAATAGTATTAGCAATATCATGTAAGTATCCATCATACATTACAGTAAGAATAATTATTGCATTCATACGCACACAACAGCACCAGGAGGTGTTGGCCCTGTGACGACGGCCGTGATGATTTCAGTAGGAACGCCGTTAACTTCCAGCTGAGAAACGCTGTAGGCATTCTTGCTAACAACTAGGTTTACGATTGCTTCGGTACGTTCTCGGACGTGTTCGACATCGGTGGAGTGGGGCTGCCTGAAGTAGTAAGGAACACGGCACTTGCTCGTCAAGTTGACATACACCTAAAGTGCAGAGAGCGTTACCTATTACAAGATACTTACTTGGACAATTTGACGAGTAGCAAGAATGCTCTTGTCCTGGAACTCAAGCCTTCCCACTCTGCACGAAGAGAAGCTGGGGTGACAAGGGACGGGACATGATTAAAGAGGAAACGGAGGCCGCCGATTAGGCCCGAGAGAACAGTCCTCGTAAAGCTTCCCTTCAAGGAGTCACCGAATGATCCTGTTATTGGACGGAGAAGGAGGGTTGGCGAAGTCATGGCATTTGGGAAGGTGAAAGTGCAAAAAGAACCATCAGGTAGGATAATCTAGCTGAGTAGAAAGTTATCGCTCCAATTTGATTTCCAAGGTCCCATTCGGGAAATAATCGCGAATGACCCCTCTTTCTGACTCGGAAGGATTGCATCGGCGTCGTTACAGTACAAGGTGCATGAATGATGGATGAATGAACCGGCTTTGCATATCTACATTTTACGCCCGTATTTCGCGTTTCCTGCACCAGAGCCTTCATTAATTTCGTACATCTGAAATGACCCAGTGGAAGAAGAATGTGTGTTATCGAATTCATAGATGTGTTTGAATTTGTCTATAGCTCCAAGCGGTAGGACGGAGGATTGTATAAAGCATTCATGACAGCTTCCAATATGTAATAGAAATAATACAATGTCGACAAGCTTGTGAATTTAAGCGCGTCTCCGCATTTTCTGAAAAGACTTCAAGATCTTATGTGTTGGCAGGAACCGAGGGACGGTATAGGCAGAATGTCTATTATATTGTAACTCGCCTGTTTCCCCACAGCCAACGGGACGTTACCCTCCGACAGGTTGTTGCCGGATCCGTTCACCATCGCTGTGTACTTTACTGCCGAGCTAGAAGTGGGACGCAGACGGTTTGCACAGCAGCTGTAGAGGCCCCTCTAATTAACAATGTAGATCCCGAAGACCTATAATTCAGCCAGCATCTAAACACATTATTAGCAAAATTTAGCTCGATGCTGGAACATTATCACTGCTCAAATGCCGATGATGGTAATCTCGTCCCGTGCATTATCAAGATTGTTTCTTCCTTGTAAGTATACATTTCCAACAATACTTTGCATGCAAAGCGATTGGAACAGTTCCAAAAATTGGGCCGACCAAAGTAGGGCCGACCACATAGATAATTTATGAACTGAGTGTCGGCTCACTTCATCTCAGCTGGAACGTCACTGATGGAGCGCTTCCACCACGGAGAGAGACGGACGGGGATAATCGCCGTGCGCAGCAGCAGGCTTTTATCCCCAATACCACTATCACGGGCTATGGCGCAGGCGATGATTACGTACAGTAGGGCTTGCTCAGTCCTGGCGCGGTTCTTGAGAAAGTTCGACTTGGATTGCCATGAATATTCGCTCAGACAGCTACATTGATACACATTCAAGCGCAAGTTAAACTTGAAATGCCAACTGCAACTCTGTCTGCACTGGACCATGGTATGCCGTCGACGGCAAACTTATCGCCAACGCTCCTGCCCCGCTGGATTTCTGCTAAAGCCAACGCCATACCTGCGACACTCGCTTTTCCTGCGGGCCAGGAGGCTACAGGGGAAACGCTCTATATCTCCCGTGGCATACCTCAAAATGGTTCTTACGCAATAGTGCCAGGAAAGGCGGGGCTTCACCTGCAACCCCGCGGTCTGCACATTGGCTATCTCGGTCAAGAAAGCGTCATTACGGATCACCAGATCTTGCATATACCTGATCCAAGTTTATTCGAGTGGGTACCATGGGAAGGTTGCTGTGATATTGAGTCTTTGAAGGCCCAAGGCAGGATCCCGTTAGTTGGTGGGCGGAATAAAGACGGGGAGTGGATGTTTATTGCTGTGGCATATCCGTTGACCGGTGATGAAGGGGGCCTGCATCCTGGAAGGTGTGGTCCTGGGCTCAAAGGGGCTGCGATTGGGTATCCAGGGAAGGAGAAGATTGTTGATAAGTCCAGGGTTTTTTGCTTGAGAAAACCTGACAAATGACGGGGTGTTCAGGGTAGTTGTGAACCCCCCATATTAAGAACCGTAGCAAATACCCCCCTGGAAATTTGATGGATGGGGGGGGGGGGGGGGGTATATATGCAGATAAATTTTTCATATACAAAATAATTCGGTGAAGAAAGTAGAACCACCACAGTACAATCTAAGGTTAGCAACGCTTTATCGCCTTTTAGGAAACTCCTCGTCCTCTCCGTCCTCTTGCATTTCAGCCAATGTTACTGCATCTGCGCTCTTTCTACCGTCATTGTGCCCCACCACGCTGGGATCTAACCCGTACGACGATCGCTTCCACATTTCCATATCATTTTCCTTCTGTCTCATGATCTTTAATTCCCACATCAGTAATGCGCATGCGACCATGTTGAACAAGACGGCCAATCCCACAATCGTAACACCGATTCCCAACCTCCCTCTCCATCCGTTCCCCCACTCCTCCACATTTCGTTTGATAGAGTTATAATAACTTATCAGTGTCGCAAATGCAACAAACCCGCTCAAAAGAGCGACCATGCTGGTCGACGGAGCAACAACGTCCGATGTTCCGTTAAGCGACCGAAGCCAAAAGGAAACGATACGGCTGAAGACCGCGATGGCCATGAAAACGCTAGCACCCAGGAGGAGCACAAAGTCAATCGCATTCATTTTCTTTGGGTAGGCATCTTGGTTTACCACTGTGGAATTGAAATTGAACGAGGAGAACATGGGGACCTCAGAAGAACATTGGTATGTATGTCGTGTGATTCGACAGTAGCCCTGCGCAGAAGTCGTAAATACGGGTCCGTATAGTTATGTGAAAATCCCTGGCGTACCCATAGTCCCAGCCCTAAAGTTGTGCGGGTATCGGCTGGCTCAGTTTCATTTGCGATTGTCAAAAAATTCACCTCCTTGACAAACAAATCACGATTTCCACCAAAAAGCGCCAGCATATAAAGGATGAAAGCGGTGGTAGCAAATATAACCGCCAGGATCGAAACAGCTGACACTGGAAGTGGTCGTTTCCGGGATGGCGGCACCATGCCAGTTAGACCCGCAGCAGCGGCACCAAGGACCGAGGTGTCTAGGTACTCGTTAACAAAAAAGCGAAACCTGGACATTTCGTCAGTTCCGAGGGGAACGTAAGTTGGCATACTTGATTGTGGTAAGAGACGATGAATCAATCCTGAAGAGAGGTGGAATCGTAAGTCTCGAAGAATCACACGCGTAAATCAACACGCTTTACCGTAAGGACTAAATCGTCCTTGGCCAAATAAGAACATTAACCCGGTCAACAATAATATCTGGAAACTTGTTGCGATGCTATTTGGATACAGATAACAAGTTAACGACCAATGTTGGATAATACCAAAACATATCCATAATTCGATGCAAAAACTCACGATGATAATGTTTGGGACCAAGAAATGGCTTGGTACTCGGTATAGACAGTCGTCCATTGTGACGATAGTAGGACTCGTACGACAATTGTATCTGCAGATGGCATTTGAAATTGTCCAACATTTGCAATCTCTGAGAGTCATGCGTAAGATGCTCGATCGCTGTGTACACATCCATCACTGCCATCTCACAAACCGTAAAATATCTCGTGCGAACCATTCAAATATTTGTATTCATAAGCTCGAATGCCGTACGTTGTCTCATAGCCCCAGGAACCCTCTTGGACAAGCGGATTGATATCTCTCGACAGGGCCGCTCTTGCACGAAGGTCCGTAAAGCCATTGAAATTCTCCGGAAGGGCGGAGACGTTGATGGGTCGCGTTTGACCAAAATCCTGCTCCGTTGTGAGTCTACTGCCAAGGAGGGACATCTGCAATAAAGCTGACGCTGGGGGCCTTCCATTTGGATCAGTGAAGAGCCTAGATCTATTCAGAGACACGACAAATTGTACTGATGTGGATGATATACCAGCAATCATACATTACTCCGCATAAGAAAAGAACTTACGGTGTGGCGGTTTCCATTTCCGACCTTCAGGGTCCAGTACATACAGTGTCGAAACATTGGGGAGCGCTTCGGATGGCGCGGTGTTATGGACGAAGCTTCGATTCTGAAGCGAGAACCAATTGACTAATGGCTCTCCAAATGTCGACGCTTGATTCGGTCCCAATGCCCGTTCCTTTTGCGAATCAATTACGAGAAAAGGTTGCCATAACGGCTGCGCTTGTGCAGCGCGCCGGTTGAAAATATTGGCAACATCTGCTCCATACGGCACAACAAACACGAAGTCTGTGGCAAACATGAACAGTTTAACCGGATGCCATGAAAAGCGGAAAGGCGGCAACACATACAAGGAAGAGTTGGTATTTCGCTCGACAAAGTAATCGAAACACCCGGTATTTGCGTGACATGTAGATACAAGCAGAAACCCGAGTAGATAATGAAAGTTGCGAGAATGATGGGAACGAGGACATATTTGGCCGTTGTCACTGTAAGCGCCATGTTGAAGCGATAAATCTCAAAGGTAATGAACTGGGCGTCAACGACCCAGAACAAGAGGACGTCAAGAAGAAGGCAGGATGAGAAGAACTTTCCTCGCCGCTCTCCTGAGGAATCCAGCTGGTGGCAATGGCTGTGCAGATCGCTTGGATGTGTAATTAATCTCAATATGGCAAGTTTCTGTGGGGTAGGTCACGATGAGTAAAGGCCTCAAGTTGACATTCCGTCGACGTCTTCGTCACCGCCAATCTATAGGTTTTTCGCTCCTGACTCTGGCTGACCCGTGTGACTCCTTCTCGGCTCCACGCCTTCGGCGCAATTGCTCTCCACCCCCAAACTCCCCTCCTGCTACAGAAACGTCGTCGCGTCAACTTTTCACAGTGATGGACTCGTTAGACGACAGCAGCAATGCCGACGAGCAGGCGCAATCCCTACTGGGAAGGACCGCTCCTCGGCGCAGAAATTTCTGTCCCCATATGCTAACGCAACCACGACATCGGATTTGGGGCTCTATTGCTGCTTTATTAATTGCCGTTCCCGTCGTCGCCGCGCTATATCTTACATTCTTTGGGATAACGGGCACCTTGGTAGGCCAGCTAGTCACTCAATGTTACACTACTTTCCCAGGCCGATGCTCACATACGCTGTTAGACATCAGAACTACCCTGCAATACTCATGACTGTGTAATCACCGCCGGGCGGATATTGCAAAATATGAATTTTTCAGTAGATCCTTGTGAGGTATAGAGCGTGATCAATTTAACACTTAAACGGCATATACATGACAAGACTTCTACGATACTTTTCAAACCAGGACTTCTACGAATTCAGCTGCGGTGCGTGAGTTAGATTCGATAGCATGTCGCGAGCTCCCGAGAAGCTAATCATCTCCTTATTTGTACTGGAAGGCGGCTGGATTCAAGAACATCCTATTCCTGACGACAAGTCACAGGTCGGGACTTTTGATACACTTGTCGAGAAAAATTTGAGAATTCTGAAAGATGCGTTTGAGAGCCCGTACGCTCCTGACTCCACCCTGCCACCAGAAGAAGAGACGTTTAACCGCCAGAACTTTGACAAAGTTCAGCATCTTTATCTCAGCTGTATTGTAAGCCAGGGTTTTGCTTCACAACAAGTATGCCTCTTTCATCTGACCCACCCGTGGTATCAGAATGAAACACAGATCGAAGGCGAAGGAAAGGAGCCAATAGTTGCAACACTGAAGAAAGTGGTCAAGGATTTTCCGTTGGGGATTGATAACAAATTGGATGCTCATAAAACTATTCTTGCGATAGCAGCAGCGCATGACGTTAACGCTGCTGCACTGTTTGGGATGTCTGTGGGACAAGACGACAAGGACCCCGACCACAACGTGATCATGTTCGCACAGAGTGGACTCTCTCTGCCAAGCAAAGAGTCAGTTCTGCAAGCTTCTAACTGTATGCTTACGGGCTCCTGACATCATCTTTGGCATTTTATCACTTCTAGGTATTATGACAATGCCCAGTACATAAAAACGCTAACGGATGCTATAGCCAAGTCTTTTTCTTTCATTCTGCCTGATGTGACTCCCGATAACACAGTCGATTGGGAGAGTTTGGCCAAGGGCGTTGTCAATGTCGAATCAGAACTGGCAAAGATATCGTTACCGAGGTACCTTTCTGAGATCGAGGTTCCGGTTCCGCATCTGCGATTAACATCTGTTACCCATTTCCCCCAGCTCTGAACTTACCGATCCTAGCAAGCTGTATAATGCGTATACCATCCCGACATTGAAAGCGAAGAGTCCGTTTATTCCATGGGACTCGTACCTCCTCGCGAGGTTTCCACCAAGTCATTTCTCCGACGTTATTAATGATTCGACCAGGCTTATTGTCACCGTACCCACGTTCTTCGGAAATCTGTCGTCCACTCTGTCCAACATCAGTCCCCAAGATATGCAAAACTATATATTATGGTAGATAAGGCTCCTTCGAAGTTTTTGCCGCTGATGATTTAGGCAGTCTCACGTTATTTGCCCACACAGGCATTATATCTACAATTACGCAGATCATACTGCCAAATCTCTTAAAGATCTATTGAATGAGCTGAAGGAGAAAACGGGCCAAAAAGCAAAGCTGGAACCTCCGCGCTGGAGGACCTGTCTTGGGAGAACAGATGCCTTTCTTGGAGAGGTAGCAGGTCGCTGGTTCGTGACTCGTGTTTTTGGGGGTAAGCACAGTGCAGAAATTACATGGATACCCTCAGTGGCAGTTCTCAAATCAAATGTTAGGGGACAGTAAGAAGGCTGCTTCCTCTACCGTGGAGTATATTAGGCAAGCTTTTGTCCAGCGCTTGCCGCGAATTGATTGGCTCGATAAGATTACGCGAGAGCGAGCGATTGAAAAAGCAAATTCTCTCATCAAGAAGATTGGTTATGCGAACATTGTTATGCAGCCGAAAGCGCTCGCCGAAAAGTATCGGGATGCTGCCGTCTATCCTGACAAGTATTTCGAAAATATCTTGTCCGTTACGAAATGGCACATTCATGAAAACTTGAAAGATATCATCAAGCCCGTGGATCGAGCCAGATGGGAAATGACTCCAGCAACCGTCAATGCTGTATGTCTACTTCGTCATTCGTCTAGGCCCGAGAAGCATATTGATATACCTCATTCACTGATAGTATTACAACCCAACCATGAATGAAATTGTATTTCCGGCAGGTGAGTTTGAGCGTACCTTTCTTGATTTGTAAAACGATTGCTGAAATGCGGATAGGAATACTTCAACCTCCGTTTTATAGTATTAAGGATCCGCAATATCTTAACTATGGTGCTATCGGAATGGTTGTCGGCCATGAACTTACACACGCATTTGATAATATGGGCCGACAATATGATTCTCATGGCCGCTTAGTGGATTGGTGGACAAACGCGACGCAAAGAGAATTTTCTAAACGGGCGGGATGTTTTATTGAGCAGTATAGCCAATATACTGTCCTGGATCCCGATGGAAAGCCACAGCCAATTGACGGGTAAGAAGTCGCGCTTAAGCTTGGTGACCTAGCATTTACTTGAAGGACACTGCACCAGAACATTGACACTGGGCGAGAACCTAGCTGACAACGGCGGGGCTACCCGTGCCCTGGAGGCTTGGAGAATGGATTTGGAAGCGCCTGGTGGAGCGCAGAGGAACCCGATGCTACCTGGATTTGATGGCTTCAGCAAGGAGCAAATCTTCTACATTTCTTTTGCCCAAGTGAGTCTTGACACTTTATTAAACTCGGTCTTTATCGACTAATGTGCCTGTGTGTGCCTCGTCTGAAACTAGGTCTGGTGCGGCAATACACGACCTGAACTGGCGCTCCGGAGGGTATGTTCGCTGAAGACCTTACCGCATGTATAGCCTATTAACTCACTACTGTCCTAATTGCAGCTACGAACTGACCCCCATTCCCCTAATAAGTACCGAGTGATCGGTGCGCTGGTTAACTCTGTGGAATTTGCGCAGGTGTACAGTTGCCCAGTGGGTTCCGCAATGAATCCTGAGAAGAAGTGCTTAATTTGGTAAAACAAGAATTGACGAACACACATTTATTTCCCAACTGTCGTTTGTGATCTGCTGCAATCAAACAATAGCATTTGCGGTCCAAAGCCACCATTAGGATTTTGTCTACGAACCGGCCCTATTCCCAGGCCGAGAACCTGGCATGGGCAGTGGACGCGGTACGTGAACTCAACATGGAATGGCACTTACACTCCTCCTTGAGACAGCCCACGGATGAACATTTTGTAGTAGGACGGGTCGAAAGTGGATGATTTCAGGGATGAGCTGGACGTTGTGGACGAGATAGCTCGGGGGAGCCAGTCCGTCGGTTTTTCCAACGTGGGGAGATAGATACATTCATCGGGCGAAGCGAGTTCGATTTAGGTAGACAGTTGAGATGCCATGAATTTGGTTGGGATCAACTTCTCATGGGACAAGAGTCCCAGCATGAGGGAGACCTGGTATCGCCGGGTACAAGCGTTAGTTCCGTAGGTAGCTGTGTATAAACTGTGGTTGTGACGACTGGGAACACCCGCCGAAACCTAATGTGGCGATCGTGTTGTCGATGCCTTTGGATGTACAGTACGCTTGAGGCGGCCATTTCATTGGAAGCTACCAACGCGTTGTATGCGCGGTTTTCGCCCTTTTTGGTGATGACTCAATTTTGGCCACGACGATACGGTGCTGGAGCCCATGTCCTCGCGGAGTAGACGGTCGTCCATTTTTCACTGGAATTCCAAAGCGAAGTACTAAAGAAAAGAGAATGTTGCGGAACGTTGGCCGTCCAGGGACGTCCCGTTTCTTGTTCCCAATGCGAACGATTCCCGAAGCCTTAGAGCCTTCCCTAAGGCGATGTGCTTCACAACGACGGCAACCAACAGTGTACCTCCATATACCACACGTACGTTCGCACACCAGTACTTCGACTGCACTCTCAAACTCTCAGAACTGCTGGTCGGACCGGTTTCACACAGTTGCTGGTGATAGACGGACACATCGGTGTGGTGATATCCGTTTGTCCGATGTGGGCAAGGAGGTTGTGTTGTGCGGATGGGCGCTTTCACCCAGAAAGATTGGGTCGGATATTGCCTTTCTGCCCATCCGTGATGCATCTGGCGTGGCACAATTGGTGCATGAGATGCCGGGTGCAATCTCACAAGCAGATACGACTTTACGGGAATTGCTCTTGTCTCTGTCGCCAGAAACAATAGTATGCGCTACTGGGCTGGTACGCAAACGACCGGTGGATGCGGTCAATTCTGATCAATCCACTGGGGAGGTGGAGGTACTCTTGAGGTCCTTCCAAGTTTTGAATCCAGCAGACCCACTTCCATTTTCTACCTCTGCACGCGCAAAGCCTCCCACTGAGGAAACTAGGCTAAGATATCGGTATGTCGACCTGCGTAGGCCAGCTTTACAGGAGAATATTCGAAAGCGGTCCAAAGCAGCGCACGTGGTTCGGAATTTTCTCCACAATCAAGGGTTTGTCGAAGTGGAAACTCCATATCTATTCAAAAGCACACCAGAAGGAGCTCGGGAGTTTCTCGTCCCGACCAGAAATAAAGGACAATTCTATGCACTTCCTCAAAGTCCACAACAGTACAAACAAGTGCTTATGTCCGGTGCAGTAGACAAATACTATCAGATCGCTCGATGCTTTCGTGATGAAGCGTTGGGGGCAGATCGACAGCCAGAATTCACACAAATCGATTTGGAGATGTCCTTTGTATCTATGGAGGATATCATGGAGTTAATGGAAGGGTTGGTCTCCGAGTTGTGGGCAAAGGTGGCGAATCATAAAGTTACCATACCTTTGCAAAAGATGTCATACGAGGAGGCTATGAAGAAGTATGGATCCGATAAACCAGATACTAGGTATGATATGGAGATTCTCGACTTGACGCCTCTATTGGGGAATGTAGAACAGGGGATGATGGTCGAAGCGTTCAATGTGAAAGACGGTGCACGCATGATCAGTAACAAGCAAGCGGATCGCCTAAAGGACGCGATTCAGAAAGAGAAATTCCCCCTTCTTGGGGGCACTATTGATCCCCGCGATTTGTCCTTCGTTCGTATATCGGAAACAGGTGAAAAGGACTGGCTTATGCGGTCCAAGATTGTCGGCAGTACACCACCTGATGCGTTGACCAACATCAATCAGTCCTTGGGTGTGCAACCTGGGGATCTCATCGTGGTGAATCGACGGAGGGCCGGATATCTTGGCCCTCACACCATTGTTGGGCGGGCCCGTGTGCATGTTGCTAAAACGCTGGTTTCGTTAGGAAAGTTGGAGCTAGCTGGAAAGCTCAACTTTCTCTGGGTTCATTCTTTTCCGTTGTTTTCTCCCTCCGAAACCCTTTCTACTCCGTCTGGACGTACGGCCTACGAGTCTACTCATCATCCCTTCACTGCACCCATGTCATCTGATCTCCATCTGCTGCAGAATGATGTAGCCGCGGTGCGTGGCCAACATTATGATCTTGTTCTCAATGGGCAAGAAATCGGCGGCGGTTCCATTCGTGTTCATGACCCTCGCCTCCAGTATTATATCTTTTCTGAAGTTCTTCGCATTCCTCCTTCCAAAATTGCACAAGATTTTGGGCATTTACTGGATGCTTTACGTTACGGGTGTCCGCCGCACGGCGGGATTGCGCTTGGGTTTGACAGGTTAATGGCGATTGTGTGTGACGCACCCAGTATCAGAGACGTAATCGCATTCCCAAAACTGTCCGGAGGAGATTTGTTTGTGGACAGCCCTTCATCAGTGGCCGCTGATTCTCTAAAGGAATATCATTTGAAGGTTCTGGATGGCTAAAAGCATGGGTAGATAGATAGACTAGATAATTTATTCATATTTATGGCACAGATAGGGGTAGCTAAGGACAGCAGTGGCGGGCGACATGCTTAATACGCGGAATAATCATTCACCATTCACTGTTTAGCTATGAAGGAATCCTCCCAGTGCAAAATGGGTGTTGTTTACGCACAACTTTTGCCCCTTCTTCGTGATCTCGACGTAGGGACTACCCAGGTGCTTCCCTAATTTTGGAGTACACAGCCAGTTGTTCTTCAGCGACAATGCATCGAGTCAAAAGGCGAGACCGTTCATCCTCGAGCATGAACAGCGAACCGCGCAGCTGTGGCGGGACTGTCAAGTTATTCCCTTCAGCAGGTGTAGAAACAATATATCCTCACCTGTCTGGCCACATCCTTCGAGTCAAACCGAGCGGTGAAACATCATTGGATGGGTAACGATTGCAGAATACTGTTAGAACATATTGCCAAAAGCGGGCTTCGTCATGCACGGTACCTGTGAGCCATTCTTGGTAACTGTACTTGCACCTTTGAGCACCTGTTGAGAGACCGTCACTAATTGCATTGTTGTGTCGTCTGCTGAAAAAGAAACACGCACCTTCATTTCCTCCCGACCTAAAAGCAGCTCTTTCATCAAATGCTCTTCTCTGATTATGTAGGTGCGAAGTATCTCATCGAGAAATCGTTTTACCAGAGCATTAAGAGAGGTCACCCAGCTGGGACTAGCAGAATCGTTGTCCGAGAGAGCTACGAGACTCTGATTGACTAAAATTGTTGTAAGCTTTTGGGCTCAATAGTTCGATGCTCACGGATGCATTACGTTCATCCAGAATGGTACGATATGCATTCATCACAGTTTGTTGCTATTTCATATGTTTCAATAAATAAGCGAATCAAGAAAATCTCTACTGAGCATTTCGGTCGCACCTGGTTTCTCAAGTCTTCGATGATTTCATCCTTTTTGGCGAGCTGGACCCAAGCGAACGCATTTTGTTCCCCCACGTACTTCACTTTTCTTTCAAATGCCAGCATTTCCGCCTGGAGATTTCCAATTTGACTGGCATATGTATCCAGAAGAGTTCCGGTAGCGTTTCCCTGGTCCGCTTTGGTTGTGACAGCGGCTGCCTTTGTGGAGGAAACACATGACTCTCACATTCGGATGACGAGTTCAGATCGGCACCACTGACCAGCGACTTTGGTGTGCATCCTAGTTGCGATCTCATTTTGCTCAACAAGTCCCTCGTCTCATTATATTGGTCCCTGTATGTGAGAAAGATGCGATCAGTTTTGTGCTCGTACAATGGAAAGATGTTGCACGGTACCGCAGCTTTCTAGCTTGCCCGTCGGTTTCCTGTCGGTCACGCTGTTCTTTCTCGTAGAGAGTTTGGAGAAAATCATTGCTAGACCGTGTTGGTCAGCGGAGAAGAAGCTGGTGACGTTAAAGCTACCTACTGCTTCTTGAGCTTTTGAGTTTCAGCTATATGCTCTTTACTCGTCCTCTGGAGCGATGCCTGTATGCAGAGTGTTAAGGTACGAGCTGATATATGCTTTTAAAATGACTTACGTTTTCGTTTTTTAAGCTAACCACTTCGAGACTTAAATCAGTAACCTCCCGACACAAAGTCTCGTTTACTTCTGCTGCACCCTGGAGGGAGCTTTGCAGCGTGATGGCCTTCCGGAAGAGGACAGTAAGGAATAAATTGCAAGATGTGGAGCGGCGACCAGATGTTTGTACCTGCTGTCTATCAAATTGCAGCTTATTTAGAGAGTTCTCCAACAGCAATTTGCTTTGTGCTGCGGCTTCCAGGCTATCTTTCAGTTTTTCATTTTCCTGCTGCATCTGTTCATTGGCATGTCGAAGCTAATCGTGTAATATAAGGCAAAACCATTTGGTTATCAGCTTAATCATAGTGTCTAAGTGCGAGGATTACCGATTCAATTTCCTCCAACATTTTGCTGCAATGATCGTCAATATCCTGCCTTTCCTTTTTCAAACTCAGGCGCCCCTGTTCACTCTTTGTCAAGCTAGTCTGAAGATCATCTCTCAGTGCGGCTAGGTCCCTCAATCTTGAACCAACTCAGCAGCCGGCCTTATATCATCCGCGTGTCGTATATTGGAACCTACCGCTTATTTGTCATGTCGAGCCTTTCTTGAAGAGTGCCGACATCATGTCTCAGAGCACTGTTATCTAGCACCAATTTCCTAGGATCTGTATTCCCAGCAGTCTCGCGGTCCTCAGACGTCAAGTAAAGCGATCGTCGCGCTTGATTCTGAAGGCATCCATCCTAAGAACAACTGCTTGCAACTCATTCGCTTAAGGTCCATACCCAGATCCTGAGGTAATTAGCACGTAGGTTTTCGTCATTGCGAACAGGATAGGTCACAATGTTTCTGAGCATTCCACTCATCTCCAAGATTGCCAAATTTAGGTTCACGTCATGATCTGGATTCAACGCGAGTAAGAAGGACGAGATGCAGTTTCCTCCGATCTCATCATACAGAAGCTGCGTGGCTATGGACTGTTCGAAGTCGCAACGGTCCCGCTAATATGATACCGGTTAGGTCTTCAAATATTTACTCTCGCGCAATACTGTACAGACCTTGTTATAGCTGCACGCTTTCAGAGCATTCCAGGTGGAGATGATTGGCTGGCTTATGAAGGGACCTTAAGCCGCTGATATATTAGTCCACTTACTGACAAACTCGCATCGAGAAGGATAACCGACCATATTTTATTCTGAGTTTTGCAGGATCCTCTAGAAGATTTTCTACACCGCATAGTTCAACAACTGTAAATTTGGAGTGTATGGTACCAGAACGGATCTTTTGAAGAGGCTCATCATCGACAATATCGTTTAAAAAAATCGCGTGGCTGCACAAACCTCAGTGTCAATACTGCCATTTCTTTGTTTGCACTGAAGTTGAAACTGGCAGACCAGGATTGACGTTTGTTCCACGGCATTGACCTCTTGCCTAAAGCTGCTTGCTAGGGCCTATGTAAAGCATTTTAGCTTTCTTTGCAGTTAGATTCAGGATCAAATGTCATGCCTTCTTGATAAGCCCAACGCACGTCCATGGATCATCCACTCGAATCAAGGCGACATTGTCCGGTGCCAGACCCTCGTTCCGTTCAGGCTGAAGCAAATCACGGACACTTTCACCTGCTATCTCGTAGAGCGTATGCGCTTGTTATGGAATAAACAGTGGCAAGGTTGCTAGCAAAATCGCGCAAAGGATATTTTAATTTGACCGATTGATTTTCCCTGTCACCTTCGTCAGTTTGTGGCACGGAAGAAATACTGTGAACAAGCATTGAAAGGATTCCTGCGCTGTCTACAATTCTATATAAGCCAGTTATCCTATAATGAGTTCGTCCAGAGGCACTATAAACACCATTTGAACCATCGGACAATAGCCGCTTTCCGCTGCCGCTAACACAGGTTGTCAACAATGAGACATTGAAGCCGTCGAGAAATTTCCTGACTAGAGGCTTCATCACAATATCGAACAGCATGTCATTCGAATCATTTTCAGATTCGACTATCCCGTCAAAATCGAAAGATCTTAGTCTGCGTCAGCGATTTGGAGATACTTCCGCCTCTTTCCACGAGATTTCTATTCACCTCTTTGAGCCTTTTGCCGCTAAAGGGCGAACATAAAGTCGCCGTCCGTCAGCCACGCATTGGAGTGCTGGAGACGAGTTCTGATATCTCTCCAGCTGGAGAAAAACCTTAGTTGAAATGCCCATAGTCGAAGATGGTAGGATTGCACGGAGGGCATGCAAACCCATTTGTGAACGTAAGCACGGTCTGCGCCACGAATTCATAACCGTGGGGCGCAGCCGCTGTGCCAACTATGAAACGCGCTTGGGCTTCCTTCCTTACCACCGAACCCGCAGCAATGAGTCGACGATCAGTATGTCTTATATGGATATATATAACTGCATTCGTTCTCTTGCAGTCTGCCACGTTGACGGCAGCTGCGAAATTTTGTGGTATGTCTTAGGTGTCTGTAGACGGATGCTGCACAGGTGATGGCCGCCTTTGGAAGAACTGCAGGAGTTTTGCGTTATAGAAGTGCATTTTCTGTTCAGAAGTTTTTGGCGTCGTCTACCTATAAAACACCGAAATGCCATGAGGACGAGGAATTGAATGTGCTACCTTCTTTTCATAGCTGCCGATTATTATGTTCAAGACTTGCCTGACTTGCAACCTGATGTAACAGAAACATTCAAAATGCACGCAGGGTAGGTGATGCAACGATGGAGATGCTCTCGTCAGGCATCACTTCATGCTCATCGAACGTTACCAGACACATGCCTGTAGATGATGCAGGGAACTGGCAGCTATTCTTTTGGCTGGTTCAGGCACGCAATAACCTGCCAAAGGATAAGCTCGTATGTATAGAATGATCTGTCTCTGATGTATGCTATCCCTGGTAGTCTCTTGTCTAAAATAATGCCTTTCTTGTCCTCAGGTTATCTGGCTAAATGGAGGTATGGGGCAATTCGTCGGTTCTGAATCCCCCATCGTTGATGGTTTTTATAATGATAACTATTTGTAGGGCCTGGATGGTAGGTTTCCTACTCCATGAACGCGAGAGGACAGAACCTCCCGGTATTAACGTGCCTTTGCTATGTCACTCTTTTTCTCGTTTTCAGCTCGAGGTAGACGACCACGTCATTCGCAGTTATGGCAGCATGGTGACATTTCATTCTCTGATTAGCATGGACGGAATGTTCCTGGAAAACGGACCATTTCGGGTGACCCCCGAAGGAAAAGTTGTTGTGAATCCTTACAGTTGGAGTCATAACGCAAATATTCTCTATGGTACTTTCAACACCATGTTCCGCAATGATACCCAATTGCTCATCTATCGGTCCAGTTGATCAACCTGCCGGAACTGGCTTAGCTTACACCAATGGGACTTACGCAACAAGTCAGGCGCAAGTGAGTAAACCAACAGCTGCACACCGTTATTCTTTGGATTCCTTCCTGGCCATTCATAAACTTTGCTAGTCAATTTCTGACTTTTCTAAATAATTTCCTGACGGCGTTTCCGGAATTTTGGCGGAGCGAGGTGGGACTGGTGACGATTTTCGTCAAGAGTTTGGGAATGGGAAAGCACGTCTAATGTGTGTGCCGCAGATTTACATAACTGGGGAAAGCTATGCTGGAATGTACATACCGTATATCGCGTCTGAGATACTGATGAGAAACAGGGCTAGCACTCAGAAGGTCGGTACGAGCAATTATCATTATTCTTGGATACAGTCTTACCTAATGTTCGAATTAGCCCCCTTTGCACCTACGAGGTATTACGATCGGAAATGGATGGATGGATCCACTGCGGCAGGTAGAGACCCTTCAGGTTCATTAGGTTAACATCATACTTACTTTACCCTTGCACGCTAGTATCCAGCGTACATTCAATACGCTCAACACCACGGACTCCTTAGCGGGGAGTATCTGGTATGAAATTGGTCACTCTTCGGATCATGACAGTCGGGACGTTCCTCGCTTATGAACATTACAGGAAATCGCGATACGCAACTGGAATTCTTGCAGTCCGTCTTTACAGAAGGACGAGGTGGCGAAAAATGATGAGTGTGAGAAAATAGTGAATCAGATACTTCGTCAATCAGAAACTGGGTATGCTCGCTTGCGATCGCTATAATTGTCCACTTGGATTGCTGATACTTGAGTTCCAGGAACCAGTACTGCATTAATATGTACGATATCCGACTGAGGGACACTGGTCCTAATCAATATTGTGGAATGGCTTGGCCCGACGGCCTATCGGCTGTTACCCAGTATTTACATGTACGCTCATCGCACGAGTAACCCATAGTCCTAACTATTGCTGACAAGGCAGTACCATTATAGAGGAGCGATGTCGTGGCAGCGTTACACGCCACTGCTGCACATAAGGCATGGCAAGAATGCGACTCGTCTGTTATGAATGCATTAGCCGCGGACAGAAGTGCTCCATCATATAAGGTACTGTCCGGCTTCCGATTTGAGTGGTTCCGTCTTTCAGTATTAATTGTTTTCCTTCGGCCAGCTATTACCGGATTTATTGTCGCAGATCGAAGTGACCCTATTCAGGTAGGATCAGGATGTGGAGGACCACGGAGGAGAAACTGAAGTTGTTGTGCTTGCAGCGGCGATCAAGATCTCATTTGTAATTGGTTCGGCACTCGAGATATGATTTCGGAGCTAGAGTGGAACGGTGGGAAGGGCTTTGAAGTAGGTCGCAGGACGTAATATCAGGTTAAAGAAACGCTCTGAATGCCATTTCTCCCTGCAGGATACTCCTAAAATGGATTGGTATGTGGATGACCAACTAGCGGGTTTCTATCAAACGGCAGGGAATCTTTCCTTTGTCGTTTTCTATGATGCCAGTCACATGGTGCCCATTGATAAGCCCAAAGAAGCACTGGCGATGTTTAATGGCGCAATTAGGGCCAATAGTACCATTAAATCTGTTCTAACAAAGGTATGTGTTGAGAGGAGCGACCTATTATATTTTAGGGTTATTCCATCCACATCTGAAACACTCTATCTGTCAAATAGCCAGGATTTTCGGAGACGGTGCGACAACATTATTATGCGTAAGTCTTTTCCTTTCGGAAGGCAGCTGTCATGTCAACGCTAAAACCCATTCCTGGAAAGCGGCGGAGTGCTATTGGTGCTAATGCTATTAGGAACCATGGCGTACGGTGCTTACCGGTTACGTGATCGACTACCGTTCGTGAAGTCTGCAATGCAGAAAGTTGGTATGGATACCAGAAGAAGTGCGGCCGGACAGAGTAGCTCTTGGCAAGTTACAGTCAGGTGTTGTTGACTGCTATTTAACCACACTGATAATTGTCTGTATAGGCGTGAAGTGGAGGGCGGCGATGAAGAGGCTCTTTTTAATGCAGAGGACATAGAGGAGGAACATGACATGCGACCGATTAACCGATGAATGTGTACAAGACTAATGTGTATAGCTTTTGTATATTACTGAAGTAAATTAATATAAACATCAAAACGTGTGTTGCTGTCTGCAGGGAAGAGAAATGTGAGGCGTATATGAGAACTCTGCTGACTGACTACACCCCACAGTGGGTTACTGTTCAACTTAAAAATTAAAGCATAGTGTTGCGGAAACATAATAACAGCGGTCCTTTGGACAACCATGCTCAGAGTATAGATAGAGTATAGATATTACTAGGTGGTTGGTACAATCAACCGTTATTACAACGGCATCTACCGCGTCATCTTAATGAAACGCTTAGCCTGCCGGTAACGCTTGGGTTGGCAGATATCTGCAAGAGTTCCCTCAAATCGTGAACGCGTGACGGTCCTTACCTGCGGCACTAGAGTAATCTAAAGGGGCAGCATCAGCACCGGTTGACACGAAAAGCATGACCACGCCGACGGTGGAAGAGACGAGTGACGTGTCCATCGACGCCCCAATCGTGGCATCTCACAACAAGTATCTGGAAGACCAGACCGTTGCTATTCGCTCGAGAACCATTCCATGGGAGGTACGCTGTTTCTTTCAGAAGGTTTAATATTCATGTTACGGAGAGAACTGTTGGGTGTGCCAAAGTATGAGAAAAGCGTCAAGCTCATCACAATGACGCCGTTGTACAGGGATATCAACGAGCAAGTCTTATCACGGAGGAAGAGCTTTCGCAAATACGTCAATTCGAAAAGTCACCCACCGCTGCGTTAAACGAGGTGAACAATATCATATAATGGTGCTCGGAACGCTCGTTATACTAGCTTTATCCCCTAACCAAATGTTAGGCGGGGGACAGTTACATTGACTTGTTCCTGAACCTTCTTCAAAAACTCAGCCGAGCTGATACCATCCAGAATAGCTTGGTTCTTATCGATGACGTTTTGGCTGGTTAGTGTCCGAAAACTCTAAAAAGGAAAATTCTTACGGACTTCTTGGTGCGCTAAGCTGTTTACTCTGTTCAGAGAGCGAGGGACGAGTTAATATATTCTACAGACTTGCAGAACAGAAAGGAGACATTTCATTACCTTATAGACCCTTTTTCAAGTAAGGCAATATACCCAAGGTCGTTAATGGTCCAGTCATGATAAATCTTTCCACAGATTGCTGAAAAAAGACGATGAGTATATTCAGCTGAAGTCCGCAAAGATTATCACATACTTGCTCATGTGAGTGGCCGAAGAATCATATGCGTGTCGTTCTACTGTATGTAGCTCAGTCAAGCTTGGCGACTTCAGACATTCAGATGCTGCGACCAAAGTGGATGCCACAGAGCTATTCGTGTGGATTGCCGAGCAGCTGCAGAATGCGAATGCAAATATTGTTGATATTGCCGTACAGCTCCTTCAGAGTCTATTGTCAGTACCCGAATACAGACTACCATTTTATCAAACGCCGAATGCTGTCCAGAGGTTTGAATCTGGTAGACGCAACAATTTCGGATGCGGATAGCTTACATCTTCTCCAGCCTTGTAGGCATCTTAAAGAAGGGATCATCTAATGCCCAAATGCAATATCAAGTTATTTATACTTTGTGGCTGTTGACCCTTATCAGGGAGATCGCTGCTGACCTGCAAAGGTAGTCTCGTCGATTTTGATGCATGAAACTGAAACAAGCATTTGGCTAAGAGATGGTGTGAAACCCGTCCGGCAGGAAGTTTGACGTGGTACCGGTCTTCATCGAAATTGCGAAAGCAGCTATCAAGGAGAAGGTTACACGTGTGGTGGTCGCAACCTTGCGGGTGAGACACGGATGCGAATGCCACGGACCACATTTGATGGAAATGAAGCTTACATTCATGTTACCTCACAGAACATGTTGAGTAAGGCACCACAAGAAAATATGGCTGCGATGATAGGCAATAAACTCCTGAATGTTTGCGAAACACTGGCGGGAAGAAAATGGTCAGACACAGATATTACGGAGGATCTGGAGTACTTAAAAGAGGAGCTTGCAAAGAGCGTTGCGAATTTGAGGTATGGTCGCAGAGGGGTAAGGTAATGTAAAAACATTAACACTCTATTCCATGTCGTAGTACATGGGATGAGTACGAGTCCGAAGTCAAGTCTGGAAAGTTGGAGTGGTCCCCGCCTCATTTGTCAGAACAGTTCTGGAAGCAGAACGCCAGTAAGCTGAATGACAGAGATCACGAACTATTGAGGTGAGAAATAAGGTCCCACGTGAAATTAAGCAACGCGTTGACTATGAAATTTTTTTCACTTTCAAGGATGCTCTCTCGAATCATTGCGACATCTCAGTCGCCACTTGTCCTTGCCGTCGCTGCACATGACATTGGGCAGTACGTGAAGTACTGTGCAAACGGAAAGAGGCAAGCGGATGTGTTTCTCCGATTGCATGCGTTGGATAGCTTATGATCATGGGTTTGACTATAGGGCTCTCGATGAGATAGGTGCTAAGACACAAGTGATGCAGTTGATGACACATGCAGATCCTGACGTGCGATATCAGGCCCTCACTGCGGTGCAGTAAGTGTCTCTAGCATCCAGGGGCCTCAGATTAGGATGTTGACTTCGTCTTTAGGAAGTTGATGACTCATGCCTACAATTCTTGAAGAGAAAAGTCCGAATTGGTAACACATTTGAAGCTATGTAATTCTTTATTTCAGTCATCAGAACGCTGAAACCGGGGATGACAGACGGGTAGTAGGGCATTAGTCGTTATAGCTGCATAACTAAGGCCTCAGCTATCCTATAATTAATAATGAATTGGGCTACCAAACTGAACGGAACCTGATGAAGGTGTTGATTTACACGCACCTATCAGGTTCACCATTTCCAAAGAGCGCCCAGCGCATCAGCTCACCCACTACCTTACAATTCATGCTATTTCCAAGCACCCGCCAGCGTTGGATAGTGCTGAGGTCTGGTGGGAAAGCGAAGCTATGCTGCCTTTGTGACGTCACGTCGCTTGCATATGAATTTGAGGGTTTCGGTGCTTGGTCGTCGATTGGAAATGCATGTAGTCGGGCGATTCTAGCGAAGGAGCATGGATGCTAATTAGCATTGGTGATACCATCTTACCGGATAACACAAACGCACTCTGTCGGGGTAAAAAAGCGTAATCCCAATTTCTCAACCGCTGTCGAGGGATCATCGAGATACTTGGCGCCCTATAACATGGAGGGTTAGTATGGAAGGGCCCCGGTTGAAAAGACTTTTCCATTGAGCTCACATCGAAGCCCTTCGTTTGTAAGAAGGATCCTGCTCCTAGACCATGATGACCATATGCTTTCGTGAAACAGGACGATCGCGTACTGAATGGTGTGACAATGGCTATGTGCGTAAGGCAATTCAGTCGTCTTCAATTCCCATATGGGACACACCATTAGGACATACCTGCTTCGCTGAAAGCTCTTCTTCGTCGCACAAAAGGCTCGGGAACCGCATATATGTCCGCTATATTACCAGTTGGGTCATCCTCCAAGAAATCGGCTAGCGGCTGTGGTCCTTGATAGTTCTCATACGGCCAAGTCGTGCGGAGGTTGAGGACCGGCGGCGACTCTACCTCCTTCGTGGTACCTGTTCTGCGCGCCGTCAAATAGTATCTCATGCGATCATTTGGTATTCCGAACTGCAAAGGAGATAACAGCCACTCGGAGTATTCGTAACCCAAGCGGACAAGTTGCGACACAAGCAAGTCTCGACTACGGGATTTTTCGAAGTTTACCACATTCTCCAAGAAGATGTAAAAAGGGGGTTCCTTCAATATTGCTAGCAATTCGATAAGATGGAGAAGCCCCTCCGCTCTGGCATCTTGGTCATCAAGTTGTTTACCGGCTGCGACACGATGAATTATTAGATCGAACCCAGTTAGTGCCACGAAAAACGGATGAATAGTCCGGCATACCTACTCCGCGTATAAGGTTGACAAGGAGGACTAAGAAGCCAACAGTTCGCATCGAATGACTCAACTGTCTGGGCCGACACATGGTGAATTCCTACTTGGATGGGATTCACACCCCAGTTGAAGGTGTAACTCCACGATATTTGTCAGCAAATCTCAGCAGAGAGTTTGTATTGCCAAAAGTAGGCTGGTCCATTAAACACTACCATTGATTTGCAACCGGGTTGAGATCGAAGGAAGCGACCACTGTCCCGTCAACTCCAGACCATTTCAGGCCATAATGCTAGCAGGTGGAGGATTTTAGTAGATGACACTAGGTGAACGGAGTACATTGCATAGTTTTACCATGCCTCCGATGCCAGAAAAAAACTCCAGTGCCCGTACTGTCATGCCGTTGCAGTGAAGTCCCAATCGCGCAACAAACCAAAGTTAATTAACTTTCAGATATGAAGTTGTGTAACGTCGCTAGCGTGATGAGATAAGCAGTTCCACATATGTTCTGACGAGAGTAGTTCCGCTTCTGTTGCATACAGACAATTGCCGGCAACATGTCCAAATCGAAGCATGTAAAAGTAGTAATTCGGACGAGACCGACGTCCGATTATGCACAGGATATGATCAAATTCACTGGCGACCGAAAGGTACTTCGAATATCTGCGTTTTGAACACCCGTCGCTACAGTTCATTCCTACTTAATATTAGGGGGTGCATATACACATTCCGAAAAACGTAGAAGGTGGCTTTATCAACAATCAGCAAGAAAACTGGGACTTTCGCTTCGACAGTATTTTGCATAATGTGTCACAAGAAACCGTATATGAGGAATGTGCAAGTTCTTTGTTGAAGGGAGTGTTGGAGGGTTACAATGGTATGTAAAGCTGGAAACCTTACCAGGCATGCAATATTGAGGTGCGCTGTTTTTCAAACTCTTTCTTTCTTCAACTTATTAATGACATGCTGCTGAAGGCACAATCATGGCGTACGGCCAAACAGGTAAGTGTCCTCCTCATATCAATTCGTTATCATTTTACCGATGAATTCTATTATGCTACCTCAGGAGCTGGAAAAACATTTACAATGTTGGTAGTATCAATTGTTAGCACCGCCTTTATGCTTTGCTGACCAGCATGATATTTTATAGGACCGGTGCTACAGAAAATTACAAGCACAGGGGCCTTATACCGCGGACAATTTCACATGTCTTCCGGGAGATTGGCGAGCGTCCTCAGCTCTCTTACGTTGTTCGTGTAAGCTATATCGAGATATATAATGAACAGATGGTGGATTTGCTAGGAAATCTTCCTGATGCATTGAGACTGGACAGCAACTTGAATGTAGTCGAAGATAGAACCGGTAAATCTGATGGGAAGACAGGTGCAATTCAAATGATGTGTCACTAACCACTCTCTTTCTTATCAGGGACAGCTCAGGTGAAAGGGTTAACAATGAAGATTGCGACTAGCGAGGAAGAAGCGCTCAGCTACCTCTTTGAGGGTGAAACAACGAGATCTATTGCAGAGCATCAGCTAAACCGAAACTCTTCAAGGTTAGCAGCTGCGCCAGAGATGGATTCATACTTTAGCGTGTTTTGCTGAAAAGGCATGGGTAGATCACATTGCGTCTTCACTATCTACCTCGAGTCGCGTTCAAGAATCGAATCCTCTGAGAAAGTCTTATTTAGTAAATTGAACCTGGTCGATCTCGCCGGGTCTGAGCGATTATCAAAAACACATACAACAGGCGTCTCTCTTCGAGAAGCTATGTGTACGTAAACAATGCTGGTACCTTCCGTCTCATCGTAGTCTAAACCTCACCTTTCAGATATCAACAAGTCCCTCACTTTCCTTGAACAAGTTATTGTTGCGCTGGCAGACAAGAGAAGGCAGGCTTTCATTATTTTCTGGCCTCTTCGGTGAAGTCTTACAAACTATCGGTCCATCACATAGAGGACACATACCTTATCGTCAGTCAAAGCTAACGAACGTGCTGCGGGATGCTCTCGGAGGGAACTGCAATACTTTAATGATATCGAATATACGGTGTGAGTGCTAATATCCGGTCCAGCCCATATTTTTTGAATTAATGGTTAGACTTTTACAGGTGAGGCGGATTATATCGAGGAAACCATATCAACCCTTCGTTTTGCCACGAGGATGATGTGCGTAACGAACACGCCCGAACTGAATGTGCAATATGATCCGATAGCGCTGATAAAGAAATACGAGCGGGAAATCAAAGAGCTTAAGCAGGAGTTATCCATGCATGACACACTTAGCAATCGCAGCCACGTCCAACATGAACCATTCAGCGAACCCCAGCGGCTGGAGCTTCAAAGACAGGTTAAAGCTTTTCTCGAGAACGAGGAAGACGAAATAGAGGTACGTATAGCCGCATTAGAAGATTTGTCGATTCACTAAGAGACCAACAGGTGGGAATCTATAGATAGTAAGCCTGCGACAAATCAGGGAGATATTCCACCAGTTTCGCATGTTGTACAAGACCCAAGAACAGGAAAATGAGGATTGGCAACGAATTCACAGGAATGCAATCGGAACTCACCCCACTATGGCGAAAGATGATGCTACAGAGAATATCAATATGGTTGGCTAATTTGGTCATCGATTGTGCACATGCAAAAGTTTGCTAAGGCTCCATTTTCAGAATACCCGTCCCTTAGATGAAAAGGATGACGGCGTAGGGGAATTGGAAGGAACAGGATTTGGACTTGGTCTGGTACGACTGAACAAGCTGATGAACTGAGTACTACGGGAAAATAATAGTTTTGTCTGCAGGCACCTTCAGGTGGTCGGCAAACGGGAGGCATTGCGATGGCAGCTGGTGGTACGCGGGGTCCTAAGGATAGGCGACGTAAAAATAGTAGGATCCCAGGACTTGGCTTATCTGCACAAATGGGTGCTCCAGCTCACACGGAAGTTGAAGAAGAAGACGGAAAACACGAGGTTGGTTTGCACCTTCCTTGTAGGCATGGGACCGTTGCTGACATTCAATATAAACTGGGTTACTTGAAGATTCCCATGGAGAGAGATCGGATACCATCTCCGCCCACGAAGGTGACGGAGATTTCATCCCCTGCAGAGTCAAGTGGGCTTCCACCACTGCCGAATGCCCATCATCCAAACAAAAACAACCGGTCGCTCGCCCCACCTCCGAGTAGAGCTGATGAGTTCGAATCCTTCAAGCGTGGAAAAGGGGCAGATATTAATCGCATTCTTAACGAAAACAAGTGTAAGAAATTGCAGAGGAGCGCCCTGTGCTTCAGCTTGTAGTAGGTGGGCACTGATTGGATGGGTCACAGTCATATTGCGCGATAAGAAGAAACATGCCAAGGACCTGGCGGCATCGGTCAATGATACCAAGAGACATATTGATGACTTAAAGATAAAAATTGACTGTAAGCGACATGATAGAACATGCGGAGGTAAAACTCCATGTCAAATTGAACAGCATATGATGACGATACTGATTTGTCTCGACTAGTGGAGATACAGCGAGATGATGAGGTTGTCATTGACGAAGAAGAGTATATCCTTTTGAACAGTCTGAAGCAGCTCAAACAACACTATCGAGAGCAGTATGAAGCACTTCGTACAGTTAGAGCGGACATTGAGTATTGCTCGCGTCTTGTTGATCAATGTCGGCAGAAGCTCATGGCTGAATTTGAGCAATGGTATGAGATACAGTATGGAGGGCAATTACCCGAGGACGGTTCAGATGGTCAGGTCGAGGTGAGTGCTTTAAAACCTTGTGATTTCCGTGGTTGTTCGATGCAGGGCTAATATGTCATCTTTAGGACTTGATGGATATCGGTGAGAAATTCGACAGATTGCAAATGGAGCGCATGTCCCAGGAAGATCCGGATTCGCTGCCATTCTATAATGCCCGTAAGAACACCGAAAGACGATATCACAAAGGCCCACGAAGTAAGAGGCATTAATCACCTCCTACTATGGAACTCACATTCTGAGCTGGGGAATTGGTCAAAATTAACCAGTATTGGAATTGTGCCCCTGGTCAAAAAATAAGTGATAAGTGATAATTATTCAAAATTTTCATCATTATAATATGGAGCCACCTGAACCCATTATATGCACCCAGTATTTGATTTTGCAAATCTCCTCCTTTTTAGTATCTGGAAGGCTATCAACCTACAGTTGGCCAACCATTTTTTCCAAGCAAAGCAAAATTAATAGTGTACAATAAGAGCTTAATTACTCTTTTGGCTAGCTGAAATAAATACTAGAAAATTATCCTTCATCAGGTATATTTGGAAAATTTGCATAATAGGGATACTGTGGAAAGAATTTATCTGGAATACTCCTTTACTCTAGAAATATTATATAATATACAGTAGTAATACATAGAAAGGAGCTTGGAACTTTCTTAGCTATAAAACTTTGGGACTAACAGATACATTGTAACAGGCTAGCAGGGACAAGAAGACAACAGAAAACTAGGGAAGACTTGGTTACTACTTGTTATTCTTTTGAGGGGTCTCAGAGAGGTCCTCTTTTTATAGACAAAGGGGCTGACAAATGCTATATCCTAACTACCCAATCAGATCTCACCCACATCATCCTAAACTATTTGTCAGCCTATTGCACCATTTGCAACCAATCAGATCTTGTACATGTCATCCTAAACTATTTGTCAGCCTATTGCACCATTTATAGCCAGTCACAAGTGAGACAAGTCATCCTAAATACACTGTGCCACTTGATTGAAAGGGGCAGATGCCAGTGTGTCAGGATACTCATCTAATTTAGCCAGAAATGGCTAAATCTGCTTATTTATCTAATTCTGGTCAAATGAATGCTGACACCATCAGCAAAGTCATGTGACCACTAGTTTGGAACCACATCTAACCAGTATAACCATAGCACTGACAGAAGAATTCTGTCACACTCCCCCACTTTAAGATTAAGCTCCCTTCTGGGCTAGGAACTCCTTCAAGATTTCTCTGCCATGGGGTAGGAGGTTTTCTTCTGGTTCCCAGGTGTTCTGAGAGGAGGGATAGCCTTTCCACTTGATGAGGTAGAGATTCTTCTTCCTTCTGATCTTGTGGTCAAGAATCTTCTCAACTTCCCAAAACTCTTCTCCTTGCTGGATAATTGGCTCAGGCTCAGGGGGCACTGGTCTGGTAGGGAAGTCCTCTGTGGGGTCCAAGTAAGGCTTGAGGAGTCTCACATGGAACACTGGATGAATCTTCATGGTGCTGGGGAGCTCCAGGGTGTAATTCTGAAATTCATCCTTGGCCTTGATTCTGTAAGGTCCAAGCCAGGGGGGAAGAAGTTTCTGGGCTGGCCTCTGGGCTTCTTCTTCTGGGGTGATACCTTCTCTAGATAGCCAAACTTTGGAGCCTAGGGGGTAGCTTGGGGCCTTGCTGAGAGACTTGTTGGCTTGCTGAACTTGTCTTTCTTGGGCCAGTATCATGTTATCCTTGGCTACTTGAAGCAGTTGCTGAATATACTGGTGGAAGTCTGTTGCTTCAAGATCATTGCTTTCTCCTGGTGGTGTTGCTGGGGTCCTGGGATGCTGGCCATTCTCCAAGTAGAATGGGGTAAAGCCTGTGGTTTCTGAGATACTGTTGTTGTAGGCAAACTCAGCAAAGGGGAGAAGATCTTCCCAATTCTTCATGTTGTACTGCAGGAAAGCTCTGAGGTAAATCTTCAAAGTCTTGATGGTTCTCTCTGCCTGTCCATTGGTCTGCTGGTGCCTTGCAGTGGCTAGGAGGGTGCTGCAGCCTAAGAGTTGCATCAAGTTGGACCAGAATGAACTGGTGAACTTGGTGTCTCTGTCTGATACAATCACTTCTGGGAGTCCATGGTGCTTGAAGATGTGCTTCAAGAAGAGCAGGGCCAGGTCCTTGGCTGAGGCTCTGGTGGTGGTAGGGATGAAGTGGCCTCTCTTTGACAATCTGTCAACAATGACAAAGATGGCATTGTGATCAGAGGAAGTCATAGGTAGGTCAGGGATCAGGTCAATGGAGATCTGGCTCCATCTGGTCTTAGGTACTGGGAGGGGCTGCAGCAAGCCTGCTGGTGGTTGCTGACTAGGTTTGCTTCTCTGGCAGGAATCACAAGACTTGACATACTTCTTAATGTCCTTGTACATCCTTGGCCAGTAGTAATGCCTTGCTAGGGCATCATGGGTCTTGGTGATGTCAAAGTGTCCAGCATATTGAGTGTCATGGGTTTCTTGGAGTAGGCTCAACCTTAGGTCTGGGTCACTAGGAACAAAGATCCTGCCCTGGAAATAGAGTAACCCATCTTGATGGCTGAGGTATTTGAGCCTTTGTTGCTGGTCTTCTGGTCTCCTGGGGTCATCCAAAGCTTGGATGAGCTCTTGAAGTTCTGCGTCTTCTGTGGTACTGGTCTTCAATCTCTCTTGAAGGGTGCTGGTGGTGTGGGTCACAGCATTCAACTCTGCTGTCACCAAGGCCTTGCACTTGATGCATCTTGGGGCCAGGTCTGGTCTTCTAGACAGGATGTCTGCCACTGTGTGGAGTCTTCCTGGGCCATAACCAATCTCAAAGTCAAAAGATTGGAAGTTCATGACCCATCTGGCTTGTCTTCTGGTCAAGAAGGGCTGGTTCTGTAGCCACTTGAGGGACTGGTGGTCTGAGATAACTTTGAAGGGGGTTCCTTCCAGGTAGGGCCTCCAAACTCTGAGGGCATCATGGATGGCTAACAGCTCTTGTTCTCTGGTGTCATATCTGGTCTCTGCTGGGGCCATCTTCCTGGAGTGGTAGGCAACTGGTCTCATGCCTTTCCCATCATCCTGTCCAAGCCATGCACCAACTGCATAGCCTGAGGCATCAGGGAAGACAGTGGTAGGCAAGGCTGGGTCAAAGGGTCTGAGTACAGGGGCTTTGGTGACCATATGCTTCAGCTGCTGAAAAGCTTTCTCCTGAGGTTCAGACCAGGTCCAGGGCTTGTCATTTCTCAACAGGTCTGTCAATGGTGCAGCTTGCTCTGCCAGGTCCTTCAGAAAGCTATGGAAGTAGTTCACCAGGCCCATGAACTGTCTGACTTCAGTGACACTCTGAGGGGTGGGCCATTCTTGAACAGTCTGCACTTTCTTGGGATCAAGCTTGACTCCTTCATGTGAGACTACATGGCCAAGAAACTCTACTTCTTGCTTGAAGAACTGGCACTTGCTGGGGTTGGCATACAGCTTGTTCTGCCTGAGGGCTTGCAGAACCTGCTTGAGGTGGTCCAGGTGATCTTCTGGGGTCTTGGAGTAGATGAGGATGTCATCTAGGTAGACAATAACAAAGATGTCCAAGAAGGGTCTAAGGACATCATTCATCAAAGTCATGAAAGTGGCTGGGGCATTGGTCATTCCAAAGGACATGACCAGGAACTCAAAGTGACCATATCTGGTTCTGAAGGCTGTCTTGGGGATGTCTTCTGGGTGGACTCTGATCTGGTAATAGCCTGACTTCAGATCTAGCTTGGTAAACACCTGGGCTCCATTCAGCCTATCCATCAGCTCATCAATCCTAGGGAGGGGATATCTGTTCTTGATGGTGATTTTATTCAGAGCCCTGTAGTCCACACACATCCTCAAAGAACCTTCTTTCTTCTTGACAAAGAGGATAGGTGCTCCAAATGGGCTCTTGGATGGTCTGATGTGGCCTGCCTCCAGAAGCTCTGAAAGCTGCTTCCTCAGTTCTTCTAACTCCAAAGAAGAGAGGTGGTAGGTTGGTCTCCAGGGGGTCTGGTTGGGGTCACTGAGTTCAATTCTGTGATCTACTGATCTCTCAGGGGGAAGTCCTGGGGGAAGCTCTTCAGCAAAGACATCTTGATAGTTTTCAAGAAGCTTGGTGACTTTGGAATCCATGGTGTCTGGAGGGGTGCTGGTATCTTGAGGGTTCTTGAGATACACAGCAAAAGCTGTTGCTGTCCTCTTCTTCAGTGTTCTGGCCAACATCTTTGCTGATACCATGGTGATAAGATTGGACTTCTGGGATTTGTTGGAAGAGCTGGCCTGCTTAACAAACCATCTGACTCTGGGGTGCTGGGAGGTGGTGAAGGTCACAGTGTTCTTGTTGTAGTTGATACTGGGATTCCTCCAGGCAAACCAAGGTATACCCAGGATCAAGTCAAACTTGATTGGGGCTAGTCTACCAACAAAAAATCCGTTACAGTTCCTACTGAGTATTGAACACCTTTGACAAAGCCTATTTCTTGGTGCTTTCTGTTATCAGCCATAGAGATTTCTGCTCCAGGGAGAGAATGAGTCACCAGTTGTGCCTTCTTGACAAATGACTGTGACACATAGAGCTGGTTTGCCCCATTGTCCAGGAGAATGGTTACTGGGATTCCCTGGATTGTACCTTGCACAGTCAGCAAGTGACTCTGGGCAGTCCTTGGCCCTTTGGGGGTACTTAAACAGTATGGAGCCACCTCTACTACATGGATCTTGCTTTCTTTGTAGGTGACCTGGGGACTCTGGGTTTCATGGGGTTCTGGGGTTCTCTGGGGTTCTTGGGTTCTCTGGGGTTCTCTGGGGTTCTCTGGGGTTCTCTGGGGTTCTCTGGGGTTCTCTGGGGTTCTGGGGTCCTCTGGGGTTCTGGGGTCCTCTGGGGTTCTGGGGTTCTCTGGTGTTCTTGGGTTCTTTGGGGTTCTGGGGTTCTCTGGGGTTCCAGGTAAAGTCCATGGATAGTTAAAGTCTCAGGGGTGGTTTCAGGTGGGTCCAATAGGTCCAAGGGTTGAATAACAGGAGAGTGTACCAGGTGGTGGGTGTCAGGGTGGTGGTTCTTGATATCTTCCCCAGTAGAGGCAGAACCTCTATCTTCTACTGAGTCTGCTTGCCATTTCCCTGCTGCTTGGTCTTCAAGGGACAGAGGGGGGCAATATGGCCTGGTTTTCTGCACCTGAAACAGGCTCCCTTCTTTCTGAGCTCAGTCTTCTCAGCCTCAGTGAGTTTGGAGAGAGGCTTCCCAGAGTTGGTGGATATACTATCTATCTCCATAGGGACTACTCCAGAGTTCTCAGTCTTGGGGGAGTAGTAGCTGGTGGCCTGGCTTCTTTTCTGGTAGCTGAACTGGATCTGGTCAATCCTATCAGCTGTTGCTGCAGCTG